GAGGCCATTCGATCAGTTGATGGAAGCGTCAAGGCGGCCTTGGAGAAGTCACTCATCGGATGGAAGAAGGAAGATGGGCTCATCACGTATCATGGGAAGCTCTATGTACCAAGGGACGAGGAGTTGCGGGACAAGATCATCGGACTACACCACGACACCCCTTTGGTCGGACACGCTGGGACCAACCGAACGCAGGAGATGGTGGAAAGGAACTACTGGTGGCCAAGGATGGGGAACCAAATTCGGAAATACATCCAGACGTGCGAAGCGTGCCAGCGGACCAAGACCAGAAGAGCCAGGACAGGGAGTTTGCACCCGCATGCAGTTCCAAACGCGCCGTGGGAAATCATCTCCATGGATCAGATCGGACCCTTGCCGGTCAGTAACGGGTATGACGCAATTCATGTGTGGTGTGACACCTTCACCAAAATGATCCATGTCGAACCAATCAGTACTGACATCAGCAGCGAAGGAGTGGCACGATTAACCAGGGACCGAGTCTTCCGCTACCACGGGATCCCTCGCAAGATCATCACCGACAGGGATTCACGTTACATCAAGGGCTTCATGAGGGAGACGAATCGGATGTTGGGCGTGGAAATGAACCCGGGGACCGCATATCACCCGATCACGGATGGGCAGACAGAACGCATGAATCAGGAGATCGAGCATTATCTCCGCATCTACGTCAATTACCATCAAACGGACTGGTCGGAGTGGCTGGGAATGGCGGAGTTCGCATATAACGACAAGATGAACACGTCCACCAAAGTATCGCCATTCTATGCGAATCACGGATATCACCCGTGGAAGGGAGTGGAGCAACGGATGGAGTCGAGAAACGAGTCGGCGGAGGAATTTGTGAAAAGAATCAAAGAAATACAAGACGAAGCAAAAGCAGCACTAGAAAAAGCAAAAGAAAAAATGAAAAAATACTACGATAAACAAAGAAAAGAAGTTCCGGAGTTGAAGGTTGGGATGAAGGTGTACATAGAAGGGGAAAATATCGAGACGGATCGACCATCAAAGAAGATGAGCGACAAGAGATTGGGACCATACGAGATACTGGAGAAGGTTGGAGCGGCCGCATGGAAGCTGGATTTGCCGGACACGGACCGAAGACATCCGGTGTTCAATGAGTCACTGTTGACACCCTATCACGAACCACCCCCCCATCGCCGAGAGAAGAGGCCTGTAGCCAGGATGATCGGAGGAGCAGAAGAGTGGGAAGTCGAAGAAATCGTGAAAGAGCGAAAAGTCGGCCGAGGAAAACAGTACTTGGTCAAATGGAAGGGATGGCCGCACAGCGAGAACACCTGGGAACCATCACGTCACCTTACCCACGCGAAGAAGGTCCTGAGAGATTGGCAGAGGAAACAATCCAACCCAGACACACGCATTCGCCTCCTGCCAACTCTCGAAGCCGGACATTGGGATTACCTCATCCATCGCTACAAACCCAAAAACGAGCGCCTTCCATACCCCCAGCGACAACTCTTCGATCCGTATGAAAACGTCTTCACGCCCATTGGCCTAGTCGATGAGGACATCGACCCTAGAGAGGGGGTAATGTCATAGTTCGGCCACTTTTTCATCTTATCTTCGACGATCTTATCTTATCTCGGCACGGCTTATCTTATCACGGATCACGGCATCAGACGGCCCGGGCTAGGGGTTCGAGGGATTATCCTTATCGATTCAAGGCTGCGCGACATATGCTCCGGAAGGTTCTACTACAACCCATGACCAGTGCTCCATGCGGTACATAGCCCTATGACTCATTAGTTGTAGATATGACTCAGACTGGATTTGGGTATAAATACTGTAGCTACTTGGTTGTATTCTCCAGTCTTCGAATTCACTTCTCTTTTCGACTTTGTTTTTGGGTTGATTGTCACACGGTGACATGAACCAGGGATACTCGGCTTGCAGGTCGCAGAGAGGCGGGGGAGCGTCTGTGTCAGTGTCACCTGCCACCACTGGCGACTGCAAGCCACCTTCTGGCGTGATCGAGTCAATATCCATCGGTACGGGGAACAGGTGCGTTGATGGTGAGTGCGTGGCTTGATCCTGCGCAACCACATCCAAATGTAAGGGCAACCTCAAGACCCGATCTCAGAGTTCTGGCAAGGGAGAATCCAAAGTGTCAATAGTGGTAGCGAGGTACAAGACCGGCATACCTGGCAAGGGAGAATCCAAAGAGAAACCGTGTTAGGGATTCTCCTTGCCAGGCGCCACTATTTGTATGATACAAGAACAATAGAGCGCGCAGCAACAAACAAAGAACAATGGGAACAATAAGTACAATGGCCGTTGGAGAACAATAGGAAACCGAGACAGTGGGAACGATGGGACACCTGACCATGTGCCCATCAGAGAGAAGCGCTTGGCGCGGCAGTCCGGGCCGCGGCACGTGACAGCTGACAGGTCACGCAAGCGCGATCACATGCCTGATTCAAGGCAGAGCGGTCCGAAGCGGAGGTTCCCCTGACACCAAATCCATTGCAACCGGAAATAAATCGGTCTGCACGGCAGCCGCAGGCGCGATAGGTTGGCACGCTGGAGGCGCGATGGATGGGTGCGTTGGAGGCGCAATGGGTGGGCGCCTTGGAGGTGCAATGGGTGGCAAAACTGATGGAGGCGGAACAGATGGGCGCGAAGGGGGCGGCATCTGTCATAGTTCGACCACTTTTTCATCTTATCATCGACGATCTTATCTTATCTTGGCACGACTTATCTTATCACGGATCACGGCATCAGACGGACCGGGCTAGGGGTTCCAGGGGTTATCTCTATCGATTCGAGGCTGCGCAACATATGCTCCGGAAGGTTCTACTACAACCCATGACCAGTGCTCCATGCGGTACATAGCCCTACGACTCATTAGTTGTAGATATGACTCAGACTGGATTTGGGTATAAATACTGTAGCTACCTGGTTGTATTCTCCAGTCTTCGAATTCACTTCTCTTTTCGACTTGTTTTTGGGTTGATTGTCACATAATTCGAAGACTCCCCTCATACCCTCGTACCTCCTACCTCCTACCCTGCTCCCTGCACCGCTACGCCCGCTATATCCTCTTCACCTTTATCATCTCACTCACCCTTTTACCGAATCATCTAGTCGCTCGCTGCGATCGCAGTGAAAGGTTCATATCGAGCAAACAGCACCAGGCCACGGGTAATGTTGAGCCCGACCCAAGCCTTACGGTAGCTACAAGGAGTGCTGCGGAGACCTTCGGGAAAACGCACCTCGGGATCATCGGGCACATGAAGAGCTAGGCCCGGGATCTTTTTGCTAGCAAAAGAACCTTTCCTCGAGTGCTTGTACAGCACACGAATCCACCATTTCGTACCGATTCCCATCGTCATCTGGGAGTCCATCCCCTCCCCCCATCATACCATCGTCGCCCGATCTGGCGCATCAAAACCAACCCGGGCCCTCCAACCCCTACCTCGCCCTTCCGCCGCCTGAAGACGAGTTCCCCGACCTCGGCGAATTACCCTCCGAACAACCACCCTCGCCCCCACCTATCGCACCTGCTCCTACCATGTCAGGACATCACCGCATCACCCTCGCCGCCAATCCCCCCTACTTCGATGGCGACAAGTCCAAGTACCTGGGCTTTGTGGATGCGTGCACCACTTACATTGGTGCCTATCGGTCAGAGTTCTCGCTGGACGAGACGAAAATCCTCTTCGTCTTGTCCTACCTCCGCAATGAGAGCGGCACAAGCTGCGCCGCCTCAAGATGGGCGATGAACTGGAAGCAGCACAATTTTGAGGGCTTCCAAGGACTAAAGGCGGGAGTCACCGCAACAAGCTTCTTGGAGGAGCTTCAGAGGGCCTTTGGGGATTCTAACGCAGAGCAAGTCGCTGCCGCCCGACTCATGGCCCTTCGCCAGGGCAGACGGTCCTTTGCGGACTACATCTCCGACTTTGAAATGCTGGCTGCAGACGCGGGATACAATGTGGTCACCTCCACCGACAGCAAGGGCGAGTACAAGAAGGGGGAACAGGACAATATCCTCATCGAGTTCCTGGAGCGCGGACTCAGCAGCGAAATTGCAAGCCGCCTCTACAACACCGGCGTTCCCCTGCCCAAGGCATATGGTGCCTTCAAGAACTGGTGTGTCAATATCGAGGCCAATGCTTTGCGCGATCAGCTGCGTAAGGCCTCCTATATGCACTCGACTCCACGGCCTCCTCCCCAATTCCGCCCGCAGGTAGCCCCAATGACACCTACACCCGCCCCGACCCGGTGAAATGCTGAGGGCGTGCTCACAAGTGAATCTACTATGAAGGTAAACCCAAATATAAAACACGTTCACACTCCTCGTAATCAGCTTCTCAGTGTGTGAAAGATGCGAGGGCTTCGGGGTGAACAGAGCACCAGTATCACAACTCTCAATAGACACAGGTCCAATAGTCGCGGAGGCGAAGTCGACGACAAGAATTTATATATAGCAAACAATGGTATCTCAACCAATATCTTCTATACGAACACAACCAACACTAATCCAATCCACAAACAAACAATATAACAAGTCAGAACTTAATACGAAGTATTAAGATCCCTTGTAGCGACAGCGTCTAGATGGTGACGCAAAGCCCAAATATCAAGTCGACGCACTGCCAACCGATACAACTAATATACTGAGTCGACGCACTGCCAACTAGTAGAACCAAAATGTCAAGTCGACGCACTGCCAACTGACACAACCAAAAGTACTGAGTCGACGCACTGCCAACTAGTAAACCAAAATGCTGCGTCGACGCACTGCCAACTAACAGCCAATATCCAATGTCCAAAACCCGAGCACAACTTGTCGACGCACTGCCAAGCAAGAAGTGTGGAACCAAAGTTCTCAAGTCGACGCACTGCCAACTGACCAAAACAACCCGAGCACAACTAGTCGACGCGCTGCCAAGCTAGAGGTGTGGAACAATCTCAACAAAGCCCAAAGGCGACGACACTAAATGCCACGACTAAACCAGATGCGGCGAATCCGACTTTCTGATGTCTCAACTCAAACTCAAATCACAGTAGCTACAAGTGCTCAGGGAGCAACTCGTCGCGACCGGGCAGGGGTGGCAGAACTTCTTAGGGTGGAATCACGCGGCACGCAAATTGTACAAAACAATCTGAAATGAGAGTGATTCACAGTCCGGGGGAAAGCTTCCTAATACAAAGAGACGACGTGCTACTTATACTGTCTACGACGCTGCTTAGTAAAGTCCTGTACAACTGCATAGTAGCTACGCTATCTAAGATCGGTTGCCTTTTAGGGTAATTGAAAAGTTGAACGATCGGACAGGTCCTGAGTGATCAGGACCCCGCCCCATTGTCCATATGATACTTTTGATGTGGGCCAACTCACCGCGTCATACTTTTGGAATACGACGTGCTGGATTGGCCAACGGGTATGTCTTGGCATGTGAGACCAACGTGGGCGCCCCAAGAAGCCGTATGGCTCTAGGCACGCCAATCGTCTCCCACATGGCTCGGTTCACGGATCTAGCCGTATCGATTTTAGTGTGTTTGAGTATGGGCGCGACTCGCCGTGACACTTGGAAGTGTCACCGCGACGCGTCCACAATGTCCCGTGATCGAATGGATCCTGACATGTGACAAGTCGTCGTCGTGGCATGATCTGAGGAAACGTCCAACTCAAAACCGGGAGTTGCCGCGACAAGATGGTTTAAGTCTTGTAACGCCAAGTCCTGTCCAGTAGTAGTTCTATTATTGAGAACGTCGCGCATTGCTCAGCCCTTCAGCCCAAGTTCCCATCTGCAGAGAATGACCCTTTTTGAGAAGTCGACGCAACGACATATCCCTTTTTGGGGAATGGTCGCGGTCCAAGCGTTCGTCACTAATGGCCCTGAGCCTGGTGTAGACTCATAAGACCAGTTCCACAGTAGTGGTCTGACTGCCTTGCTATCGTCGACACTATCCACAGTCGTCGACTGGGCAGTAGACCCATAAGTCCTACTGAGCGCAACACTGTTAACCGCGACACGATACACCGAGTGGTTCAAGAGTAAACTCTGTAAAAAGCGCAAAAATACGCCCTTACAGAGCTGGTGCAGAGCGCGTCTGGTAGCCAGCCTATCACCGGCCGGCTGCCAACAAACCGGTCCCGATGGAAATCGATCGTACCCATGCCCGCGGTCGCAATATCATCTGCTACAACTGTCAACAGCCGGGGCACATCGCGCGGAATTGTTCGGAGCCCAAGAAGAAGCGCACGTTCTTCAATCGGGCCACAATGCTGGAAGAGATCGAGAACGGGGATAAGGACAACAAGTTCCTCAAGGAGATTGCCGAGAAGCTGCGTGAAAAGGGTTTTTGAAGCGCTCCACTCCTCTAGCCAAGGAGGTGGAGCGTCCGGACTATGGACGATTTTCTGTACTTGTTTCAATTAAAGACATGAACAATTCTGCACATACATACACAATCTCGGACTCACTACGTACCAATATTCACGATTTTCTCATTGCTGATATGGAAAAAGAACGCCAAAGAAAAATAGCTTTAAATAGGGAATATTTACAGAGTAAAAAGCATCAGAAAGCTGCAGATAAATTAATTTTGGACTCCTACGTATTTATGGCTCGTGGAGAAGGGACCACGTCAACAAAGACCGAAAAGGGGAACATCACTCCGGAGGCTCAATCCTTGGAAAAGGAGGAAGCGCCTAAGGAATCTGCCGAAATCAAGGTTCCAGAAGCACCCAAACGCACCAGGGTGCCAGATGCCGTCCAGAGGAAATTGGCGGCCGAGAAACAAAAGGGCCCCCAGCCCAGCAGGTTGGCGCAGGAATTGCGCAGTTACCAGGCCGAAAGGAAGAGGCATTCGATGGACGTGTATGTCCAGATCACGGGTCTGGACTCAGGAAAAACGCGCAGAGTCAAGGCGCTGCTCGATAGTGGCTGTAGCACCTGCTGCATCGATACCGACTACGCGCGGGCAGAGAAGCTGGATATCCAAGAGCTTCCGCAACCCATTGTGGCTCGTAACGCCGACAACACCGAGAACATCAGCGGTTGGATCACGCATTACGTCGATCTAAGGATGAAAATCGGCCCTCATGTGGAGACACGCACGTTCCTTCTGACGTGCCTAGGGAAGGCCCGGATCTTCATTGGTCTTGATTGGCTGATGGAACACAACCCGGAGGTGGATTGGCAGGAGCAGACAATGAGATTCAGCCAATGCCCAGAACGGTGTCACATGAGGGGTCACGAGGAACACCAAACAATGATTGACATGGATGCAATCGACCTGGACACGGACGCACAGGACCTGGAAGAGGGAGAATCAATCCTGCTGATCGACTTTGGAAAGGAGGTGGATCTACGGCTGAAGGAAACACCGGCGCAGAAATTTGCAGAAGAAGCGGAAAAAGAGAAGGAGAGGATGACCGAAGGGAAAATTCCGGATCAATATCGGGAATTCGTCAAGGTATTCGCCAAGGAATCGTTCGACTCGCTGCCAGACCGACGAGCATGGGATCATGCAATCGAGCTCAAACCAGGTTCCAAAGCAGTGGACTGCAAGGTGTACCCCTTATCGCGAAACGAGCAGGTCAAGCTCGACGAATTCTTGCAAGAGAATTTTGCCAGCGGACGGATCAGACCATCAAAATCACCCATGGCATCAGTGTTTTTCTTTGTCAAGAAGAAGGATGGCTCGCTACGGCCCGTCCAAGATTATCGGAAGTTGAACGAGATGACAATCCGAAATTGATACCCGCTGCCGCTGATCTCCGAACTGGTTCACAACCTATGCGGCGCCAAGTTCTTCACAAAACTTGACATCCGGTGGGGATACAACAACGTACGGATCAAAGAGGGCGACGAGTGGAAGGCCGCGTTCCGCACAAACCGCGGACTGTACGAGCCCTTGGTCATGTTCTTTGGTCTCACAAATTCCCCGGCAACCTTTCAAAATATGATGAACAACATACTCCGAGAACTGATCAATGAGGGCCACGTGGTAGTTTATCTTGATGATATATTGATCTTCACAGAGAACTTGGACAAACACCGACGGATCACAAAGCAAGTACTCGAATTGCTCCAAAAGCACAAGTTGTACCTGAAACCCGAAAAGTGCGAGTTCAAACGCACAGAAATCGAATATTTGGGTGTAATTATTGGACATAATTCGATGCGGATGGACCCAGTCAAGATCAAGGGTGTGATGGAATGGCCAGAACCAAAGAGCGTCAAACAGGTCCAAGCCTTCCTCGGATTCACGAACTTCTATCGGCGCTTTGTCCGGGGATACGCGGAGGTTGCCAAGCCGTTGACACGGCTGACGGGGAAGGCAGGATGGTCATGGGGTACAGAGGAACATGCGGCATTCAATGGATTGAAGAAAAGAATCGCGGAGGATGCGGTCCTAGCACTGCCAAATGACACTGGCCAATATCGTCTGGAAGCCGATGCTTCGGAAGGGGCAACAGGCTCCGTTTTGAGCCAAAACCAAGATGGCATTTGGCGCCCAATCGCATTTATTTCACACGCATTGACTGAAACTGAGCGAAATTACAAGATCTACGACAAGGAAATGCTCGCAATCATGTCATCACTCGATGAATGGAGGCAACTGCTCCTGGGAGCCACGGAAACATTCGAGATCTTCACTGATCATCAGAATCTCGAATACTTCCGAAAGCCACAGAAGCTCAATCGACGACAAGCACGATGGATCACGGAGCTGGCGGAGTTTGATTTCACCTTACGACACCAACCCGGCGCACTCAACCGCAAGGCGGACCTCTTGCCTCGACGAGCGGATCACAATCAGGGCAAGAACAACAACAAGGACGTCACGCTACTGAAGCCCGAGCTCTTCCAATCACAAGAAGTCACATTCGAGGGACAGGATCAGCAGCTAATCGATGAGATCAAGGCCATTCGATCAATTGATGGAAGCGTCAAGGCGGCCTTAGAGAAGTCACTCGTTGAATGGAAAAAGGAAGACGGGCTCATCACGTACCAAGGGACGAGGAACTGCGAGACAAGATCCTCGGGCTACACCATGACACACCCTTGGCCGGACACGCTGGAATCAACCGAACGCAGGAGATGGTGGAAAGGAACTACTGGTGGCCAAGGATGGGGAACCAAATCCGGAAGTACATCCAGACGTGCGAGGCGTGCCAACGGACCAAGACCAGAAGAGCGAGGACAGGGACCCTGCACCCGCATGCAGTCCCAAATGCGCCATGGGAAATCATCTCCATGGATCAAATCGGACCCCTACCGGTCAGTAACGGGTATGACGCAATTCATGTGTGGTGTGACACCTTCACCAAAATGATCCACGTCGAACCAATTAGTACTCGTTACCAAATAAAGTTTTGGACAGTGTCTCATGTGGAGCAATGCGCTCCAACAACATGGCCATGTGACCTGAGCTTCGTGTGCTCAATATCTTACCATCTCTACTTCATACCACCATGCCCAAAATTTCATCTCACCCTCGACATTCTGAGGAGAAGAAGAATCAATTTATTGGGGCAATGTTGGTTCAACCCGATATCAAAAGCCATGCTGCTCGATTCGGAATCCCATATGAAACTGCTCGTAAAATCTGGAAGAAGTATCGGGATACCGGTTCCGCCAAGAACAGACCTCCGAGTGGTCGTCCAAAGAAGGTCACTGGAGAAATGGAAGCCAACATCATCCAGACCGCCCGCGAAAATCGGCGCATGCCATTCGGTGACATTGGCAACATGATGGATCCGCCCATCAGCGACACGGCAGTTGGGAAGGTCCTGGACAGTGTGGGAATGCATCGAAGGGTTGCCAGGCACGTCCCCTTCCTCACAGAGATGCACAAGGAGGATCGACTTGAGTGGGCAACTGCAAACAAGGGACGGAGCATGCGCGCTTGGGAAAAGATCATGTGGTCAGATGAGTGTTACGTTCATTTGAATGGGACAAGTGGGCGGGTGTGGGTGACACGGACATCGGATGAGGTTTATGAGGAGAGCTGTCTTGTCCCGGCTTTCAAGCAGTCACCTGTGCGGGTCATGGTTTGGGGGTGCATTGCACATGGATGGAAGGGCCCGCTTGTCATTCTCAAATACCCGGGTGGGAAAGGCAGCGGAATGACAGCCGAGCGGTACCAGGATCAGGTCCTCAAGCCACATTTGATGAATGCAATCAACGAATTGCGTCAACAACGCAGTCGCCGAGTAAAAATCCAGTTCCAGCAGGATGGGGCATCATCCCACACCGCACACTCATCGATTGATTGGCTAGAGAATCACAAAATCCCCATCTTTCTCCATCCGGCCAACTCCCCCGATCTTTCCCCCATTGAACCTGTCTGGCACGAGCTCAAGAAGTGCATTCGAGCTCGGATTCTGCGCCCCACAACGTTCGAATCACTCAAAACTGCGATTTTGGAGGAGTGGGAGAAATTGCCAATTGAAGACATAAATAAGTACACGGGCACAATGGTCAACCGTGTTCAGGCTGTATTAGATGCCGAAGGAGGTCACACAAGATATTGAGCCAGAAAAAACTGTATTTCCGTCCATAATTAGTGTGAATAATATTGACCGTCCAAAACTTTATTGGGTAACGAGTACTGACATCAGCAGTGAAGGAGTCGCACGATTAACCAGGGACCGAGTTTTCCGCTACCACGGGATTCCCCGCAAGATCATCACCAACAGGGATTCGCGTTACATCAAGGGCTTCATGAAGGAGATGAATCGGATGTTGGGCATAGAAATGAATCCGGGTACCGCATATCACCCGATCACGGATGGACAAACAGAGCGTATGAATCAGGAGATCGAACACTATCTCCGCATCTACGTCAATTACCATCAGACGGACTGGTCGGAGTGGCTGGGAATGGCGGAGTTCGCATATAACGACAAAATGAACACGTCGACCAAAATATCACCGTTCTATGCCAATCACGGATATCACCCATGGAAGGGAGTAGAGCAACGGATGGAATCGAGGAACGAGTCAGCAGAGGAGTTTGTAAAAAGAATCAAAGAAATACAAGACGAAGCAAAAGCAGCACTGGAAAAAGCAAAAGAAAAAATGAAAAAATACTACGATAAACAAAGAAAAGAAGTTCCGGAGTTGAAGGTCGGGATGAAGGTGTACATAGAAGGGGAAAATATCGAGACGGATAGACCATCAAAGAAGATGAGCGACAAGAGATTGGGACCATACGAGATACTGGAGAAGGTTGGAGCGGCCGCATGGAAGCTGGATTTGCCGGACACGGACCGAAGACACCCGGTGTTCAACGAGTCACTATTGACACCTTATCATGAACCACCCCCCCATCGCCGAGAGAAGAGACCCGTGGCCAAGATGATCGGAGGAGCAGAGGAGTGGGAAGTTGAAGAAATCGTGAAAGAGCGAAAAGTCGGCCGAGGAAAACAGTACTTGGTCAAATGGAAGGGATGGCCGCACAGCGAGAACACCTGGGAACCATCACGTCACCTTACCCACGCGAAGGACGTCCTGAGAGACTGGCAGAGGAAACAATCAAATCCAGACACACGCATTCGCCTCCTGCCAACGCTCGAAGCTGGACACTGGGACTATCTCATTCATCGCTACAAGCCCAGGGACGAGCGTCTTCCATACCCCCAACGACAGCTCTTCGATCCTTACGAGAACATCTTCACGCCCATTGGCCTAGTCGATGAGGACATCGACCCTAGAGAGGGGGTAATGTCATAGTTTGACCACTTTTTCATCTTATCATCGATGATCTTATCTTATCTTGGCACGACTTATCTTATCACGGATCACGGCATCCGACGGACCGGGCTAGGGGTTCCAGGGGTTACCTCTATCGATTCGAGGCTGCGCGACATATGCTCCGGAAGGTTCTACTACAACCCATGACCAGCGTTCCATGCGGTACATAGTCTTATGACTCATTAGTTGTAGATATGACTCAGACTGGATTTGGGTATAAATACTGTAGCTACCTGGTTGTATTCTCCAGTCTTCGAATTCACTTCTCTTTTCGACTTTGTTTTTGGGTTGATTGTCACATAATTCGAAGACTCCCCTCATACTGTGACAATCAACCCAAAAACAAGTCGAAAAGAGAAGTGAATTCGAAGACTGGAGAATACAACCAGGTAGCTACAGTATTTATACCCAAATCCAGTCTGAGTCATATCTACAACTAATGAGTCATAAGACTATGTACCGCATGGAACGCTGGTCATGGGTTGTAGTAGAACCTTCCGGAGCATATGTCGCGCAGCCTCGAATCGATAAGGATAATCCCCTGGGACCCCTAGCCCGGACCGTCTGATGCCGTGATCCGTGATAAGATAAGTCGTGCCAAGATAAGATGAGATCGTCGAAGATAAGATAAAAAGTGGCCAAATTATGACACTGGTCTCCAGAACAGACAGCCGCTGCTGTTTGTTGTCATCCCTGCTCATCGGGTCTGCTCGTGGAGGGGAGGAGGGGGCAAGATAGGAGGTGAGGGACTGGTGGTCTTGGTTGCTCGTCGACTCTTCTCCACTGGCGTCAGCGTTGAACCTCGCAATCTTGTCTGGTTATCCCTAGGAACACGGTTTCTGCTGTAAGGGCAACCTCGAGACCCAATCTCAGAGTTCTGGCAAGGGAGAATCCAAAGAGAAACCGTGTTGGGGATTCTCCTTGCCAGGCGCCACTATTTATATGATACAAGAACAATAGACCGTGCAGCGACAAACAAAGAACAATGGGAACAATAAGTACAATGGCCATGACGGAAAAATAGGAAACGGAGACAATAGGAACAATGGCACCACCTGCCATCAGAGAGAAGCGCTCGGCGCGGCGGTCCGGGCTGCTGCACGTGACAGCTGACAGGTCACCCAAGCGCGATCGCATGCCAAATCCCAGGCTGATCGGTCTGAAGCGGGGGTTCCCCTGACAGAACTGAGCTACAACCTAGTCAGTGCTAAGGAATTGCCTGAGCCTGTGTTCTATCATCACAGAGTCTGAGGAAAAATTCCCATTGGCGCAGTTGTCGCGACGGACCCATATGAGATGTACTTGGAGTCGATACCCTCTAATGAGAACCCAAGGCACGTCTATGTTGGTGATTCGTTGGCTGCTCTCAGAATGATAAATGGACAGATTAACGCGCGTCTCGACGCGGACTGCATCCTAGACAGTGGATCTCAGATTGTCTCGATGGCCTTCTCAGAAGCCGTCAACGCACAATTGAGCTGGGACCCAAAAGTCGTCATCTATATGGAAAGCGCAAATGGATCTATCTCTAAGTCACTGGGATTAGCGAGAAATGTACCCTTCAGGTTTGGGACCATCTTGGTCTACCTGCAGGTGCACATTTTGGAAAGTCCAGCTTATAAGGTGTTGCTCGGCAGACCGTTTGATATCGCGACAGAAAGCAATATCAAGAACGCGGCCGACGGCAGCCAAATAATCACTATGCGCGATCCCAATTTAAAGACACGTTGTGCAATGGCTACGCAGCCACGTCGTGCCGACGACTTGCCGCGTAACACTAAAAACAACGACGGATCTACCGAACCCTACAGTTCGTCGAAACTGACGACCAGTCCAGACGAACCGAACCCTGAACGGGATTTTCAAAGAGCTTCGAGGAATTGACCAGGTTGAGTCAAGGAGAAGAAGTTGCGGTGACTGTGTCGTTGGGAAAGGATGGAAATGTAGTGTTTGAGGACCTGAGAAAACCGTGTTCTAGTGGCCAGTTTGCCCAAACTGAGCTGGTAGAGGTTTATATCTTGTCGTCGAAAGAAGACAAGGAAATGGAAAAAGATGTTGCTGCATTGACTTTGTTTCATTCATATATGAATGAGAGACTCTCAGACGCGGCAACAGAAAAACTGACTGTTGGTACTTGGAGTGTGCTAGAAGATGACCCTTCTAGTCGCGACAAATACTCTGTGTTCGCAGGAAAGAAATACAAACCTGTGGACCAGAAAGTCAGGCCAGTGTACACTATGGGCTCCGAGGACGATCAAATAATTCGGGAAATGATTGGAGATCCTTTGGATATGCTACCTACTCTAAACCCGCGACCACCTGATTTTACCCCAACTGGTAGATTCACGGCGGAGCGCAGGGATATTGTGGACAAGCTACACAAAGGGGACTTCTTGTTACCAGAAGAAAGGAAGCTGCTCATGCACTTCTACATGCTTCACAATCAGATTTTCGCGTTCAACGATGAAGAACGTGGCACATTGAGACGGGATATATTTCCTCCTGTCAAAATCGCGACAGTTCCCCATACGGCGTATCGCAAAGGGAATATTCCCATTCCCCGCGGCATGTTCGACCAAGTGTGCAAGGTCATTAAAGACAAAATCGCGGCCTGGGTCTACGAGCCTTCCAATTCCTCTTACCGAAGCAAATTCTTTGCTGTACTGAAGAAGGATGGGAAGAGCATCAGGCTGGTGCACTCACTAGATCCACTCAATGCAATTACTATCGCACATTTGGGATTGCCACCCGCGACAGAGGAATTAGCAAACCACTTTGCCGGTCGCGCCTGTGGTGCTGCGCTAGATTTGTACTCAGGCTACAACCAGCGTGACATTGATCCAGCTAGTCGCTGAAATGCTGAGGGCGTGCTCACATGTAAGGGGAGTGGAGCCCAGGGGCCAAGTCGATAACAAGACTGGGGATCAGAGATCCCCAACAACTATCTATATACAAGTAGATGACGTAAGAAGCATGACACCGCTGACTGATAACCCTCGGATCACCGCCGGAACACCGCCGGATCAATACCAATGACCTCATCCTGCTGACACGTCTCCCCTGACATCACAGGTGAATCTACTATGAAAGTAAACCCAAAGATAAACACGTTCACACTCCTTGTAATCAGCTTCTCACTGTGTGAAAGATGCGAGGGCTTCGGGGTGAACAGAACACCAGCATCACAACTCTCAATAGACGCAGATCAATAGTCGCGGAAGACGAAGTCGACGACAAGAATTTATACATAGCAAACAGTGGTGTCTCAACCAATATCTTCTATACGAACACAACCAACACTAATCCAACCACAACCAACAATATCACAAGTCAGAGCTTAATATGAAGTATTAAGATCCCTTGTAGCGACAGCGTCTAAATGGGGACGCAAAGCCCAAATACCGAGTCGACGCACTGCCAACCGATACAACCAATATATGTTGAGCACTGGGGAGAGCGTCTAGCAGCTCACCTGTGTGAGTGAGAGCTCAGTGTGGGCACTATGCGGGAGTAGTCAAGAGACTTATATTAAAGGGTAATAGAGCCCTCCTTATATATGATACAGGGGGCTGTTTGTGTCTATTTGGGACGAGTCGACATGACTCTAGATGACACGTGATGGAGTCATAGATGTGTATCACGACATCCATCTGGCAGACAATAAGATCATCATTTGATCAACAATATACTGAGTCAATGCACTGCCAACTAGTAAAACCAAAATGCCGCATTGACGCACTGCCAACTGACACAACCAGAGTACTGAGTCGACGCACTGCCAACTAGTAAACCAAAATGCCGTGTCGACGCACTGCCAACTAACAGCCAATATCCAATGTCCAAAACCCGAGCACAACTAGTTGATGCACTGCCAAGCTAGAGGTGTGGAACAATCTCAACAAAGCCCAAAGGCGACGACACTAAAGGCCACGACTAAACCAGATGCGGCGAATCCGACTTTCTGATGTCTCAACTCAAACTCAAATCACAGTAGCTACAAGTGCTCAGGGAGGAACTCGTCGCAACCAGGCAGGGGTAGCAGAAATTCTTAGGGTGGAATCACGCGGCACGCAAATCGTACAAAACAATCTGAAATGAGAGTGATTCACAGTCCGGGGAAAAGCTTCCTAATACAAAGAAACGACGTGCTACTTATACTGTCTACAACAATGCTTAGTAAAGTCCTGTACAACTGCATAGTAGCTACGCTATCTAAGATCAGTTGCCTTTTAGAGTAATGAAAAGTTGAACGATCGGACAGGTCCTGAGTGATCAGGACCCCGCCCCATAGTCCATATGGTACTTTTGATGTGGGTCAACCCACCGCGTCATACTCTTGGAATACAACGTGCTGGATTGGCCAACTGGTATGTCTTGGCGGGTGAGTCCAACGTGGGTGCCCCAAGAAGCCGTATGGTCCCAGGCACGCCAGACGTTCCTGACATGGTTCGGTTCACGGATCTAGCCTATGTCAATTTTAGTGTGTTTGGGTATGGGTGTGACTCGCCGTGACACTAGGAAGTGTCGCCGCGACGCGTCTACAATGTCCCGTGATTGAATGGATCCTGACATGTGACAAGTCGTTGCCGTGGCATGATCTGGGGAAACGTCCAACCCAAAAACTGGGAGTTGCCGCGACAAGATTGGTTCAATCTCGTAACGTCAAGTCCTGTCCAGAAGTAGTTGTAATAGTGAGAACGTCGCGCATTGCTAAGCCCTTCAGCCCAAGTTCCCATCCGCAGAGAATGACCCTTTTGAGGAGTTGCCGCAACAAAGTATCCCTTTTTGGGGAATTGTCGTGGCCCCAGTGTTCGTCACTAATAGCCCTGAGCCTGGTGTAGACTCATAAGGCCAATTCCACAGTAGTGGTCTGACTGCCTTGCTATCGTCAACACTATCCACAGTCGTCGACTGGGCAGTAGACCCTTAAGTCCTACTGAGTGCAACACTGTCAACCGCAACACGATACACCGAGTGGTTCGAGAGTAAACTCTGTAAAAAGCGCAAAAATATGCCCTTACAGAGCTGGTGCAGAGCGCGTCTGGTAGCCAGCCTATCAACGGCAGACGTGTTTGGAACGTCAGCCCTCGGTGAGGCCAGCACTGCTTTGATCAACACACGTCATGTTCAGGGTGCAATTGACGCTGCCAGAAAGCTCAAGTTTGAGAAAGGAACTGGATAGGACAGTGCGTCATAATCTACTCAAATTCACTGCCTGCTTTCTGAAGCTGTGATGCAAGGTGTTGTTCATTATAATTCAACACTGCCGAATGTTCAACCTTCACAATGCTACATTCACACTGTCATTGACAAGGGCTTTCGCTTGGTTGTCACCATGCATCTCGAAATGCCTGAGCGGCTTCACCAAGTGCGATATCTCGCAATGGACTTCACGTTTTCACGTGTAAACCGTGCAGAGAACATGGATGAGTGGGAGATAGCAGGCTTCCTTGATTCTGTTCAAAAACGTGTGTCTGTATCTTGCACCTATATATCCTGAATTCATTAATTTATTGTGAATAGGATACACATTCGGAAGCTTGTTCTGCGACACAAAGTCAACCGAGGCTTAGTTTCAGGTTTGGACGGAGTTTTTCGATGCAGTCAAGCGAATCACCGGACGGGTTTTCTGACTGGCACCCTTTTACCCTGAAGCCAACTGTTGTGTAATTCTTTTGGATGGCAAAGTTGCACAGGCTTTGGGTTTGGTTGAATTCTTGAAAGGCTACAATGATCCTTTGATCAGTGGAATATATTCCTGGGATCCTATTGAGCTTCTCTCCTATGTTCTCAAGACATGTAGCGTTCACTTTCATCGGTGCGTTGTTTGCTTGGTAAAGGGTACATTCTGCTTACACTTATGATTGATACAGGCATGTCACAGAACTTGAGAAAACGGTTCCATTAGATGTTGTTCAGTGAATATGTGAATTTCCCGGCCTGAAAACAAAGCCTGATGTCGACAGATGGCTTTTCGAGGTTCCAACTCTTGTCGAGGCACATCCGGATGCTGCTAGTGCGTTGCATTAGATTTTCTGTGATCTCAGCCTAATTAGCCTTTGGCAGATTGGTTCAAGCACAAGATCAGTACTCCGTGGATCTTCCCTTCACTCAATCCTGTGCTCTCCGGAATCTCGCATGAAAATTACAACACCACACCTAATCATACCAACATTGTCGAGACTGCACATGCGGGTCGAAATGCCGAGACGCAGAAGGGTGTGGGACTTCTTGATGCTATTTTGGAGTGTGTCATTGATTCTAACGCACCTAATTTGCTCCTGACTGCATTTCATCTAGTGCGCAGAGTCGGGACAACACCCATGTTGCAAATCTTATCCAAATGAAACACAGTGGAGTTCTACACAAACACGGTAACGACATCTTCCACCGCAAAGTTCACGCAGCACAAAGGGCTCGTTGGCGGCAACAATCCAGGGCAAAACGAGACACAAATATTCAAGACTATCATTCCATTCGTGCAGATATCAATGAGTGCAAATCGGAGATTGCTGCATCTCTCGCATGTACCACTGATCTCAAATCTGAGATTAAACAGTGCAAAGATGCACTCATTCTCGATCGACGCAGTGAGCATATTGCTCTTCAACTGAAGGATTTGCGGAAAGAAGAAGAGGCAGAGATGGATGCATGTCAGGATTGGAGAAGTCGGCAAGCAGAGCTTGTAAAAGCACTCAAGGATCTCCGCGCTGGACCTGTAGCGCATGTACAGATTCCCACCAGAGGTCTGAATCGAAACGCTGGTCAGTCATTGGAGCTCATTTGACATGGAACCTCTGATCTTGATTCACAGATTCTGACCGCGAGAAAGAAATGCCCGACTTTCACGTGGCCTCGCTGACCTCACACAACAATCTTCCACCTACCTTTCCCGCTTCACTGTCCAATTTTGTGGAGCAAGAACAGGAACAACCAGTGGCAGATTGTGTGTACATTCAGCTATGGCAGCTCAAAGCTCACTTTTAATTCTAGATTCAATGGCAGAATCTGTGTCCCTTGATGCTTCGACTTCCATGGTCATCGACACTTTTGCGGGATACACTGAGTTCTCCAATGCTCAGTGGGATGAATTTATCCTCAGTATGCTGGAGAACGCTTCATCGACAGAAAATCCAGTGCCTTATACACCAGTTGATGAAGCAACGCACCTGATTCCACCCACTGTGCACCAAATACCCTCCGTGCTGGACTCGAGACCCCCACAGCCAAACTCGAGAGCCTCTGAGCCAAACTCCTCCCTTGCTGTTCTCAAGTCCCGGTCTGATTTAGCTGAGTTTGGGGTGAGCAATATACTCCCAGAACAAGTGCGCCAAACTCTTGTCACACAAACACGGGCCAAAGACAACGAAATTGGTGGTTCTGATGCGAAACAGCTGAGACACGGTTGATAGATTCATTGATAGAATTTGCTTACTGTTGTGTAGTCACAACCACACTGTTTCTACTATTTAAATTGGGCTGTTTATTGTTTTATTCATGAATAAATGGTCAAGACTCATCAGAAATACCCGCATGACTGTATAAACACATTGTATTAGCATCTAGCAAGCACATCTCAGCGCGTCCCGTGACACATCATCTAACTCACATGCAACCACGGTCCACTGTCACATCTCCACGGCCTGATGCATATCAAGGTGTTGCAGAGAAAGGCAGATGACAGGCCAGAGGCGGACTCGCTTATGGTCATCCAGCATGCAGTGCTATATCCCATCAAAATGTGATTCCCCATGAGCAGGAATTGCATTCACACACTTCCTGTATATACTCATGAAACATATAGACATCCGCTATCACTACATCCGTGAGCAAGTTGAGGAAGAAGAGGTTGAACTGTTCTTTATCCCGGGCAGTGAGAATCCTGCAGATATGTTCACCAAGAACCTAGGACGCATCAAGTTCAAGAAGTTCAGGTCCCAACTAGGACTTGAGTTCAACTCGTCCTGAAGGAATGGCCAATGAAGAATTTGCTTTCAAACACTATCCCGTGGTTTTCAGCATGGGGGAGTGTTGATCAAATATCATCTGTCAAGATGGATGTCATGATACACATCTATGACTCCATCACGTGTCATCTAGAGTCGTATTGACTCGTCCCAAATAGACACAAACAGCCCCCTGTATCATATATAAGGAGGGCTCTATTACCCTTTAATACAAGTCTCTTGACTACTCCTGCATAGTGCCCACACTAAGCTCTCAACTTGCACAGGTGGGTTGCTAGACGCTCTCCCCAGTGCTCAACAACAGGTACTGATCTCGGATACATACAAAAGAAGTATAAAAGTCATCTCATGCTGACGAGCAGTGATGCGCCCCAGCCCTGAAATCAATCGATCACGTGCACGAAAAGATCCAATGGATTTGTCAGCAAGCTCGTCAAGGTTGTTGCACATGATCATTTGATCAATCTATCACGTGCACTGAAAGATCTCAATGGATTTGTCAGCGAGCTCATCAAGGTTGTTGCACGTGATCATTCTGATCATCACTGGATGCCTCCGGCGGGGTCCTATTTCGGAGTTCGTCTCCTTGTTGTGCTCACAGGACTCATTCATTTCGGCGAAATTCAGCACTGACTAAAGAAATAAATTAACATAGAGCTCAATGGTCACCATATCAACAGGAGGTTCAAGTTACTTATCTCCTTTGGATTTGATTCACACTTAGTATAAAAGACCTGTAGTACAGTGACACGCCTACGGGGCGTATGAGCGCGCAGCCGTACAGGGAGATACAAGGGAGTAGTCGGAGGTCGAGGGGAGTGAGCTGCGGCTCTGGCTCGCGCAGTATTTGTGTGTGGGATTCTGATCCTAACAAGGTCAGGCTCGGGGAAATGGGCTCAACTGAAATGGGCGGGGGCAGCAGTGAGCAACAGGGGGAGCAAAGGGACAATAGAACGGGCGATGGGACGATAATGACGACGGAGGACAGGGCGAGAGCACGATAGAACGACGGGGAGATCAATATGTATGTCTGTAGCACGAAATGGGAGTTTCGGGCGCGATGTTGGGGAAATAACGCAGAAGTGGGCGTCACAAAAGCGAGATAGAAAGCACTGGGAGGTCGCTTTAGACTCTAGAGAGTGGGTGAAGAAGATTTCTTGTTTTTCTTGTACTGTACTACAGGTTTTTTATACTAAGTGTGAATCAAATCAGAAGGAGATAAGTAAATTGAACCTCCTGTTGATATGGTGACCATTGAGCTCTATGTCAATTTACTACTTAGTCAGTGCTGAATTTCGCCGAAATGAAAGGAGTTAGAGCCACAAAGAGGGAATGAACTCCGAAATTGGATTCCGGTCCGAAGCTCTTCATCACGTGCCAGATCAATTGAGGCTGCTTTGTCAGCTCAAGCAGCTTGCTACGTCATATTGATGCGGCTTCTGATCAATTGATTGCGGGGCCAGGGTGCATCACTGCTCGTCATCTCCCTCCAACTGAAAATCTGACTGTCCCCAGTCAGTCGTCGAATCGAAATGAGGCTGAAGTGAGGGGGGATTATTGGTTCGGGGGCTTGATCACAATAGGTGCGTTCTGCGGAATGCGTTCTTGGTCATTGGGTTGCTAGAGCTCTGCTTCAGCGCCGCCAAACTCGCTCTGAGGCCCTGATTCTTCGTCGATCTCCTCCGGGTCCACCAGGAGGGATTCTTCGAGCTCACGCAACCGTTCCGTCGAAATATCGAGCAGATCCTCGAGTGGGGGAAGGGGAATAGAGCGGCGCGCAAAATAAGGTATGACGCGAAATGCGGCAATAGGCCGGTGGAAAACCGAGCCGTCGAGCTCACAGACGATGTAAGCGCCTCCCCGATTCCTTGAGACGACTATCAGCGGTCCCAGGTAGCGCTTGCGCATTTTCCTGCTCAGGGACTTCTCGATCGCCGTATTTCTCATCAAGACCAGGTCGCCGCGCTGAAAATCGTAGTCGCGGATCGTGTGCGCGTGCTCTTGCTCAAAACGGATCGCTGCTTGCACGCGGGCCTCGAGGACGGCGGAATGGAGGAACGCCATTTGTTCCCGGCGCTTCTGCAGGGCGATAGCACGGTGTGAGATGAGTTCCGTGGACGAAAGGACGGATGCGGGGGCCGGGAGGAGGTAGGTTGCTTCTGAGATGTCTAGTGGCAGCAACGGGTGCGCGCCGGTGACGGCAAAGAACGGTGAGCATCCCATACGTCGACGCACAGTCACTCGATCTGCCCAGAAGACTGAGTGGGCTGTCGAGTGCCATTTGGATTGGATTCCGTCCGCGGCTTTGAAGAGGGACTCCCGGACGTCGAAATGTGGGCGCTCCGCCAGATTTGCCTGGGAATTGTAACCGGAGATTCGGATGTGCCGCACGTTGTACTGTCTCTCCAGGTGAGTAAGCGCTTTCACAAACGGCGTCCCGTTGTCAGTCACGATCTCGACTAATGTCCCCCAGCGACACAAGATGTCCTGGAAGATCCACGTTGCGATCGCCGCAGCGTTTTCCTGACGAAGCATGCGCCATTCGGGGTAGTGGGTCAACGAACAACGCCCTTGGACGACGTACTTGAAGCCTCCGCTGGTGGGTAAGTGCATTGTATCCATGTACATTTTCGCAAAGATTGGTGCCGGGGTTGCGACTACAGGCGGTATGTGGATCCTGCGCGTTTGCCGTTGCTGACACAGATCACAGGTGCGGACGTACCACACCACGTCACTAGAGAGATGTGGCCACCAGAACCGCTCGAAGATTAGTGCACGCGTTGCAAAGAAGCCTTTGTGGCCTGTGTCATCGTGCGCAGATCGCATAATGAAGATTCGACGTGCAGGGGGCACGACCAGTTTATGTCGTCCATGTGAGTCTTTCCGCCATAGCGTGCCGTCGCTGATGAAGAACTCCATGCAATAGCGCACAAATGTCTTGTATTCGGCGTCGGACATGTCACGCGGACGTTGCAAGTTTCCGTGCCAGGCTTGGACCAAGTCGACTCGGTGATCCGCAAGTAGATCCGCCGGTGATCGAGGGACGTCCGTATAGGAAAGAGGGGGCGTTGGAGCGTTGACGACACTCTCTGGTACGTCGGAGTGTGTCTCATCAAGGAAGGTAGCCACTCGTTGCGGGGTGCTGTTCCGGTGGTACGGTGCGTCATTGATCATATGCACAAACCCATGCAGCTGATCAACCCAGTCGTCAAAATCGTTGTCTTCTTCTGCTGTATCGCCAGGCTGTGGGGGTCGTCTAGAAAGGCCATCGGGACGGTGAGAGATACCGGGGACATGAACGAGCTCGAAATGGAAGGTGAGTATACTCAAAATCCACCTATTGATTGCTGCGTTGGGCGCTAAATCCGGGTTTGCCAGCATTCCTTTAATGTACCGTGCGTCCACTTCGACCACGAGGTTGCGCAAACCAATTAAGTGCATCTTCCATGCTCGAAGGGCTCTGAACAAACCATACAGCTCGAGCTTGGGCTGCGAAAACCGGGATTCGCGCTCGTTCAGCGTTATTGATCCAAAACGTGCGTAGAACCGTCGAGCTAGATTTTGTGGATCACACTGCGCAAGGGTGGAGCCAACAGCAATGTAGGATGTATCGACTGAGAGGATCACTGGGGCCAGGGACGTGTAGTCGAGAGGACGGAGCGCCGGTGAGCTAAGTAGGGCTTCTTTCAGATCGTCTTGAGCTCTGACCTGTTCGTTGCCAAAGACAAATGGGACGTCTTTTCGGGTCAGCGATACGAGAGGGCTTGCCCGGCGTGCAAAATCACGTATGAACATTCGTACCACGCCAACCGTGCCAAGGAAAGCACGGACTTCGGACAGATCACGGCACGGTCCCCAACTGGCTATCTTCTCGACGCGGGAGGGGTCAGGGATGCGCCCTTCGTACGTGCAGACGTGGCCAAGGACGGTGATCGTTTCGGCGCATAAAATGGCCTTGGGCCCAGAAAAGGTACCTCCGCAGTACTTCATCCGTTGTACGATCCTATTGAGCGTCTGGAAGTGCTCCCAGACAAATCGTCGAAGCCCCGGATTGTCTGGAATGACCTCGTACCCGCCGCCGGGGAGCTCGTAACGGGTGGATGGTCCACGGACTGGGGTGTCGTCGATGTAGGGAATTGTGAAGTGAGGGATTTCGGGCTGAAGGATGAAGGTAACGTCGTCGTGGAAGATGGGTACGGAGTTTGACCATCCCATAGGTAAACTGGTGAGTCGCAGGGCGCCAAAAGGTGACTGGAACGTGGTGAAGTCACGGGAGGCTTCGTCGAGTACGCGCTCATCATAGCCAACGTAGAGATCAAGGATGCCGCCACATGCGCGGCCCGCAAACTGCTCGGCAACTTGATCGGTGAGTGGTGGAACACCCGAGTGCTGAATGGTGACAGCGTTTAGCGGCTCGAGACTGTGCACAAGACGGAGGCTGCTGCCGTCCTTCTTTACCACGCAGAACCAGCGCGACCGGTATGATGAATTTGACGGTTCGTAGACGCCAGCTGCCATCTTGCGGCGTATCAGCTCACACACTTCATTGTAGATGCCCGGTGGAACGGGAATGTTGCGCTGGACCCATGGCTTGTGTGGGACCACTGGCATGATCACGGGGTGAAAGAAGTCGGTACGGAACTTCCCTCGCTCTGTATCTGTCCAAGCGAAGCCATCATTGTGCAGACACATGAAATGGTGCATTAATCGTCGTTCCTCGGGCCACAGGAAGTCCCCGGGATGAAGGGAGTCGATGATATCGTGGCGCTCTGAGGTATAGCGGCCAGTCGGGACAAATGGAGGAGGATGGGGATCGAGGGTAGGAAGGGAGGCAAGTGGATCACCCCGTATTTCACGGACAATTCGAAAGTGCTCGGGTAGAGTACCAAGGACAGGGCGCACTTTTTGCGCTACCGGTTTGTATCGTTTCTTGGCAAACACGTCGACATGGGAGGCGGCATAAGGATTGGACGCAGATGTGGATTGGTCATAGAGAGGGACAGACACATCGTATGGAGTGAAGATAGCTGGCGATGCGAACGGCAGAATGAACGGGGGAGTTGAATCCCCCGGTGGGGACTCGGACCCCGCAGTAGATAACGGTTGTGCGTTTGAGTATGCATACTGCAATTTTTCCGAATATTGGTCCAAATTATCACAACCTGTAAGATAAAGAATATTAAGGTCAGCAGACGAATATTTATCAGGGAGAGAAACGGAGGCTTCGAGAATCAATTTTTGGGGGTCTTGTGGGTCAGGTACGATGATAAAAGCGGCCTCTCCTTGATCTGGGATCAAATCCTCGAGTGGGGAAAATCCTGGATCCGGGGACAAGAGCCACGGGGAACAGTAGCAATTGTGGTGATCTTGCCGGTGTTTGGATCTCGAATGGTGATTGTCTGGTTCTCGTCGGCATAATTTCGGATGATGCTTTCCGTCAGGACATCGAAGGGACGTCCCAGGAGGATGTCGTAAGCAGGATTTCGTACAACATGAACCTGCAAGTAGAGGGTGATATCCCCGAACGCGAAAGGAACGTTCCGTGCAAGACCAAGAGAGGGGGAGATCGATCCATTTGCTGACTGCATTCGGAGAACAACCGTGGGGTCGTAGGACGAGCCAAGCTGGTGGCAGACCGCCTCAGACATTGCGATGATTTGAGAACCGCCGTCAATGATGGATTCAACCCTGAGCCGATTGTCAACCACGGGAAGGACAGATCGAATGGCCGAGGACTCCAGGGAAACAACCAGGTCGTCAATAGACGCGCCGGAATGAACCAGTGTTTCGTAATAGTCCGGAATGATGATGGCGCCATGTGGAAGGGCCGAATTCATGTAACCAGCAGGCATTGAGTCGAAGAACGCAGCGTTTCGTGCATCACTACGCTTCTGCTCGTCCAGGGTCTCGATGTAAGCGTCTGGTGGCAGGGGATCAACGGTATATTGCTCATAAACGTTCGTTGAGACTGGCGGGGCCGCGGTTTTACCATCAGCAGCCGGAGCAACTCGACGGCTACTGGTAGCATCACGCATGCGGGAGCGCACCTCGGGGGAAATAGACATCAACTCCTGGACTGAGTTCTCGATTTTTGTGTCCATTATGCGTCCAAATACAGCGTCGGCGTGTTTCTCGTCGTAAACCGGGGCTGAGGAACGATAGGCCGGTTCGTTTTTCTTGGCTACTGGGGCCGGAACTCGTGCGCCAAAATTGCGGTCTTGTGGTGGCGCATAAGCGGCGTCTCTTGCACGGGCATACGGATGCTCGGGCACAGCGTTGGTCGGAGAAATAGCAGGCGCAGGGGCCGGAGCTGAAACCGGAGCACGGGCCGGCGTAGCAACAGCAGGGGCTGGAATACGAGCTGGGGGTGGTGTCGAGCGAATATTCTGTTCAGGAGCTTCGACAGGATCCCCAGATCGACTGCCAGCTTCGATTGCTGCACGGGCTTGTTGTCGGGTACGGACAGCCCATATTTCGCGTTCTAGCTGCTCCAAACGTTCAGAATCCGTGAGAGAGAAGGTAGACACAGGAGGACTGAGTTTATTGGATGAAAGGAAATTCGTCGAGATGTCCTGGAAATTTGAGGCAGCTGTTTGTCCGGGATTCTGCCGGTGCCATTCGTCGAATCGAGCACGTAAATTAGCTCCCGCGATACGGCGTGGGATGTAGGCGCCGCTGGGTAGGACAACTTGTCCTTCAATGTTACGTTTGCACTTGCCCGCGCGTATGTCATCCTCAACACGTGGGCAGCGCGCAATAAAATGGCCAGATTCACTGCAATATGAGCAGTTCGAGTCACGTGGAGGCGCAGGGTATGAAGGCAACGGCGTGGTTGATGAAACGGCGGGCGCAGGGCCTAGGCGTGCAGCGTTCTGCGCCACAAGGAGCTTGAGGATTTCGCCGAGAATAGCCGAATTAGGGTCAGCTTCGGACTTGACAGTGACCGGGGACGAGGCAGCTGGAGGCGCCGTGGTCTGAAACGAAAATGACCCAGTGGAATCAGCCAAAACAAATTCCACGGCTTCGTTCATATCACCGAGTTCATATGGGTCTTCAGGATGAACATCAGGCTTCTTAATTTGTAGCCGCTGGTGCACGCGGTTCCAAAGCGAGGCAGGAGCGATGGCGGTTCGAAACGCCCGGGACTGCTCAACCGGAGACAGCCGTTGCTTTAATATGAGGTATTTCGAGATGACCAGGAAAAGGCGATAAAATTCGCTATATTCAGCGCGTGAGTGAATCCCCGAGCTGGCGTATTTGCCAATGAGCGCATGGAGGTCCGAAGTCGCATATTTGCGGTCAGAATCCGTGCCGGGATAAAGCTTCAAAACTTCAGCTTTCCATGCGTCGTAGTTGTGAGGCGCGGCAAACGAATCTAGAGACTCCCAGAGCTCGGCTTCATCAAAAGGGAGAAACCGCAGGGCGTGGCGCTTCCGTTCTTGAGCATCGGCGATGCTGGCAAGCCCGAAATGGTATTCCAGGTCCGTGAAAAAGCGTGGAAGCTCACGGGGCTTCGATGGGTCGAATTCAGGTGCTCCTCGGGCACCACGGGCGGGCATGGGCACAACAGCTGCCATGTTCTGGTTCGGAGGCGGTGGAGGCGGTGGAGGCGGTGGAGGCGACGGAGAGGGTGAGACGGGACGGAGAATGAAAGGAGGTGATGAGGACTGCGACGAGGGCGAGGAATCGGTGAAGGGATCGATGGTGGGCAGGTAAGAATCTGATGACTCCAAGTTGTAGGGATGGGAGAGTTCGTGAGGAACAGGAACCAATAAGTCCTCTGAGGACGAATCGGTGTGATGTGCTGCGTCCGAGAGATTGAGAGGGTTCTGGGAAATAGCCCTGAACTCTAGACGGAGATTTCGAGGTTCAGACGGGCGGAGGGCGCGGTTAGAGCCTGAATCAATGTTGTAATTGGAACAAATCCCGCCAGGGGTTCCAAAATGACACGCCTACGGGGCGTATGAGCGCGCAGCCGTACAGGGAGATACAAGGGAGTAGTCGGAGGTCGAGGGGAGTGAGCTGCGGCTCTGGCTCGCGCAGTATTTGTGTGTGGGATTCTGATCCTAACAAGGTCAGGCTCGGGGAAATGGGCTCAACTGAAATGGGCGGGGGCAGCAGTGAGCAACAGGGGGAGCAAAGGGACAATAGAACGGGCGATGGGACGATAATGACGACGGAGGACAGGGCGAGAGCACGATAGAACGACGGGGAGATCAATATGTATGTCTGTAGCACGAAATGGGAGTTTCGGGCGCGATGTTGGGGAAATAACGCAGAAGTGGGCGTCACAAAAGCGAGATAGAAAGCACTGGGAGGTCGCTTTAGACTCTAGAGAGTGGGTGAAGAAGATTTCTTGTTTTTCTTGTACTGTACTACAGGTTTTTTATACTAAGTGTGAATCAAATCAGAAGGAGATAAGTAAATTGAACCTCCTGTTGATATGGTGACCATTGAGCTCTATGTCAATTTACTACTTAGTCAGTGCTGAATTTCGCCGAAATGAAAGGAGTTAGAGCCACAAAGAGGGAATGAACTCCGAAATTGGATTCCGGTCCGAAGCTCTTCATCACGTGCCAGATCAATTGAGGCTGCTTTGTCAGCTCAAGCAGCTTGCTACGTCATATTGATGCGGCTTCTGATCAATTGATTGCGGGGCCAGGGTGCATCACTGCTCGTCAACAGTACAAGAAAACAAGAAATCTTCTTCACCCACTCTCTAGAGTCTAAAGCGACTTCCCAGTGCTTTCTATCTCGCTTTCTCGGCGCCTGCTTCTGCGTTATTTCCTCAACATTGCCCCCAAACCCCCATTTTGTGCTACAGACATACATATTGATCTCCGTCGTCCTATCGTCCTTTCGCCCTGTCCTCCGTCGTCATTATTGTCCCATCGCCCGTTCTATCGTCCCTTCATTCCCCCGAGCCTGACCTTGTTAGGATCAGAATCCCACACACGAATACTGCGCGAGCTTGAGCCGCAGCTCACTCCCCTTGACCTCCGATTAGTCCCTTGTCCCTCCCTGTACGGCTGCGCGCTCATACGCTCTGTAGGCGTGTCAATGCTTCCTCCAAACATTATGAGGGAGATTAGAGACTCAGTTAGCGCTTAGAATTATAGTTTGTGAATGCAAACATTTTGGATATTCGACAATTTGGAATCGTGACATGTGACAGTAACAGCTTTTCTAAGGGTGCGGGATTCCCACGACCCCCATCTTAGATGGGAGTTAACCGCTAGCGGATCATACATAGGATCACTTATGTGCAACTCACTGCCATCAGTGTGCGACTTTTACCATCAAGCCAAGTCGCACACACACACACACTGTATATACTCGCCGTTTGCCAATTCAATGTCATCTAATTCTACCTCTATTATCTAATGCATGACTGACAGTCTAATTCTCAGAATCTAGTCAGTCTCTCGATCTCCTGGACAGCTTCTCCGTTGATTCTCTCCTCATGCCACAATTCTGCGATACGGAGAGCGTTCCTTCCAAGGGTTTCACCCCTCAATCCTTTGATATCCCTAAATGCCTGCTGGAATTCAATCTTGGCGTCCTGGACTGTTCCTGTGATTTTCGGTGCTTCCGGGCGAAGCGAAGGACCCATTTGACTACCAGCTCTAATCTGAGAACTATTAGTTAACCGCGTATTTGATTGGAGGTGTAAAAAAAGATGATCACCTGGAAAAGTTCGATCCCGATGGGACGTGGGCCTGTAGAAAGTAACGCTGCATTGTACGCTTGCTCTGCTCCGATAGGCCAGAAGATCAGTGGAATTCCTTGACTCAGCGCTTCCGTCGTCGAGCTTAAATCAATCAGCAACATCCAGGCCAGAGTTGGATCCGAGTTGAACTCACTTGTAGCCGCCGTGAGTCAAAAACCATCCGACTACGCCTCCTTTCAAGATGGCTTTCTGATCAACCCAATGGGCGCATACAATTCCCCTCCCACTCGCGTGAATGCGATCGATGGTCGCTTCTGGCAAGGAAGCCATCCCTCCACCAAGGACAAACACAAAAGGAACAACGTTCTGGAGACTTAGCAGCACGTCGATCATCACCTCAACGAGATGAGGTGTCATCATGGGGAAGAATATAGAACTGGGGAGATATCAGCATGAAGGGTGGGAATTAGTGTGTGTATGAATTTACCCGAAAGAGATGTACAAAACGGATTTCGGACCATATTCCTTGCGCGAATTGTCCAAGAATGCCTTCACTCTCTCATCGGTGGGGCCAGGACCTGCTGATGGCACTCCCCACTCATCATCGTGCATCTGAGGACCAAGAAAGAAGAGTTCTTGCCCGCGCTTCTTGTAATGCTCGCGAGCGAATGCAACCCCGGCGGCCTCCAAAGCGCTGCTTGCCGGGAAAAAAATGCCGTCCACCTGCTGGGTCAATTTCTGTGCAGATGCCATCATAGCAGCGAACGGGCGCAGTGATCCGGCGGATCCAGCGCCCTGTGCGACGTGCTCATGATCGTACATCCTCAATCCGCCGACGGACTCGAGGACTCGACCATCGAGTTTGTCGCTGCCATTTGCGGCGCACACGACCTATATACGCGAGAATGAGATGCCTTCAAAGGGGGACCAAAAAAGCACACGTCGCCAAGAATATCGTCCATTGTTCTTCCCGCTCGTCTGCTCTCGTCCGTGTATATCTCGTGCGCAATCTTGGCGTAGTCGTGTTTGCTGAGGTCATCCATGCACGCTGACACTCCTGTAGAGCACCAGAGCAGAACTTTTCCATCTGGTCCGATCAATAACTTGGATTCCTCGATGACCAAACCTCCTCCAAAGAAGTCCAGCTATGACGGTGATTGAGAGCCTTTGAGCGAGCCGGAAAATGAGACGTACATGCAGCGTCTTGGGCTGAGGCCAATTGGACCCTCCGGCGACTGCTGCTGCCAGGAGTTGAAACCACCCAGCCGTGAGCTGATCTAGAGCATCTTTGATGTTTTCCGGTGAAGATGGGAGGCTATTTCCGATAAAATGATCCGGAGTAAATGCAAGCTGGAGACTCACTCCTTATCGCCTACACCCTCAATCTTGAGCCTGCTCTTATCATAAGAACACGAGTCGAATTCCTTTTGCATTCTGGTGACTAGATCCTTCAATATAGAGGGTCAAACGAAAACTAACAAGGAGACACACCGAAGTTATTGTGCTGCACAATTGTTACCACCAAACTTGGATCTGAGGCCAACATTCGAGTCGTGAGGTGGACGTAAGGCCCCGCATGGCCCCAAGCCGGTGCGACGAGTGCTAAAATGTGTCGAGAGGGCATTTTAAACTATCTGAGCGAGGATGTACCATGAGCCCGGTATGTCGCGCTCTTTTATAGTTCTCCGGGAGTGTTCATCCAACCGGTACAAACGCCACCTCACCGGGAATTAGTGATTCAAGCTTTGTCACATCTACCGCCGGGCCGTCGCTGCACGCGGGCACTTCTTTTAGCTACATAGAACACTCGGGTAGACGCAGCCGTTCCGATAATCAAAAGAGAAAATGCAGTAGGCATGGATAGACGACGTCGGGCGAACAAATGCGAGTCTATCTCGGAGCTCTCCAAATGGCTGGGATAACGATGCAGGATCTTATTCCAAATATATTTTTGTAATCTCGCGCGTAGAGAACGTGGCTCCACTGCCGGTCTCAAAGTTAAAACTGAATATTGCGAAACGTTCCGGATCAAAAACTTCCCGACACGTTCATTTGAAGAATACTGACGTAAGCGCTCAATCATTGGAGTGCACGTATCGCTGAGCTAACGAAGCTATGTGCATGAATGCCAGAGTGATAGTGAACTCCCAATGTGGCCGAGGCCGATAAACATCTATTCTATGACAAACTGCAGTGAAAGAAGTCGTTGTAAGAGAGATGTGTAAGTCTGCTGCCCGATTTGTAACGTCTGTCTGCACGTGTTATAATTAGATACAGTGCAAGTTGAGCACTCGAGCGATGATTGAGTGGCTTGTAGGAGTATATGAGGGGCTCAGTCGCGGGAGGACCATTTGATGAACCCGAATTGCACTTGATGGAGTGGAAGCGCACACCGATGCCATCTCATTGATGAAAGAACGCGATTTCTATTTCAATATGTTCCTAGGTCTCCGATCCGATGGTTGAAAACCAGCACCTGAAAGAAATGATTCACAGATCTAAACAACACTAGTCACCCGTCCTGTGCCTGCGCTACGACCGCCAAGGTCACATCGAGTCGAAAACTCCACATAGCTGCCAAGTCAGCGCAATTACGTCAAGCCTTCCTTGCCTCCGCGTTTCCGATTCCTTGGATCTTCGAATTATTTTTGTCTGAATCCCTAACTGCCTTATGGAAGTGATTCGGAACTTGTACTGTTGTATTCCGCGTCAGAAATATCTCCCATAATGAGAGGTGTACACAGTACGGGAGTGAAGTCACAAGGCCAAACTGCATGGCTGTAGACACACGCGACATCACTGGAGCTTGCTTTCACACTGACACGCGATGAGTACCCACTCCAGTACTCACTGCTTTGGTCGATACTCATTCAGAGATAGACAATCTGTGTCACCACGTGAATAGTACCACGCGCAGGGAACGTTCGCGCCTGGAGAAGAGCGGCTCTTCTTCAAGACCCACCGGGCGGCGCTCTTAGACTCAGCTTCGTAGATTCGAGGAAAGCCCCCCCCCCACTTGTGAGACAGGAGTAGAGGATTATCGCTTGCATAGAATGTAGTTCATTGGAAGCCATGTGGCACAGACTTCGAATTGCCCCTACCTATCGAGACAATTCAAATCCCTTGTATCAAAATCGATAGCCATCGCTCACACACCAGGGACGACGTGGCGAATGTGGACGATGCGAGATCACTACTAGTTCAGGAAGAGGTGCCATGAGGTTTATTGTTGTAGCTTGTGGGTCCGTAGGTGTCAGAGGAGAAGCGGATCAGTAGTAGATGATAATGTATATATTGACCGCCGGTGATAGCGATTGGCATACAACTATAATGAAACTGGTTCGCATCTGTGCGAATCTGAGATGATCTGGCAAGTATTGACACAGGGTATCAACAAGCTTCTATGAATACCTATGCTCTCCATAGTCCATCCATCGCCCATCTTGGCGCAGGTCATGGATGAATAGGGACTCCTTGCTTGTGAGCGCAACGGGGATCAACATTATGGAAGTACAGCCGGCCGATATAGCCCGGCAATGGCCGATCGAAATTCGCAAGGCATCCGCGTAGAAATGTGCATTGGCCCGTGCGGGCTCGCTTTCAGCGGGTGTCGACCTATGGCGGGGCAAGGGATTAATTGGTGAATAAGGTGTGTTTTCAAACGTCGCTGATTTAAAAGACCCGTGGGCCGTGAGTACTCCGTGAAAACAAAGACCCTTGTGGTTGGTATCGGGTTTCGATAACAACACGAGGGAAAGTTGACAAGGTGGGGCAATAGGGTTGAATATTCATTCTTTTGATAGATGAAAACAAATTCTGGATTGAAACAAGCCACTTGAATTCTCAAAATTTCTATACATTACAACAACGAAATACACCACTCTTGCAATGAAGCCTTCAGCGCACAGGGCATCAAATCACAAGTCATTCCGCTCAAGTTGTCGAAGTTTCCCTTTGATGCGTGCCATCTAGCTGCCGAGCACGTTGGCCTTGAGCTTCGGAATGTCAAACGCCGATTTGCCCTGCCGGTTGCGGTAGAATGCAACATCACCTGCAGATGTTGTCTTGCATGAGAACCACGAGCAGAGAGAGCGGCAGACAAGCGCACCTTCATCCTCGATGAACTGGCAAAAGTTGTAGTTGTACCACAGGGCCTTGAAGACGTAGTCATTAGACCGGTGGTAGTGCGGGCCGACGATCTCCTTGAGGTACTTGGTCGCCTCGGCTCCGCTGTACCACGGCATCATGGGGAAGAAGTGATGGATGACGTGATAGTGCGCGACTGGTGAAGAGGAAGAGAAAATCAGACGATGATGGATCACCTGACCGGCAAGACGGGGAAAGCGCCCACAACGTACCATCATGGAGGAAGAAGCGGCCCTGCCAGCCGAGGAAGTCGCGGTCGACGGTAGCCGCGGCGCCGCGCTGGAAGTTCCACTGGCCCTTGCGGTAGTGCGGGAGAATCGGGTCCGTGTGGTGCAGGTAGGTGATCATGATGAACCAGTGCGTGACCAGCAGCCAGGGAACCCAGTAGAATTTGACGACGTTCATCGCGCCGAAGCGGGCCGAGAGATCGTACAGGATCACACCCATCGCCGCGAGTCCGAGCGTGGAGAGCATGACGTAGGCGCCCTGTCCCTTGTTGAACATGATCGCGTTGGCTGCGGGGCCGGAATTCAGCTTGGACGAACGATAATCAACGGGAGCGGGAGGGCGCACGGTTAAAGTGGTTGGAGTACTTCGGGTACCGCTTCTGTCCAGACACGTTGAACACTGCAAACAATGTCAGCCGGTGGGTCTCCGAGTCTGACCACGGCCATCGACGCACGCAGGTAGGCCGGGAACGCGATGAACTCTTGGATGAGCAGCATCGTGAGGGTGTACAGCGGGGTGTCGCCGAAGAGCTCCTCCAGCTCGAGTCCCTCGCTCTGCTCGGGCAGTTTCAGGTCTGTCCGCGTGTGCGGGACGTACACCTCGTCGTTCTCGATCGACGCGTGGTGCGAGTGGTGGCGGTGGTGGACGTAGCGCCAGCTGAAGTACGGCGTGAGAAGGAATGTGTGCGTGATGAACCCAACGAGATCCGAGATGCCACGGCTCGCGGAGAACGCGCCGTGCCCACACTAGATACGCGTCGCCAAGTTAGCCACCGAGATTCATACAAAGCGTGGATGCCGGCGCACCTCGTGACCGATGACCCAGATGCCGGTAAGCATGAGACCCTGGAACCACCAGCTGAAGGGGACAATGAGCAACCGATCAAAGCTTCGCTCGAGAACTGAGACTGACTAGGTCAACCAGGCGGCCCAGTTGGCCGCAGTCAGAGCAAGCGGAGTCGCGCCGGCATTGACGAGGTACGACTTGAGCGTGGTGTCGATGTGGGTTGCGAGATAGAAGAAAGTCCCCGCGACGACAATGTCCCGGGCCAAATACGAAAACGCGAGTCCCGTCTTGCGCTCGAAGAACTTGGCCGGAATATGGTCACGGATCTCCTTGAGGGTGCTGGAGATGACGGTCAGTGTGCACAGTTCCAGCCCCGTGGAGGAGCAGCAGACGCACTATTGCAGAGGAACGAACTCCTGTTCTTCTTTGTTGACTCGAGGTGCCATGTCGAAACCACTCAGGAGAAAGGGAAAGAGGCGATGAGGATCTTTGCCGCAAATACTGCGTCAAGATATAGGGAAGACGGAGACGGCCGAGGAGATTCTTTCGGACTAGCAGAATCTGAGGTGATGAGGCTCGAGACGGTAGGCATCACTTCGAAGAAGAAGCAACTCAAGAGATCCATACTCCAGTATCTTCACTCTCCAATCAATTTTCTCTCCGCACCTGCGGTAGGGCACGCTCATAGCTGCGGATTTAGGGACAAAGATTATCATCAGATAAGTATGCTTCGAGCCGTGTCCGGTCGCTTAGTAAAGCTTTGATGATCGATCATGCCGCGGCGTCCTGTTCATTCTCGACTGCGCATGAGTCTGGCTCTATCTGGCTCCCGAATGGTGCCATGTCCGGCACCGGGTGCTCAATTCACTTGAGTAATTTATTCCGCCCATGCAATCTGACTATTTGATGCATCAGGCGCTCTTCATAACAAGAGGCGACGATGCATCTATTTTCGTAGCCTTCCTGAATGACAATATCCCATACGCATGAATTCTTCGCGCCTATCAACCTGTTCAGTGTGTGCCAACATTCTGATATCTACAATCCGAGTTGCGCCGTAATGGCCGCAGAATATGCTCGTCGAGAAGGCAGATCAATTCCGGTCCGATCTTGCTCTGCAGAACCTTTCTCATCTAAGGACAACTGTCAACGGCCGCTGAGAATCCTCCCTACTTCCGCACAAGCTCCACTGTACGCGAAAGTCTCACATCGAAGCGATGCTCCGCTAATCTTTGTCCTGGGACTCGTGCAGCCTGCCTTCCCCGAAGCAGTGACTCCGAGGAGCAAACCTGTTTTTTGCACAGCACCGGATTCATCACGAGACCATACTTCTTTACTTTTGAGAAAGCCTTCCTGGAATAGCGAGCATTAGGTACATTCCTGAAGAGACTGAATCTCCAATCTAACGCGTTTGGACATCGGATCCGCAACACTCAGATTTTGAGCTGATTTGGGCTTGCCGTTTCGATGAACATGGGCAATTTCGGTGTCCATTAGTGGGTGAGCAGGGACCCTGTAATGCGCAGCTTGATGATCGCCATTCCCCACGACTAGGATCACTACCTGTAATCTTCTTCGGGCCGGGGGCGGAAATTTCTTTGCTGGCTCAAACCTGCAGCATTGTTGATTTATGCCGACGAGAGATTCGATGCCTTGAAATCCAAAAACCAGCTACCCAATCGATCCCAGTCAGGCGCGGGGATTGTGATTGAAAAACATTCATCAGAATGATTTACCTTCTTGGATCACTCTGCACCATGAGCGATAGAAGAAACCACTCCGTCTTCGAGCCTAACTCCGAGATAGAGCTGGCGGGTAAGACCCTAATCACGTTCATGGTCCATGCACCTGGCTGCAGACGATGAAGTCACGCGTACAGGGTAGACTCGCGAATTGCCGGAGAACATCTCTCGTTGGCAATGTTCTAAGCGGCCCTCCGTATGAACTCCAAGGATCCGGAATATCTTTCTCGCTACTTCATCGGAGCGCTTTTTATTTCCTTCCACAGAAGGCGGACATGAATCGATCGATCCGCTGAATGGATCAAGTCTCGCGCGTAAGATGCCTACGAATTGCGAGTTCGCGCAGGAATAGTCCAGCTTCGTAGATCATTCAACCCCGAGAACCATGCAAAGAACTTCCACTCATTTGGGCTTAACTCCGAATCAGACCAAGCCAGTGAGACAGACTATAATCATGTCTTGGTCGTGCGCCTCGGCGCGGGCGATGAATTCACGCGTGCAGCGGTCTGCTCTTTCGCTCGTAAGGCTCGGAGAGGCTGCCAGTATGAGATTACACGGCCTATGAGATCTATAGTTCAGCTTCAAGATTGCACTTTGTGCTCTTGTCGCCGCATGGAAGAAAGACACTGATCGATCGATTCTCACGTGAGGGCGCGGCATCATGGGGTATCCCCATTCGGCCCGGCAATCCACTCGACACCTTCCTCTCTGAGAACGCCTGCCTGAGCATTCCAAGATCTGCCGTTCGACCAATCACGATGCACAGGAAGTAATTCACGCCATATATCGAGCACTCGCAGGTTTTACCCTTGCTCTGCTCGTCTCCCCAATCTGGTCGAGCACACCAAGCACAGCTCATGTTTACTGAAAGCCCCGAGTACATCAAGAGGCGGAACACCCCGTTCTCACCGCCCACTGTGAGCCGGCCCCGTGCTCCACTGACTGACTGGCTGCTGACACGGAGAGCACAGATAACATGGAAGGAGCTGCGTGCGGTGATACCTCCCGAGCTGTTTCGCAAGTCGACGTTCCGCGGGATGGTCAGCTTCGTCAAGGACGTCGCCTCGGTCGTGATTTTGTTCGCGCTCGGCCAGCGGATCGACGGATTTGCGGCGGAGGTCGCCGTCGCGTGTGAGCTGACTCCAGGTGTCGCGTCGGTGCTCAAGTGGACGCTGTGGTCTGCGTACTGGTATGCGCAGAGCATTGCTATGGCTGGCTGCTGGTGTCTCGGTCCGTGACATCTCTTCTCCCCTCCCTCTGCGCAGTACTGACCATGAATCGATCACCATCAGGCCACGAGGCTGGACACCAGAACGTGTCGCCGTATGGCGTAGTGAACGACACAGTCGGGTACATCCTCCACACCGCGCTCCTCACGCCATACTTTGCCTGGAAGCGGTCGCACCACACGCACCACGTGAGTCCTTGCATGGGCAGTCCGGTATAGCGTGTGATGCTGACCACCCTTGTGCCAGAAAACTGTGGGCTCGATCGAGCGCGACGAGAACTACGTGCCCCGCACGAAGTCGGAACTCGGAATCACGACGAAGGAGCAGCTGCACGAGATGTTCGAGGAGACGCCCCTCTACACGCTCGTCCGCATGTGCGTCATGCAGCTTCTCGGATTCCAGGTCTATCTGCTCTTCAATACCCTCGGCTCGCCGCACGACCCGGCTGGCACCAATGTGCGTGGCCGTTTGGTCTCCCTCTCCTGCACACTCAGTCTCACGGACCCAACAGCACTTCTCGCCATACTCTGTGCTGTTCAAGCCCGAGGATTTCTGGAACATCGTACTTTCTGATGCTGGGCTGGTCGTGACATCGTCGCTGCTGATCAAATACGGCATGCAGGTCGGTGCTGCCAACCTCTTCAAGCAGTACATTTTCCCGTACTTGGTTCGTCCCAGGTCTGCACAGTCGCAGTTCCGTCGTCTGATCGTCTCGCAGCTCTGCCACCACTGGATTGTGATGCTGACGTACCTGCACCACTCTGACCCGACGCTGCCGCACTACCGCAAGGGCCAGTGGACGTTCCTTCGCGGATGCCTGGCGACTGTCGATCGGCCATTGCTTGGCTATATTGGCCGGCTGTACTTCCACAATGTCAGTCCTCGTCGCACTCTGGTGGATTGGTATTGACCGCTGCAACAGGTCTCGCACGACCACATTGGCCACCACCTCTTCACTTCTATTCCGTACTGTGCGTGCCTCCTCACACACTAGAACTTTCTCACTGACTGAGCTCCGTTCAGACAACCAGCCTGAGGTGACCAAGCGCATCAAAGCCGTGCTCGGCGTTCACTACAATGGCGACAACACGGTGCGTTCCCAATTCAAACCCCCAATTATGACTGCATCCCTCGTGCATTGCTGATGTTCTTCCCCGCACAGAACACGTTCTACGCGCTCTACCGCTCGTTCACGACCTGCTGCTACATCGAGGACGAGGGCGATGTGGTGATGTACAGCAACGGGAAGGGCGAGACGATGCGGGAAGTTGTGCAGGACCCTGGCAACCGGCGCGAGAGCGACGCGATTCCGGACATGCTGACTTCGCTGCACACGGCTGGTTGAGCGTGGTACATGCTTGTTCGGGCATTTCGTAAATCACGCCTTGAGTTCAGACTTGTGCCAGTAGATGTAAATGAATATAGTTATCGATTCCTACTCAATCATCTCCCTTCCTCATACTCTGCAAGCCGCACTTGGCACGACAACCTCAGTTTTGGCGGTACTGTTATCTCAGATCTTTCACTTCCTTGCAAGTTCCACAAGGCAGAAACCCTCAGCTTTCACTTCATTTTTGAACTTGCTGCGAGTGTCAGAATTCACGGTCATCCCCGTTCTTTCCTTTTTCAGACTCCCTACGCTTGATGCACCTCCATTTTCCAGTTTGCTGAATCTTCTCTTGCATAAAAATCAACAGGTGTACGATGACTGGCAATGAGACAAGTGAACATTTTGCTCTTCTGTCGACAGCTTTCCAACCCTGGTGTAGAACTCAGCTGGCGCGAATCAAAGGTTCTTCTCGTCTTCGATCATAATATGGTAAATAACGCGAACATTTCATCCAAAACTGGCAAGCGACTGAGGGCAGTGTACTCGTAAGCGGTGAGTGCACATCAGTCAAGTCCGTGCGCCGAAATAGGCGATGGACTAGGAAAATTATGGAGAACACGGGCCTGCTAGGGCTATATATTTTTGCTCTCGTTTACATCGGGAAGTTCCGAACCAGACGGGCGTTCGGAACTGGGATAACCAATCGGCATCGAAACTTTGCCATCATTCAGATCTGATTTCGTGGTTTTTGACGCCGCCGTGCAGATCAGAAGTTTAGTGTGGCGCTGAGGATGTAACACCGCTGCCGGTCGTCTATTAGAGGCCGTCTATTGTTTCTCCTATCATTCGATACAGGATTGACAGTCCAATTCTCAGAATCTAGTGAGTCTTGCGATCTCCTGAACGGGTTCTCCGTTGATTCTCTCCGCACGCCACAACTCTCCGATGCGGACAGCATTCTTTCCAAGAATTTCACCTCTCGATCCTTTGAGGTCAATGAATGCCTGTTGGAACTCATTCTTTGCGTCCTCCACTGTTCCTGTGATTTTCGGGGCGTCCGGGCGAAGAGAGGGACCCAGTTGATCACCGGCTCGGATCTGTACATTGGTAGGTTACCACGCATTGCATCGAACAGCGACAATGATGATTACCTGGAAAAGCTCGATCCCGATGGGACGTGGACCTGTCGAAAGCATCGCTGCATTGAGTGCTTGCTCTGCTCCGATCGGCCAAAAAATCAGTGGAATGCCTTGACTCAACCCTTCCGTCAACGAGCTATGAATCAGTCAGCAAGATATAGGCCAGGTTTGGACGTGAGCTGCACTGACTTGTAGCCCCCATGAGTCAAAAACCATCCGATTGAGCCGCCCTTCAGGATAGCTTTCTGATCAACCCAGTGGGCGCATACAATTCCTCTGCCACTGGCATGAATGCGGTCGATGGTCTCTTTTGGCAAGGACGCCATCGCTCCGGCCAGCACAAATACGAACGGGATCACAGTCTCTAGACTCAGAAGCACGTCGATCATCACCTCAACGAGATGAGGGGTCGCCAGGGGGAAAAACATGGAGCTAAGCAGATTTGAGCACAGAATTCCAGAATTAGAGAGACTTTTGTGACGCACCCGAAAGAGATGTACAAAACGGATTTGGGCCCATATGTTTTGCGCGAATCGTCTAAGAACGTCTTCACTTTCTCCTCGCTAGGTCCGGGACCTGCCGACATCGCCTCCCACTCATCATCGTGCATCTGAGGGCCGACGAGGAACAGTTCTTGTCCACGCTGCTTGTAATACTCGCGAGCAAAGGCAACTGCTGTGGGCTCCAAAGGGCTGCTCGTGGGACAGAAAATCCCGTCGGCCAACTGAGCTAACCGCTGCGCAGATGTCAAAACAGCAGCGAATGGGCGCAATGATCCCGCGCCCTGTGCCACTCGCTCATAATCGTATATTCTCACTCCACCGAAAAGCTCGATTACACGCCCATCGAGCTTGTCACTGCCGTTCGAGGCGCACACGACCTAAATGCGTTCACATGGGATGATCTTCAAAAGAAAGGGGGGAAAGCACTTACGTCGCCAAGTATCTCCTCGATTGTTCTGCCCGCTTGTTTGGATTCGTCAGCGTGTATCTCTCCCGCAGTCTTGGCGAAGTCAAGTTGACTGATCTCAGCCACACAGATCGCGACTCCGGTAGAGCACCAGAGCAAGACCTTTCCTTCCGGTCCCAACAAGGCCTTTGATTCCTCGATGATAAATCCCCCTCCAAAAAAGTCCATCTGCGATAAAATTTGTCGGCCTCGGAGCATGCGTGGAAAATCGGACGTACATGCAGCGTGTTAGGCTTGGGCCAAGTGGACCCTCCGATGACCGCTTTGGCTAAGATTCCGAGCCATCCAGCTGTGAGCTGTGTCAGACTCGCTTCGATGTTCGTCGGCGAAGGTGATAAGCTGTTACTGATGAAAACATTCGATCCAAAAGAAGTTTGAGACTTACTCCTTATCGCCTACACCCTCAATCTTCAGCCTGTTCGTGTCATACGAACACGAGCCAAACTCTTTGAGCATCCTGGGGACTACACCCTTCAGTAAAGGTAGTCAATTGAGACACCGCGAAGTCACACACCGAAGTTTTGGTGCTGCACAATCGTCACCACCAAGTCCGGATCCAATGCCAACATGCGAGTCGTCAGGTGGATATAAGGGAGCGTATGACCCCAAGCAGGAGCAATGAGTGCCAAGATGTGTCGAGAGGGCATGATGCAGATGAGGACTGACGATTTACTACGATGCCTGCAGGCATTACGCCTCCTTTATAGGTGTCAGGGGGAGTGTTCGGTTGGCGAGACATGACGAATCTGACTGGGATGAGTGATTCATAGGATGTCATGTCGCTGGACGGCCCGTCAGTACATGCGGACACTTCCTTTGCTGCATGGGACACTCGGACAGACTCATCCGCTCCGATGATCGAACGGGAATGTTTGCAGCAAGCTTGGGTAGATGACGGGCCAGAATGTGAGTGTTTTCGTGTTTTCACATGGTTGGTGCAGCGATATTAAGTTACACTCGAAATTTATTTGTGTGGTCATCTACGGAGAGAATTTGGCTGCGTCGGCCGGTTAAGAACCTCAGATGAATATTGTGCCAAGTAGGGATTCAAGTTTGACTTTGGGAACCCGACTGTAAGCATCCAATTATTGAACTTCATGGATTACTCATCTTACTGCCACAAAATTAGTCAGTTTCGTCGCTAAAACGGACGCGGTTCAATGATGAACTGGGAATGTGGTCGATACTGACGAACAAATTTGTAACATGACCGTGACACAAAGCCAAAGAAGCACTTCTCTGTGAAATGCCGCCGTCCCCGTCGCCCCGCAACCTCTGGATGCGATTGACATATTTCCCGAGGTACAATGATCGAGCTTCGGGCCGTCTTTGAGTGCTCCCAGGAATGAATGAACGGCTCTGCAGACTATCCAGCGCTGGGGATGGTTTCCACCGTCCCGTCCGGAATACGCCGTTTCTCGTGATGCCCACGGTCTCCAAAGTACCGGCAGGACTTGAGCACAGCGCTTCGAGCCCGGTAATGAGCTGCATCCCAGCTTCAAGTCCGGCATCGACGCTCCACCGGTAGCCATTCCAATCGGAAGTCGTCAAGTCCCAGCTCGCGTTAGCCTTACCCTATCGTTTTCCTCGGTCTCCCACGCAATATCCACCTCGCGCTCGACGACTGTCAACCGTTTCACTCATCAGGCAGCGTGGCCTCGCGGGCCACCGGGACCGCATGGCCGCGTGAAATTCGAGCCTCGAGGGGGTTTCGTGCCCAAGAAGAGCGCTGTACGGTTTCTGACATTGATTGGAGGAAGAGTGGAAGGATTTGACTTGACGTCCTGTTCGCGCTGCTTCGCCAAGGCGGAGAGACCCCTTCCGTGAAGCCAAGTCGGAGACAGGGGCAGAGGTTTCGGGTGACCAACAGTGCGCCTATCGGTGCGCGGGAGGGTGCCTACAACTTGAACGCAGTGGAGCAGGGCACGTGACCGCATCACAGAAGAGATGCACATGTACTCGACACATGAGTATACTCGGACGACAGCACTTTCTCGGCCCATTCTGGTGGCCGGAATCTTTCTCGGTGTCGGTGCTCTCCGCTTGCGTCTTCCGCTTTGCCGGTGCCCTTCTCAGCTGCCGCTCCGCCTCCCCCATCTTAGTTGTTGCCGCTGGCCGCAGCAGACCCAGGGGTTTGCACGGCCATTGGCGAGAGAGGCTCAGCGAGCTTAGTCAGTATTTCCATCGACCCGGAAGTGTTCATAAGGACAAGTTGCGTGGCGCTCTCCCTCTGTGCTGTTTTTCGGTGAAAGACATTCTCTGTTCAATGTTGGTGGTGTCAAGCAGAGGTCAGTAGATCTTGCATGTCCCGCTTCTGACCATGTTCTCATACCTACAATACGCAATCTCGATCATTGTAAATTGTTATTCCACTTTTCCCCTCTTCTTTATGGATGATGGACTCGCAGGAGGGAGAACTTTCTGCATGACATGACTTTTCACCCGCTCTTTGGGCATTCAGCACAAGTTCTGTCGGGTAATCCGTACATACTGCCTACTCCGACGCACGGAGCAGTCAAAAAGCATCATGGAGGATCAAGGCCAGTCAGTATGAACGCTATCCGACTACTAGACAAATCTGAACTGTTTGAGTCTCCGTTGAAATGCTTGGTTTGTGCACAAGAAATTAAAGAATGTGTGAGGTCGTCTCAATGCATAAGATAGAGATGACACTGAGCCAACGACAAAATAACGTTGAATTAATTCGAATGTAAATGAATCAGCTTGAGTAAATGGATGATTTCGACCATGTAAAGGCTGGGCATCTAACCCATCATGCCCATCTCAATGTTCTTCCCCTTGATGCTCCTCCACTCGATAGACAAGCAGCCGATGATGGACAGCCCCGTCATAGCCACACCGACGTAAAAGGCGGAGTCGAGAGCCTATCAGTCAGGTCAAAAGAAGGCCAAATGAGTTCCAAACAGCCAACGCACATGGGAATAAGCAAGCAGGACCCCGGCAAGCTTGTCAGCAGGAACATTCGAGCGCAGGGAAGTGGCGCCCGCGGAAAGAACGACGTTGGGGTCGAGGCCCGCCGCGTACTTGGCCAGTCCGCTCACGAGCTGGTTGGTGAACACGTTCTGGCCAACAGAGATGAACAGCGCGCCACCGAGGGTCTGCGAGAACATAATGATTGCTGTGCCAGATGGAACGTCGATCATATCCAGCACGGTTTGGACAGCCAGCGAGGGCTGCTGCAATCCGAGACCAAGACCCAACCCAAAGATGACCTGGTATGGGATCCATTTCGTGTGGCCTGAGGACACGCCGAGAGTGGTGATCAGTCCCGCGCCGACGCTGGCGATGATGGTCGAGGCAATCATGAACGGTGCGTAGTATCCCACTTGAGCGATGACTACGCCGACCGAAATAGAGGCGAAAACGAGAGACAGGATCATGGGCAGGGTGGAGATGCCCGAGTTGACAGCCGAGACGTTGTGGATCGACTGGAAGTAGATCGGGAGCTGAGACCATGCGGGTCAGTTAAGCCGGTCACAGCGGGAAACATTACACGCACGTAGAACGAGAAGATCATGAACCCAGAGCCGATGGCGAACAGGTACCAGGCGCTGCTCCAGATGGTGCGCTTCTTGAAGATGCGCAACGGGATGGTGGCACGATCACCTTGCCAGAACTGGATAGCGATGAAGGCAGAGATGAGAACGCCGAACACAACGAAGAGACCGATGACACGGCCGTCCTTCCACGGGTACTTGGATCCACCCCACTGCAGAGCGAGAAGCAGACAGACGATCGCAGGGATGAAGATGGCGGTTCCCATCGGGTCGAATTGCATCAACCTGTCTTTGAAGGACATCTCTTCCCTGACCGGCGGCTTACCCGGCATGGTGAAGAAGAAGGTGAGGAAGAGAAGAGTGAATGCGCCAGGAGGAAGGTTCTGGGTGGCTCAATCAGTTTCGATTGTTACATGTAGCAACCTGCTCACGATCAGGAAACACCACCGCCAACTGAGTTTGTCGGTGAAGACACCACCCATCAACGGGCCAGCGACACTGGCGATACCGAATGTGCCACCAATGATACCGGTGTATATCGGCCTCCTGGCGAGTGGGACCGTGTTGGCGACTATGATCATGGCGCCGGAAAAGATCCCCGCCGAGCCTAACCCGGCGATCGCACGACCGATGATGAGCGCATTGGAAGTCGGGGCTGCACCACAGATAGCAGATCCTACATGTGATATCATATGTAAGATCTCCGGAGGTCAACGCCAGCAGAGAAACAGACTTGCCGAGCTCGAAGACAAGAATAGCCGTGATGAATACCCACTTGACTGGCATGAACGTGTAGAACTTTCCAAAGAGCAATTGTGTAGCGGCAGTCGTCTGATAAGTCCAATGAGTTCAATCAAGGAGCCACAGAAAAGGAGTTGTGCACGAACGAGTTGATATCTGGACACAGCAAGCAGTCAGTCTCCGGAATACAGGCGCAATCGATGAGATGCTCACGCAGAACCATACCACCCCACGTCGTTCAGCGACTTGAATTGGTCTGTGATCTTGGGAATAGCGGTCGCGATGATCGTATTGTCCTGCCAAATCGAGCGATGAGACTGCGTCCGCGCGCACAAGCGACAACACGCACCAGAGCGACCAGGAATACACTCAAACACAGGGCGATCGTCAGCAATCCGAGCCTTAGCCCAGAGGGATACACAATTTCTTCCTCTTCCAATTCGGCAGACTTTTCAGTGGGAGCGGAAAAGGAACTGTCCACGCCATTGGATATGCCTGTCAAACCAGACTGCTCCTTCGAAGTTTGTAGGGTGAGACCGGCGTGGTCGTTCACAGTCACCGTGTGCTCGGTGGCGACTGAGAGTGAAGACATTAGGGTGTTCGTATAGGAGGAAGGACGTATGAATGAGGAGGGATGCCGGATGAAGCAGAGATCAGTGGTAGGCTTTTATGTTCGCCCCAGGGGGAGTGCAAACGGCCAGATTTTACGTAGGGAGAGTGACTGAGGCGGGCCGTACATGTTTTCAATCTGCAGTGGATGATGAAGAGCGGTGCGACCTGGCAAGATTCGCATAAGCAGAGTTGACTGAAGCCGGGATGCGATTCCGAAAATGGTAAGGCCGCTTCCGACGCGCCGAACTTTCCCCAAGTCCTCAGTCACGTCCACGAAAACTAAGGAGCACGCACTGTGATGACGCAGAGGGAACCCGCCTTAGGATTAATAGAAGGACCAGGCTGAGCTTGTCACCGCTACTGTATAACGAGGGGCTGAACAGATTGTCAGAGATCCTATAGACCAAAGCAGATGCGCACAGACGGACACTGGAGGATGAAAACACATCACCGTCGAACGCGCTCGGGACTGTATGTGTCGGCAATGACGCACATCGGGCCTAGAGTGGCATCCACGGGCCCGGCAGGTTCGAGTCTGGCGGCAGAATTAATGAAATTCGCCGCGGCACTGATGAGGAGGCTTCCGCAGCACCTTTTCAGAACCAAGTAACCACGCGACTGTCATGCCGTGCACGATCGTCAGGTGACGCGGAGACATGCCTGACATGTTGGCACCGAAAGACATCGAGTAGGCGGATACATTGGCGCCGAGCGGGCGGGGAGTCGAGACAGATGGAGAAGGTGACAAAAATACGGCCCGGTTGTTTCACCGTTTGCGCGGACTTAGAAGGCCCTGGTCACAAGCGAGCATGGGCCGGCCATGATCCGTGATGGGACATCAATAGTACCTCGCGCACTTCACTGAAATAGTCATATCCTGTAGATGATCTGTTGATTCCAAGCGAAGAGATACGAGTCAAATTAATCTCCTTTGATACCTGATGCTCTGTGTGTGGTGCCCTACAGTTGTAAAAGTCATATCCTTATGGATCACGTGATGTGTTAATGCGGTTGCAATGTTTCGAAAATCGTGTTAGGCGCTCATCTTACCACACCACACTTTGGATTCAAATCACCATTTGACAGAAAATATACTATGGTAAAAAATCGAAATTTACAGAGTTTTGAGAAAGGTGACTAGACGAATCTAGCATTGGGGTAGGTTGATCTGGACTCTTCCGAAGCACAATAGCTCTATAATCACGGAAAATTGGGAAAAACCGGGTGAGAGGTATGTGAAGTTGAGACAGCCTGGCCTGCCTAGAAGAAAATTTATATCTGCTATCTGCTGCTCACTTCGAATGAACATCATGGTGTGAATGTGGACTGTGATACAGTGCCCAAAAAAGGATTACATAGGCTTCGCAAGGGACCGAATTCAATGCATCAAGAAGTATTCCAGTCATGTCAAACCTGCAAAAATTGTTTTTTCCCTCTATCTAATGATTGTCTAATACTCGATGTCATTCATTATATGACTATCGATCAAATTCTCAGAACCTGGTAAGCCTCGCGATCTCCTGGACGGGTTCTCCGTTGATTCTCTCCTCACGCCACAACTCTCCGACGCGGACAGCATTCTTTCCGAGGAGTTCACCTCTCGATCCTTTGAGGTCAGAGAACGCCTGCTGGAACTCAGTCCTTGCGTCCTCGACCGTGCCCGTGATCTTGGGCGCTTCCGGACGAAGCGAAGGACCCAGTTGCGCGCCAGCTCGGATCTTTTCATTGTGAATCACTGGATATTTTTCTGATAAGCAGCTGGCAAATACCTGGAAGAGCTCGATCCCAATGGGACGTGGACCTGTCGATAGGATCGCCGCGTTGACAGCTTGCTCCGCACCGATCGGCCAGAAGAGGAGCGGGATGCCTTGACTCAGCGCCTCGGTCAACGAGCTGCAGATTATTGAGTGACATGGAGGTCAGTTTTGAGCGACAATAGGACTGACTTGTAACCGCCGTGAGTCAAAAACCAACCAATCGTGCCGCCTTTCAAGATGGCTTTCTGATCGACCCAGTGAGCACAGACTAGTCCTCTGCCGCTGGCGTGAATGCGATCGATAGTCTCTTTCGGCAAGGAAGCCATCGCTCCGGCCAGGACGAAGACGAAGGGAATCACAGTCTCCAGACTCAACAGCACATCAATCATCACCTCAACCAGATGAGGGGTCGCTAAGGGGAAAAACATAGAGCTGAGGAGGTTTGAGCGCGGAGTTTCCAGATTAGAAAGACTTTGTGACGCACCCGAAAGAGATGTACAAAACAGATTTCGGGCCGTATTTCTTGCGTGATTCATCCAAGAATGTCTTCACTCTCTCATCGGTGGGTCCGGGACCTGCCGAGGGTGCCTCCCACTCATCATCGTGCATCTGAGGACCGACGAGGAACAGTTCTTGTCCCCGCTGCTTGTAAAATTCGCGAGAGAGGGGGGCGGTGACCGGCTCCAAAGCACTGCTAGTAGGACAAAAAAATCCGTCCACCAAGTGAGCCATCTCTTGCGCTGATGCCATCAGCGGGGCAAATTGGCGCTGTGATCCCGCGCCCTGCGCAAAATGTTCATGGTCGTATATTTTCAGACCACCGAGAATATCAAGGGCCCGTCCATCGAGTTTGTCGCTGCCATTCGCAGCGCACGCGACCTGAGTACGCTAGCATGAAAAGATCTTCGAAAAAACAGAGGGAAGCACACACATCGCCGATTATCTCCTCAATTGTTCTTCCCGCTCGCTTGCTCTCCTCAGCATATATCTCACGCGCAGTTTTGCCGTAGTCGTATTTGCTGAAAGTGTCCACGCAGGCTGTGACCCCAGCGGAGTTCCAGAACAGGATCTTGCCTTCCGGCCCTAACAAGGCCTTCGATTCTTTGATAACAAATGCCCCTCCAAAGAAATCCATCTGTCACGGGGATTCAGGGCTTGTCCATGACCTCGGAAAGTTGACGTACATGCAGCGTCCTCGGCTTGGGCCATGTGGAGCCTCCGGCAACTGCCTTCGTGAGGAACTCAAGCCATCCAGACGTGAGCTGCTTGGTCATCCCTTCCATGGCCAGGGGCGAAAATTGCATGCTGTCTCCGATTGAACAAGATTGTCGGAAATAAAGACGGGGACTTACTCGGGATCGCCCACACCCTCGATCTTCAACCTGTTAACATCGTACGAACAGGAGCCCAGCTCCTTCACCATCTTGGGCACTATGCGGTTGAAATTAGAGGATTGAATTGGAGAACCGAATGAATTATCATCTGAGACACCCACCTAGGATGTTGTGCTGCACGATCGTCAGCACCAAGTCCGGATCCGAAGCCAACATGCGCGTGGCAAGGTGAATGTAAGGTAGCGCATGACCCCAAGCCGGGCCGATCAGCGCTAGGATGTGTTGAGAGGGCATGCTACGGTTGAATGGTGTGAGCGAGTCTAGTATCAATGGTGGAATGAGTGAGCATTAGATAGGGCATCCTTTATAGCTGCAACAGAGTTGACAGCGAGCGGCGTAGACAGAAGGACTTGTCAGTGGGCCATTCGGGATGAGTCATCATCGCAGATGTGCTTGCGCAACACTTTCGGCTGCACAGCCTCTCTGATGACAATCGTGCCGGAAGATAAACAACTTCAAATTGCGTTGACCCTCGGTAGACGACGCGAAAACTGCAATTATGTTCTTTTTGTTTCTATAAATGAGCGGGCCTCTCTCTCTCTCTCACTAGACGTCGCTAGCTTGAGTCAACGAACGGTAAGCCGGCGGTTACTAACATTAGACGCCGAATGCGATGTTAATCTCTGTGCTTACCAGCGTCAAAGAAGCAGTTTTGTGAAAATAAAAAGGTCTGAGCGGTGTTCCGCTGCCAGAATAAGCACGGTAATCTGCTCCTTTGTCATTTCAGCCTAGAATAGAGACGAGAGGTCGTTCTCGGAAGGCGGTGTTCCGCTCAGATCTACATTGTGGGGAAACGGCTGGAATGAATGGTGAATTATGCTTCTTGCACCGTGCGTCTGAGCTGCTGACAATTGACTTGACCTATGTACCAAGCTCTTTTTCGGTTCCATTCAGCCAGATTCAATCTTGGACGCACGGATTCCTACAGGCTACGTGAAAGTACCCCGAAGTATCTTTGGAGCGCTGCAGAGCGTTTTTGAGATTGTCCTCGCGCCGGAAAAATACTCTGAATAATTCCAAGTCAAGTTGACCCTTCCGGTGGTCAATGAGCTCCGAGGCAATCACCTTCCAGGTATCATTAAGACCTATGACTCCAAAATAGGCTTTCAGGACATCTGTATCAAATATAAAATCCCATTGAACATTGACCAATTCATTTCAAAATACAAGAACAGACAGCATTGGATGCGCCTGCGGCGCTCTCCAGTGCTTGGCTACGCTGTGGAGTGCCGCAGAAGTGTAATTGTCATTGCTGCTCCTGACGAAAACGCCTTGCAGGATGTTGCTGCTACCTTCGCGTATCGTTCCCACGTCCACCAAGGTCCCAGCCGACGTTGGCAGCATCTTGATCGTCGTTGTCGTCGAGGTCAATAATATGGAGTGATTGGAGTGCCTCAGTAGCACTGCTACGGAACTCCGCGGCCGTCTAAGTGAGCCCGATTCTTACACCTGCATAAATGTCTCAATCCAGACGATTCCCGTGATGACTGTAAGTCCCCACGTGACCGCGACACGCTGACCCAAAACTCCAAAGCTCCAAGGTTGTTAGCCGTTTAGGTTGATCGTTGCCCGCCCTCAGCTCGAAGTGCTCACTAACCAGCACTCACTCGAATCTTTTCAGGCAAGGGTTCCAATATCCCGGGCCGCTGAGCCGAAGTTTCACGTGCAAGAAGATTGATTCCGCAGATGATCGATTCTAGGATTTCCGACCTTATCTTGGCGAGATAAGAGTGTCATACACGATCAGAAGTCCTTTCATGGGAACAAATCACACGCAAGTGCTCCAGAATTCCACGACGAATTTGCGAAGCCACAAACGACGGCATTGGTTTTTACTTCACCATGACGCTCTCCCTCACTCACTCGACCCCATATTTTATCGACGCCACTCTCGTCATTCAATCAGAGCAAACACTGTTTCGGGTCTACCCAGCCATTCTCGCAGCCCAGTCTTCTGTGTTTCGTGACATGCTAACGTTCCCGCATCCTGGTCACCAGGACGGTTCCGCACGGGCATTGGGCGAATACTACGAGCCTGGATGTCCACTGGTGGTTGTACACGACAAGAAGGAGGATATGGAGGTCTTCCTAGATGCGATATATGACTCCAGGTGGGGGATCATTTCATTCGTAGTGCATTTGTGTGAGCTTTCTCAGCTTTCTCGCACACCCGGAAGCACTGCCCTCGGCAACAATTACCGCGCTTCTTCGTCTAGGACGGAAATACGATGTCCCGCATCTCGAGCGAAGAGGCATCTGCGAGCTCTCAAAGATTTACCCGACCACGTTGGACGCATGGGATGGCACCCTCGCTAGATCGCCCCGGATTGACTCGACCAAAATTAGACGCAGCAGGGCAAGACAAAACCTCCCCATTCCAGATGTCCTTGCGTTGATCCGCGAATTCGACCTAGTTTGGATGCTGCCTGCCTTGCTGTACCAGCTCTGCTCCCAGAGTAAGACAGACTACACGATCTCCGCGGAGAAGATCGCCGAATGGGATCCGGACATCGCCACCACAGCCGATCTGCTACGGGCTCGGCAGATCGCTTTCAGTCAAACAAGTCTTCTCGAGTTCCTCATCTGCCCGTTTGGTGCAAGGAAACATCACTGTTTATCACCCAAGTCGTGCCTATCAGAGAGGCGATCTCTTTTGGATTTCGTGCTGAATTGTTGGACGGACTGCCACATGTGCCCGCTGGAGATGTGGACCGAAGAAGATTGGGCGGTGGTCGAGGAAGATACATTTTCGGATGATGATTCAGACTCCGAGTCTTCCAGTCGGTCGTTGTGCCCGATGTGTCTAAGAGAGATGCGACGTGTTCATGGACAGGCACGTCGTGAGTTTTGGGATCTGTTGCCTTCAATGGCTCTCGGAACAGGCACTTCATGGGAAAAGCTTCGGAGACTGGAAGCGACGAGGGTGAGTGAGTAGCTGGCACGGAACTGCGGATCTGGGGCGCAGTCAGTGCACAGGATGAAATACTTCGAGTTCAATATCACACTTTACTTTGATTGCATCTTCTTTGTTGTCATGACCTGGAAAGTCACCTGTCCAACGAACTGCGGAAGGCGATGTCTTGCGGCCGTCGGTTTCGCAAATGGTGTTGTAGCCTACAATCGGTCGTCATTGAGCGCCGATCTCCCATCAATCCATGCGACAGCAAGCACCACGTGGCACAGCCTCCATGGTGTCCAGATATGGTCTCCGCATCACATCACATTGTAATTCTGACTAGATCAGACATACATATCCTCTTTGCAACTTCCACTTCCCTTTCGTCCCACTTCCATCTATTCACTCAAACCACCACGGTATACGATGTCGCTCCCTCCCGTTCCTCCGTACCCTTATCCACCCCTTACACAACCTCAATACCAAGAGCCGCAACAGCAGCCGCAGCAGCAGAATCAGCAACCGCCGCAGTTCACATTCGTCGAATCCCCCCCACACTTCGATAATCCACTGGTGGCGCCGCGGCCCCATAGGGTCGATCCGCAAATAGGTGCCAATGTGAGTCTCTGCGTCCATCGGTGCTGGCGGAGGGAGCATCTTGTATAGTCTTGCCTGCGGTGCGAGGGCAGTCAGCGAGGGGCACCGCGCGAGGAGTTAGATTCAGCGGCGATACATCATGCGTGAAAGGGCTAGGCTCTTACGAAGGCTCGAAAGGCACGAAAAGGAACGAACGAGCAGCCTTTACGTTACGTACGCGATGTCGTCGTGCGACTGGGCACTTTGTCTATGGGGATGGTGCTGGGACGACTGGGACGAAGCCGAGCCAGAAACCGCTTCGTCGCCTCCCCCGTCCGCCCCTACCCCACGTTCTCCGCGATCTCCATCCTCCGCCTCATTCCCACCTGTTTCGCCTTCGTACACTAGCACGACAAAGGACAAGATGAATGCTGACGCCAGTTCTCAGATGGCCCGCGATCTTGACGCCAGCACATACGTCGCGACAGCTTCGTCTTCCTACAATGCGCCCACGCTCACGCCAGGCTCAGGGAGGACGCCATCACCATTGCCACCACCACAGGGCTCGGACTGGTCCCCGTGGGCCGGTGCCACGGGGATGGGCTTGCAGCAGAGGCCATCGACAGCAGCTTCGATGTCAGGGCCGGGAATGGACTTCAGGTTGCCTACACCACCCAGGTGAGTGCTCGAGTATCTACTGCGCTGTTTCTTTAAACGGCACTTGGCTTTTTTTCGCGGGGGGTGAATTGCCGCATATGCACGTGGTCCAGGCTGTGGGCCATGCGGGAAACCGCCTGGCCAGTGCTCCAGCGCCCAATCCTGTTGCGAAGCGGGATCTACCTGCTGCCAAGTGCCCAGTCACTCGAAACAGGTTGCGCCAATCTCGGAGATTGTGACCTCATCGATTTGATCATTCTTTCTCTTTACACGCATATACTCACCATGTCTGACAGAGACGGTACTCTCACCGTGGCGCTTCCCTCGTTATCTGCGCTTAATGCCGCGCTCACGACCGTCACCCAGCCATCCCATGACCCGCAGCTGCAACTCGCCTGGGCGCGGGACGTCATGTTCCTCGTCGATCGCACACCGACACTCGCCTCATCCCCACTAGCCCTCGCCGCGGTCCCGCTCATCCTCTCTCTCGCCCAACCACCCAGCAGCATCCCTGAAGCAGTCTATTTGCGCGCTACGTTTGCTGCGTCTGGCGCTTACCCCAATCATGTCCCAGCCAGTCCCCGTGCCGCATTTCGAGATTTTGAAGCCGCCGCTCGCGCCGGGTATGCCGCGGCGTGGTTCCGTCTCGCGCGGGACTACGAGGCGTTTTCGGACAATGCGCATGCCATCGATTGTCTGAATCGGGGGGCGAAGGCGCGTGATCCGGCATCCCTGCACCGACTGGGCACCGCGCATCTCCTCGCGCAACTGGGACTGCCAGCGGATCTCGGCGCGGCTTTGCCGAATCTTCACCAAGCAGCGTGTCGCGCAACGCTGCAGTGCCCCCAGCCGGCTTATGTGTTTGCGCTTATTTTGCTCAGCGAGTTTAACGGCGGTGGAAATGTGCCGACGGGTGCGGTGCAGCCGTTCCTGCCACCAGGAGAGTCCCGAGAGGGTTACGCGCGGAAGATGCTTGAACGGGCGGCGGCCCTCCATTTCGCCCCCGCCCAGTACAAGTTAGGGCACGCCTTCGAGTTTGCAGTCCCCGCGAGGTGTGTATACATATGCGTCTGGTTCTTCATGATCGCCAATGACCAACTTCCGCAGCGCATTTCCATTTGATCCGTTACTGAGTGTGCAGTGGTACAGTCTAGCGAGTCAGGCAGGCGAGGCTGAAGCTGATATGGCGCTGAGCAAATGGTTCTTGTGTGGTGCAGAGGGTGCGTTCCTTATTTCGTCTGCACTATGCCCACTTATCCTGCCGCCAGGTGCATTCGACAAGGACGAATCGCTGGCCCGTACGTTTGCCGAAAAAGCCGCTTCGAAAGGACTAGCGTCGGCTGAATTTGCAATGGGGTACTATGCCGAAGTCGGGATTGGCGGACCGAAGGATGTGCCATCCGCTAGGTCTTGGTACACCAAAGCGGCGGGTCACGGGAATGCGGATGCGCGAGAACGGTTGACGGCATTGCAGCAACCGGCGCCCCAAACGCTCGGGCGACAGGAACACGACACTTTGACGGAGAACAAGCTCATGAGGAAGAGGACGCAGGCGAGGATACGCAGTGACGAGCAGAGTCAGCAGACTGGGTGCGTCTTCCCTTCTGTCCGCGGCAGTCAAACCGACGCTCGATCAGCCTAGTAAACCCTCATCCTGACCCGTATGAAGCACGTGGTCCACAGCAACAGGCTCAGCAACAGCAGCAACAGCAGCAACGACCGCCTCCAGGCGCATACAACAACCCGAATCAGCGCCGCACCCAGGTGATGGAACTCGCGCGGAAAAGCTCGATCGCAGAATCATCGCATTACCGGGGTGCCAGCACAAGTTTGGACTACCGAGCACCCAGCCAGCCGCAACAACAGCCTCAAAGGCAACGGATGGGTTCCAACTCAAATCCACCGCGAGAAGGATCAGTTCCCCCGAACCGCATGCCGCCGAGGGAACCGAGCGTCCCGCCCGGCGCAACGCGGTACTCGTTGGCTGATCCCGGCGCTGGCCGGCCGGGGAGCGGGCAGAGCAGTCGACCGGGGAGTGCGGCGGGTGCGTCGGTGCGGCCGATGGGCACACCTCCGATGAGGCGGCCAGGAGCGAATGCTACCACGGGAACGCCCGGGCCGAAACCCTCCACGAGCGACGACGAGGGGATTGTGACCAAGACGGGTGGAGGAGGACCTGCGACGTTTGCGGAGATGGGATTCACGGGTGCGAAGGCTGAGGACAAGGAGTGCGTCGTTATGTAAGGAGACATCTAAGTACATGTTTTGGTCTATCTATTATATTGCAAAAGGACTCAGGATGATAGAATTGGATCCCCCCATGTCGATCACGTGATACGGCAAAAGTATCGCACGCCCAATTAGAAAGTATTTCAAAGAAACGGCGATGGATGATAGTAAATAATGAAAAGTATGACCGCTGAGAAGATCGAAATCCGTCCATGATCCACGCCTCCCAGAAAAAACTCGTCACTCGCAGCGGAAGACCTGTCCATCCCACACACTTCTTTGTGGATAGCGGCAGTGATCTCGTTCAGCCTGTCCGTCGGGTGTCGTGCCCGTGATTATGTCTGGCGCAACGCCGTTCTCGACCCAATCGACGACCGCCCAGAGGACATTGTGCCTTGCGTCGTTCTTTGCATTGGACGCGGGGCCCCCCTGCCCGAAGCGGGACGCGGCGTTGGGTGTGCCGCCTTCGCAGTGGTCCATGCCCGGAACGAGAAACAGTCGGTAGAACGAATCCAGAGAGGACATAGACATCGTCTGTGCGATCAGGTCGTACATCCGTTTCGAGTTGCCTGATGCGATGAGCTGTTTGGCCAGAATCAGTCGCTGATGACGAGAAGGCTGGCGATGGACGGATATAGGCTCACAGGATCCATGCGACCGTGGTACGTCAGAAACTTGCCGCCCCTATCTCGGAACGCAGAAAAGTCGCCCTCAAAAGTCGATATCCCGCCCGGATTCACAGCATCCATGAGATCCAGTTCCTTGCGGCCATACTTGTGAAAGTCGTATTCGGTGGTATTTGCGACCGTGTACTTGAACCAGTGCTGGAAGCGTGTGAGTGAGCCGTAAACGCCAACGAGAAGACCCTATTTACCTCGGTGAAGATGAAGAAGTCGCCATTGAAAACCCATCGCACGAGCGGACTTGCCTCTGCACCGGGATCGAATCGGGGATAAACGAGCTCGTCATCGGCGTACAGTGGCGCATAGATCTTGCGCAGCACTTTGACCTGCTCCAGGGACAAACAATTGCTGTTGCCGTCACTGCACAGTAGAGCCTCAGGCCTGAATCTGCACGCATCCGGCTCGGTCACGATGCCATCCACCACGCCATCCAAGGCGTCACACTGCCTCATGATCTCAGCTGTCACGGCGCCCCATTGCTCGGTAGAGATGAACGCTGGGGAGGCGGGCCCGTCTGGAGCCCCCGCCCACCTCGTGAGCATCCCGACCCAGTGCACGAGATGGTTGTTGTCCGTCGCCGGGGCGCCAGCAACGATTCCGTCAAAGTCGTCCGGGTGGTGCAGCGCAGCATAGGTCCCCTGCCGGCCGCCGGTAGAGCAGCCGAGATAGTAGGACTTTGAGTGCGGCCGGGTGTAATACGCCGATAGAAGTTGCTTGGAAATCACAGTCGATACGTGCACCGACCGAGAGGCGAAATCGGTCAATACTTCGGGTGCGTCGAGGAAAACGCGTCCGTCGTTCCCATCGTGTCCGTTGTTTGATCCAACAGTGGCAAATTGCAGCGACGCGCCGTATTGGAGTCGGTCATAGTCGATGCCTGATACCCGGGATGATCAGCGGGTCTTCGAATACGAGAATACATGGACACACGCACATCCACCGATTCCCGAATTCCCCAGTGCCAGAAATCGGCCCTCCCACTGATCTGGACGGGGCAGCCACGTCTCCGCTGTCACCGCAGAGACGTTCGTCGTGTGCACGACGAACTGGACCCGACACACGTCCGCGCTGACGCGCACCCGATCTGTGGGTCCAAGGCAGGTGCCTTGCGGTTTGACGCGGGAGCCTGCGCGCAGATACGTCGCGCTCGATATCGTCGTGGAGAACGTCAGGTTGAGGTCTGCGCGCGTGCCGAGGGCGAGACACGCGGCGGCGTGTGCAGAGTAGGCTGCGGAGTCAGGGACTAGCATTAGTGGCAACAGGCGGGCGAGGGCGGTGAGTCGGACGAGCAAAAACTCCAGCATTGTGTAAGCGCACAGCGGAGCGAGCGGGTCAACGTGATGGCCAGCTAGAAGGGGGGAGGGTGGAAAGGGGAGGGCAGATGGAGGGTAGTGAATACTTAGTACATATGGTCAAATTTTGACATCGGAGGACTCACGGAAGTACGACGCGGTGGCGGCGCGCAATCAGATTCAGATCCCAATCCAACCCAATCCAGTTCTTTCAGTGCTAGATATGTAACCTCTCGGGCCCGTCGTTCTTTGCATCGAAATTCGACATCAACGATCATGCGGCCGTCTGGAGATCCAGGTGCACTACCTGATTGCACCCGAGTAAGAAAACCGGCCAAGAGGAAACGAAGGCAGGACGCGGTGGGTCCGCGCCCGCAGGGTCATCAGTATCAGCCAAAGGGAAAAAGCTAAGAGGACGTGACGTGTGGAAGCGAGAGGCAAGCTGAGAGTATTTTGGTTCTCGATCGGGTTTAGACTACGGAAGCCGAAACCGAAGGTCCGAAGCGATGTCGGACCCTCCTGATGCCCGGACCTCGTTCTCCCACGGTTTGAAAAGGAAAAGGGAAGGCGCCTGCCATTTGCTGACTTGCCCCTGACGAAGAAATTTCGACAATCTCCTGATTCACACGGTTCGATTTGGCTTGGGCAATTGCTTCCGGCTCGCCGTGGCAGACTCGTCAGCTCGGACGCAGTCTGCTAATTCTCCGAACGGGAAGGACTGGAAGAGGCAAAAACGTAGAGCTAACGATAAATTATAAATCACGAGTCCCAAAGGTCTTGAAAACTCGGCAAAATGCATGTCTCTGTGCCTTGCTGGAGATGAGTCCAGACCCGACCCTAGGCTGCTCCTAATCCCCTTCTGTTATTCTGAGCCCTGGCTTCGAGTCTAGAGACATTGGAAGTCACGCTGCACCATTGAATAAACGAAATCTTCTTCTTCTCCGCTCAGCATAATGGCTGACAGGTTCTCTTCCCTTCTTTCAGGCAGGAATCCCGACGATTCACGTCACATTCGAGAAGCCCCTTATCTTGTTGTAATCATCCCTCGCCTATGGATGACCGAAAGAGTATGCTTCGTATTTGCTCCGGACCCCGAAGTCGGACCTTGATAATAGTATGAGCATGAGCACATGAAGTGCAACTCTTCCGGCCCGGCCGCAAAAACAAACATCCAGATTGGCTTTGTGATATGGTCGCGAGCCAGTGAAACCCAAATTGTGTATCATGTGATGCGCGGCGGAGTACCCATGCCGCCAGCATCTCCATATTTCCCAGGAGAAAACATACGATCTGATGTTTCCTGAACACGTTGAATTAACTCTGAAACGACGGGAGCGACTGAATAACCGGGATCCCAAATATATATATCGGTTGACAGATGTGATAGTGTCCAAGGACCTGGCCCGTCGCGTCGAGCGATCTATCCTCAGGGTCCAAAGTCCTGGATGAGGCTCTCACATGTGTGCTCTGTTTTCTGTCGCAGCGACCGACCATCGGTCCGGAGCTAAGCCGAGCGATCATACGGTAATTTCTGAAAATGGCATGTAAGGGCGTGAAAAGGCACTTTATACATAGCCCAGTTTGAGACAGATCGGGATATGTCGGTCAGTAAGACCAGGGCGAAGTGTCTTGGCTGCCTGTGCGGACCTACATGCTACCATGCGATGATCTTAGTGAGGACAGGATCACGATCAGCTCAACTTACTAGCGCCAGACGCTAGCTCCCGAAAGAATCAGCTACTCCTCACAAACTATGGGTGAAGCGAGGAATAGGAAGGGGGCTGGCTACCCACACTCGGAGATTGGCCTCTAAAACCGTACCTAGCTCCCGAGATGGATGATCGGTAGAATTCTCGGGAAGCAAGCACACTTGAAGCCAGGGATGGCTCCATGATGAGCTGGCTGTATCCACGAGTCTGACTCTGTTCGGCAGTTGTAGGCCGTGGCGAGCAAGCGAGGGAAAGGGCTCTAATGGACCGTCAATAATTAGTGATACTGGCGGCCAAATTCCGGATTCTGAGACCGGCTGAGAGATTGTCGTTTTTTGTGCAGAACGTGCTCATTCAATTTGGAGGAGCTCGTGAAGCGCTCACTGAACCTCGTTGAACATTTGAATTCTCATCAGACGTTGCTATTGGGAATGAATGCGGGCGCTGGTGATGCACTGATGACTGACCCACGTCGACGTAGAAGGTCCGCGCTGGCATTTCAAATCTTGGAGATTCCTGTGAGATGAGATGAGATGTGGATCATACGCAACGTTATCCTACGACCTTCTCAGCCTCGAAGTTATAAGTACTGGCGCCTGCAAGAGCGACGTCACTAGGATCCCCTATCTGGAATATCAGAGCGGTATAACCGGCCCGGCTCTCGTTCCCCGCGCCCTCACCAGTGCCAAACACTCCGTCCCGCTCATTTTTCCGAAGCAGGACTTGGGCAGATTGAAAATGAACAGAATGCATTCCATGCGCGGAACTCCGTGTTCGACGCCCTAACTCCACGTTTCAGTGGCACTCGATAGCTCACGCGCCCAGCGCCACACACGTTTCCATCTTCGAACAACTGCTCATGCAAGGCAGAGATCGTCATTTGGAACGTCTTCTTGGGACTTCTTACCTGGCTAAGACTGTGGGTCACACGTTGCACTGAGCAGTTTTGTCGCTTCTTGAATGCATCCCTATATCTTTAGACCGCGTCTCGCATGGTGCAGCGCCCCCATAAACAGCTGCAACCCCTATGCAGAGACGGATTTCTCGGCGAAATGTGACTTCTATACGTTCTCTTGATCTTTCGGTTTCGTTTCATGTCGGCATGCGGCTCGAGGGAGGTAGAAAACACACGTTCAGTCTCCCTCATAAATTCTTTTTTTTTTTTTTTTTCTTTGGTGGTACAAGCGGACAAGAGACAGAGTAACAATTGGTTACCTTCTCAGGCGCTATTTGTAAGGTCGGGGGGCTGGGCCTCCCGGGACGGGCGAAAGTCCTAAGATCCACCGCCCAGGGAAATGTACAAGTACACGATGTGGTATGCAATCAGTGTGGGGATGCGAGCGAAGCTCGTCCTCGGCCTCGTGGGGCCGGGGGCGAGGGCAAGGGGCTTGCCAAAGTCACGCGACCCACCAAAACCCTGGGATTTTCAAGCCATTTGTCGTTGAGTGTGTCACCCGAGGTGTCCGTGACAACTTTCCTCCAGGTCGTCTCGACCAGATGCGGTTTCAGTGCTCTGCCGCCGAATTTGTTTTTATTTGTGAGAGTTCGATCTAGTGCAAAGCGGGACTCTATGGCCCTGTTCCACTTCCCCTCTATCTCTGGGGCCGACGGTTCTTCGCCATCGTTCGATATGACCCTCTCATTTCGTAGCTTCCAGATTGTGAATATTGACTCGGATATGATAATGTGGTGGAGCCGGGTGAGCCCTTTCACTACCCGGCCGTTTCTCAGCTTTATCCGGGTGAGACCTTCTCCCAGGAGGCCTCCGAAAGTCGGAGTGACCCAGGGTTGGCCCGTGGCTGACCATAGTTTTTCGGCCAGTTTCCAAACCTGTTCCTGACCCGCGCACTGACACTCTAGGAGAATATGGCGGAGATCTTCTGTAACTCCGCATGATGTACACGTTCCTCTGTCCGTGCAGTCTGGTATGTGTTTCCAGAATGTGCCTATCCTGTGCGCTTCGTGCATCGCTTTCCAGAGGAAGTTTCTGACTTGGCGTGAGAAATCACGCGATCGTATTGAGGCCCAGACTTGGTCTGCCGTCGGTCCAGCCTGTGTGCCACGTGTGTACTCTCTTGATACCTCCTCCACGTTTCGTCGTGTCGCTGGCCGCACCGCTGTTTCTTTCTGGGCCCGGATCGTAGCGTAGGCGGTTCTTTGTGTGAGGGTGGCCAGCTTAACTCCCTCTGACAGGAGGTCTGGTCGGGTTGTCGCCAGGAGGCGGGGTAGGGGGGGGGTATTTGCCAGGGCAGCTTGCTTGGCAGCGGTGGTGGTCTGGGAGAGGAGGGTTTCTTCGGCAGAGTGTTTTCCTGGCATGCCGAAGGTGGTTTGGCCCGTCCTGCCTCTAATCTCGGCGGTCAGTGGGCGGAGTATGTCCTTATCTGGTACGTTTATCCATCCTGCATCCTCCCATCCGCTCAGTTTTGGGCTGATTTCTTGGATATAGGTGTCGTCTTCCACTATGATTTTCACATTTGTTATCCTGTGGATTCGTTTCAGGCCCGTGAGCATTGCCAAGTTTTCTCCCGTTGTTCTCGTGTGGCCTAACTCCTCAGGGGCAAGGAAGTTTGTATTTCTCGGGTCCTCTGGTCCGAACCAAACTGCTATCCCCAGTCGGGGTGATTTTGGATCCTTGTGCGTCGCAATGAACATGGTCTCTTGGTTACTTGCTGACCGTTGACGAAAGGGGGGCAGAGAGCTCGGGTGCGGGGTCGACTTCACACATATTCGGAAGCCGTCTGTTTTGCTCGCTGTGGGGGGGAGGGACAGCTGCTTGGTCCTGTTGTCTCTCTCGCCTTCTGTTGCTCTCTGGGGCAGGCTTCCAGTGTCCTTGGGGATCCATCTTATTCCAAGCTGGGCTAGTCTAGAGGGGACAGCTCTCGCGCATGCGTCTGGGTTCCGGCAGCCAAGGGACTCCCGGTCAGATTTGCATTGGGGGCAGTCACATTTGGTGCTCTCCCGGTGGTCCTTGTTACGGAGGCGTTCTGCTACTGGCATTGCTGACAGGATGTCGCTGACGCCATGGTTTCGGCGGAGGCACCTACAGCGGGGTGTGTTGTTGCGTTGGGTTTGCGTTGGGTCCTCTCCTGTGTGGTGGAAGAGGGGCATTTGTTGGAGCAGGGTTTGCGTTGGCTGGACTGGTGCGAAACTTAGGTTGTATCTTTTTGCGATTCGAAGCATCTCCCGTAACTCAGTCGTTAGGAGTTTCCGATTCGGGGTCCATGTTTGTAGGAACATGTTATCAAAGGATTCGTTGTCCATCTTGGAGGCTCTTGTAGAGGCTTTCTCAAGTCTACTGTCGGCAAAATATCCCCAATCTGCTCGGGTCGTGGGGTCTAGGTCTAGGAAGGATTGCAGCTTGAGAATGGTGAGGGCGTCGTTCCTAGCTTCGAGGTCAAGAAGGTTTTTACCCCCCTGCCTAGTTGGTTGGGACAGGGTCGCCCTCTGGACGGGAGATGATTTCGCTCCGCCCCATATGAACTCTCGCTGTGCTTGAAGGAGGTGTTTTGTTACCGCTGCTGGCATTCCATTTACCATTGTAAGGTACTGCGTCATGGAGCCCGTGATGATCTGGTCTATGTGCCTCCTCGCTTCTATTGTGGGGAACAGCTTCTCCCACTGTACTCGGGCGGCATCGGTTTTCTCCAGCATTGGTGTCCATAGGGCGAAAGGTTCTATCTTGTTGCCTATATAGCCTCCCAGTATCCTTACCGCTTCGCCATCCTTGGCAATGTGTGCTTGGTCAATGCTGTCAGTGCTGTCGGCCAGTGTCTGCGTCGAGATGAGGTGCTCCCGAAATTCTGTGGTCCCAAGTGGGATGATTTCCGTCTTTTCCGTGTTGAATTTGGCGCTCGAAGCAGCGCACCATTTGTCTAGAACGTGTTTCAGGTCTCTAAACTTGTCTTCGGCTGAGAGATAGACTGTTGTGTCGTCTGCAAACATTTTTATGACAATACTTCTGTCTACTTTGGGCACTTTTATTCCTTTCAGCTCTGAGTTCCGTATCAGATCAGCCAGGGGTTCTATCGCTAGGTTGAACAAGAGGCATGAGAGCGGGTCTCCTTGCCGCACTCCTCGGGTGATGCCGTATGGGGAACTGAGTTCTCCATTGATTACTACTACTGTTTCTGCACCGGTATATAGGGCCTTGACTGTAGCTATAAAATTTGCAGGGATTCCCTGTTTTTCCAGCGTCCGCCACAGATAGCGGTGATTTGTTTTATCATAGGCTTTCTCTTGATCCAGCGCAACGATTGCCCCGTTGATCATTTGTTCCTCGGAGTATTCCACTATCTGTTGGGCTAGGAAGATTTGGTCTTGGATCTTCCTGCCTTTCATGAAGCCTGCCTGGTCTCGGTTCACTAGTTCTGGCGCTGCCAGTGTCAGCTTGTTGGACAGGGCCTTTGTGAACAGCTTATAGTCCGTGTTTAGTACAGTGATGGGTCTATAGTTTGCGATATCCTCCTTGTCTTTTTTTTTCCAGATAGGGCACATCCAGCCCATCGAGAAGTTCGAGACGGCATCAACTCCCTTTTGCTCGATGTTGTTGTAGATGGTCGTCAGGAGTTTGGTGATGTTTACAACCCTCTTTTGTTTATCTGGGCCTAGCGCCGCGTTCTGTTTGGTCACTTCCAGATGGATTTGGTGGAGACGCCTCCACAGTTCGTACGGGATACCGTCTACTCCACTTGCCGTGCCCGTGGCTGCTTGCTTCAATGCTAGTATGACGTCTTCTGCTGTCAGCTGTTTTTTCAGTTCCTCGATCTTTTCTGGGTCGCCTCTTGCTTCCGTGTGCTCGAGCGCACTTTCTATGGCGTGGTCTTTGGTGGCAGGGTTCTGTTCCGAGGGGTCTTGTTGGAGGTTGTGGTGGTAGTCTCTGGCCAGCTCCGCCATATCCTTCGAGCGCTTCGCTTCTCTGGGTGGGGTGGTGTCTGTTCGACGTAGTAGGGTGATAGTGTCCCGGGGAGTCTTATCCTTGCTCATTGCTACTGTGAATTTAGTTATGTGGTCTAGCTCTGTGAAACACCGTGCTCTCGTTTCGGTCCGCCGTTGCTCTCGTTGCACATCAGTTATCTTGTCGATCTCTCCTTGGATAGCGTGGACCTCCGCCGCTGCTTCGGTTTCTGTATAGGTTTGCGTGTCTGGTACTTCTGACTGTTCCAGGGAGTCCGGCCCATGGGTGGTTTTGAGTATTTGGGCCTTTCTGGTCTGGAGGGTCTTCTTCTTTTCTCTCGAGGCGCCGATCGCTTCCTTGGCTCGGGATCGTGCATAGTCGCGTATTGCGGTCTTGAGACTAGACCACTCGGCTTGAACGTTTAGGCCCGGACAGTCTGCTTGTCTGTCTTCGAGCTCGATCATTGTTTTCTGGACAAAGTCCATGAACTTCTTGTCCTTCAGTAGGAAGAGGGGTATCGTGTATCTGCCCTTACCTATGGTGGGCGAGCCTGGCGCAGTGATGGTGGTGGACACCATTCTGTGGTCTGAGAGCTTTCCGACGCAGTCGTCCAAAGTCCATTTCCGTGTTCTCTTAAGTTGGGCATTTGAGACGTAAATTCGGTCAATTCGGGAGTGCGTATCCCTGCCGCTTGTGTAGGTGAAGTCTTTTGCATCAGGGTTTTCTCCTCGCCATCCGTCGACCAGTCCAAGGAGCCGTTTGAATCGGCGGAGTGCAGCGACTGTGCGGGGTGCATCCTCTCGGCTTGGCAGTCTATCTAGGGGTTCTTCTACTAGGTTCATGTCGCCTCCCATTAGGTCCGGGACCGGGAGATCTTCGGTGAGCCAGCGTTCGGACAGGGAGTCCCAGAAGTTTTCATTTGCTTGCATCGATTCCGCTGGAGCATAGACTCCGAGGATAGTGAGCGTTCGGTCACTGTGCCAGTGTAATGTGGCAAGGATTGCTCTGCCTGGGATTAGGTGTTTTACTTGTACATCCTGCGTATTGGTGATTTCACGGTTCAGCACAATTGCAATGCCCTTAGTGCTGGGGTCATCTCGGTTCTCTGAGTTGTATATTGACAGACGTTTCCCGATATGGCTGTCCTGTATTTCTTCCGTCTGGTCTGCTGACAAGTGCGTCTCGGACACAATCAGAGCCCCTACTTTCTCGTCGAAAATCATGCGGTGTAGGGCGTGCCATTTGTGTTCTGGGTGCTTAATGGATGGTTTCTTGCGCCCATTGATGTTCAGGGCCGAGACTCTCAGTTCTGTGCGCGTATTTCGGCTTATTTTCTCGTTCCCAGTCTGTTGCTTCTCTCGTTTTTTGTTTAAGAAACTTGGCGCGCTCTCTTCATCTGGGGGGGTGCGTGGTGTGCGTCGTGCATTTGTTTGGCTATGCAACGGGTCCTGGGGTTGGGAGCAGTTGTTGTTTGGTTCCCTCTCTTGAGGTTGGGAGCGGTTAGCTCGTATGGCAGTGTTTTCGCGCCTCGGGGCCAGTGGGCTCCTGGGGCCTTGACCGTGGGTGGAGTTTCCTGATTGCCTCGTGGCGCGTGCGCTCTCTGCTGCGCTGCCACCTCCGTAATCTCCGGACCCTTCATTGGGGACGCAGCCGGTGGTCGGGACTGCTGCCTCTCTGGGTCTAGAGATGCTCTGATCCGTAATACCATGTTGTTCACCGTCTATTGAAAGGGGCAGAAATCTATTCGTCGTTGATCTACGGTTGCCTGGGACTCAACTAGATCCTCCAGGGCCGGGCAGTGCTTACCGGCTGCCGCGGGGAGCCTGTAGAAACAAGGAGTCGCGGCTGTAACTGGCCACATCCGCTTTTCCTCGTGAATACTTAAGCCTCTCGGCACGGGTGGCCCCGACTTGGTGTGTCACCGTTTCTGTGGGTTTCTTCTCCTTTGACTTTCCCGTCCCGCGTGCGGTCGGTGTATTTGGGTCTGGAGAAGGCAGACTCCGAGAGCGCATCTGGGTCCTATGTATCCTCGTGTGCTCGTCCCACACATCCAGTCGTGGGGGATTCGCGCTTCAAAAAGTCTGGCTTGGGTACTTATTTACACGTTTTGGAGTTGTCGTTTGTCCCGGGGTTGGGTCTTACACAGGGGGATTCTAGTGGTAATGCAAAGAGATCGGTTTCAACTTTCTAGGGTGCGGAGACTTGGGTGTGTGTGCCAAATGTAGACTAGTACTCGTAGTAATTGCGGAAGTCACGGTCTCGGCGGGGCTGCTTACCCCCTCTGCCCCGGTTCTCGCGTCCGCGCCCCCGGTTGCTCGGTTTTCCTCCTCGTCCTCTGCCTTGGTCCTGTGCGTTGTCGCGGCGCCTGTGCAGGTGTGGCGGGAGGTTACTGTTCTGTTGGTTTCCGCCGCTCGTCTGTCCTGCAGCGTCATTCCCGTTGCGGCGCCCATACAGATCGTTCCTCATGCGGGAGGTCGCCTTCCACGAGTAGTCGATGAAGGCGGCGATGGTCTTGCTCGTTGGTCCGGGCCAGCCATTGATGCTCGGGAGGTGGCAAAGTCCGGTCGGATGGTCGGTGCCGTAGCATATCAGGCAGTTCCAGCCCGTTTCTGCCATGTAGAGTTGCCCGTCGATCTCGTGGTTGAAGATGAGCTAGGAAGGGGGGTTAGCCTGTGGTTTGGGGGGGAGGGCGTGTCCGTACCTGTTTAATCTTTTCATGGACTTCTTTCCAACCTTCGTAGTTCTGCGTCGTCGGAGTGCAGTTCTCCCTCATAAATTCAATGAGCCTCTCAGCTTGAGGAAGGCAGAAGAACTCACTCTCTGAAGGAAATGATCCAGTTCTCTTTTTTTTTCTTCTTTTCACGGCCGTGGACGCTACTTGCGCCACTCCGACCAAGCGGAACCGCGGTGGCTCTTTAATCGGACCTGAGCACCGTCAAGTTCGATGTCACGACTCCTGATAATCCCATCGCCTGCTTCACTGCTGGGAATGTGATTCCACTCTGGCGCATACACGACACCTCGGGCTCGGTGAATAATTCCAGCACTCACGCTTCGTGCAGATCATTCGTGGCGGTACCCAACACTGCTTCCGTCGTTTTCAACAGCGATCGCAGCTTTCTAGAGTCGGAGCAAGAGTGTGAATTCATTACATGGGTAGATTAGATATTGAACGTCACACAATACAATTAAACGATTATTCCGCTGCAGCGAGCTCCAGGATTCTACATCCGCGGATACAACCAATCTCCTATCTGTCATATCAGTGGCTGTTGCCTCTGACAAAGATTCTCGACACTGCCAGTCCACTGCCTAAGTCATTCAACGAATTTGAGCACATTCCCAACTCCTCCTAGTCTTCGCCCACATCCCAACTGGTTAGAGCCGAAGAACATGACTGTGAGGACCAAGACCCTGGGGATTGAGGTTGTCTGGAGCTACTCGACACCGGCCTGCTCCGTGTGCTGGACCTTTGTGCTTCCGCTTCCCAGTGCATCCACGGAGGTTTTGTCGCGAACGGAGATGACGTATATGCCTGAGATGGTGCTGTTGATGAGATAAGAACGTGGTCTAGCATACAGTAGCAAAACATACGCGCGTAAACTGTCGCCAGTCGAGTCTCCGACTCAGATTGCGACACTGTGGCTTCATCTTCATCTTCATCTTCATCCTCATCGTGCTTGTCCTCCTCACAGCTCCCTTGTGTGTCGACCGTCACAGAGCCGAAGGCGATCAAGGATGAGAACTCTCCTAAGGGCGAAGGCGACCGCGGCCTCAACCGCATGGCGGGAATCTGGGAAGATGGTGGAAGCGGCTGAGTGACGGAAGTTGGAGAAGGGCTCAAAGATGACGCTCTGGCCTGCCACGGGGAATATCGCTTCGCCTCCTCGCTCCAGCTTTTCCATGCCGGTGGAGGAGAGACGCTGACACTCTGAGGACTGGGAAGCGATTCTCCGCCAGCGTCCGAAACTGCATCGTCAGAGTCACTCGGAACCGACGTGTCGCTCTTTGGAGAGGGATAGCCTAGACTGAACGCGTCGACTAGATGGTATATATGACAATGAGCCCATTGGAGTATAAAGGGGACCTCGCACTCACGAGAAGAATGTGATAAGCTGTCGTCCTCGCACTCGTCCTCGTCCTCGTCCACATGAGATATCACGATCGATGGTATACCATGGTGGACGTGGGGGTCGACCCACCCTGGCTGAGGAAGCCCATGGACAGCGGCAATCGGGGAAGTTTTGCCGCGTGGTGATAGACGCATTCGACGCTGCAAAGTGGACCTCGACTGTCGTTGACGGCCCCGTCGAATCGTGCCGTCAGCACCAGTATCAGAGTCGCGAGGCTGGGGTAAGGGCCATAGAGGTTTTGCGTTATCCTTGGTGAATTCGTAAGAGATCCACCAATTCTCATCCGGTTCGACCTTTCTCTTCCTGGCATCCCAGTCCTCGGTAAGATCTGGCGGCGGCTTTGGGGCAGTCCAAAGCATGCTCGGTGTTGAGTCTCGCGTGTGCGAAGCTCTGTGAGACCGCAATGGACGTTCGCTACGAGAACTCATGGATCGAGTGGCTTGGAATGTGCAAGCCTCTGATCTGGCGGATGGGTGCCGAGCTGTGGCTGAAGTAATCGGCACCTTCTCACTGGCCCCAGGACTGGTATGATTACTTAGAATGATGTCCGCATTTGAGAACTGTACAATCTACCTTCTGGTCCAGATGTGACACTCAAGGATCTCCTGGCTGACTTGACCATCCAGGAGGCGTTCGATGTCTTGCCCAGTAGCCCGGGGTGACGATTGAGGCAATAGCTTCTGTGGCAGAGGGCTGTACAAGTGTTGAGCGGCCATGGGACATGGATCGGCAAGGACAACAAACCGACGTAGCATGGAAACCACCTCACAGAATTTTTTGAAGCTGGAATCGTCTGGGTCGAGGGTGGCGCCGGGTCGCTTGGCACGTTTCCGGACGAACTCAGTTCTCCAGGCACACATTCCATCCAGCACCACGCTAATCAGAAGATCCAGCCCGTCAAAATCGTACAGTGGACGCTTATCGATATCTTGCTCGTCGATTGTGGGATTCAGATTGTCCATGTCCAAGTCCTGCAAGACGAGCAAGATGGTGACACAAAGTTTTCGCACAAGCTCGATACGTCGCCGGTCGAGCGAGACCCAGAAGAGAGGAAGGGTGAGGATTCCATGGAGACACCGGATGGCCAGTGGGCGATGAGCGTTCTCGTGGCTACGTTCTAGATTAGATCGCTCTCAAATTTGGTGAGAGAACTTGAAAGCCCACTCTGAGACACTGATCATTAGTTTTTCGATAGCACACATCTCAGAGCCACAAGCCGTCAAATTCTCGACCTGAGTGCGGTCGAAGAGTTCAGAGATCTCCGTCTGGGCCAAAGCGGAAGCAGCCAGTGTAGACCAGTACTGTCGTTCCTGTAACTCTCGGTCCGACCTGAACACGCTTGGTCTCGACGAGTCCCACAATTCCTGGATGTTCGGTGCTTGGAGACCTCCAGCAGAGCGCAGCATAGACGAGGCGAGGAAGAAGGCGCGTAGTCCGGGGTACAGGCCTACGAGCCCGAATATGCTGTTGAACGCTTGTATGTGCGTTATGACGGCCTCAGAACTGGAACCTCATCAGTCTCACAGATGGAAGAACTCAGGAATGAAGTCGCTCACCGCTGCGTATATGTCAGCAACGTGCAGCAATGTTTCCCCAGTGCTTTGATGAAATCTGCATCTTCTTTCGCGAAATTATCCATCTTGTTTCTCGATTCGACGGCGCGCAGGCGCGCCAGCCTGAAATCTCCTTCTCCCATCGTAGCCTCGATCTTTTCCCTCGCCGCAAGAGGACCGTATCCGAGTCGATGTGCGAGTTGATTTGCTTTGGTCTCGACGACGTGACCGATATTTTGGTAGAACATGTTGATCGTGCGCCCTGGACCGTATGGCTGCATCATGTGGCCCAGGTTCGATCGGAAAACGACCTGCTGCTGCTGACGAGCATCAGGTGGTAGGCCAGGTCGATCAGGGTCGAAAGGAGCGCTTTGGGAGAGCATCTGAACAAGTGCAAGGTCAGTCCCTGCCATTGAGTCGGAGGACTGAGAGGGAGGGCCTCAACACCTTGCGATGATATCGATTGCAAGTTTATATCTGTCCAAAGGCTGTGAGTCACGGAACGTGGTAAGGTAAGCTGACATGAGGATGGAACATTGTGGAAGAGAGTCAGCACAGGAGGCTGTGAGCATAGACAACACGTTCATAGTGGAATGGTTCAAGGACACAGTCGACGACTCGGGTCAGTGCCAGTCGTACCACGTGATCAATACTGAGCCTTCGCCGGGCGCATCAACTCATCCCGATTCATTATGTTCGATGCTTCCCGACGAAGCACCGCAGAGCGCGGCAGGCAAAACGCCTATTTAGACCAAATCATGCAGGCGGACCAATGTTCGTACACACAAGCTCAGAACGACTACGTCTCAGTCTGCGGATCGGTTTCATTGCTCATCTAGTTTGCATACAGATCAGGGTAACTCAAGGTCGATCTGAGTGGATACTACTGGCTCTTTGGCAGAGGAGCCGATTTCGGTCTGGGATTCTGCTAGGCGATCTGGTGAGCTCAGAAACAAGGAGTGATGTGGAACCTGGAGACGAACGGCTCATGTACGACTGCCCCGCCTAGAACGCAGTGGTGGTGGACCAAAGCTCGAAGACAATGACGGAAACAAAAAGAATAGGGCCAGGAACAGGACACTCTGGGTGGATCTCATAAGCCCGTAAGTGTTGTGATGAAGCTCGGTTTCCCATACCGCCAGGAATCCACCCACACCAGACGGAAGGGCCTTGAGCTTCATGCCAAGAGTGACTTGATCCTCGCCATCGCTGTTCTCCCCCTCTATGATAAGCGCTCCTTCGCCGAGGTCCGAGCCCAGTGATCTCTTTGAGCTTGCGCCAATTTCGCTGGATGCTTCAGAGCCTGTGCTGTCGGCTGAGACAGAGTCAATTGTCGATGTAATCGACTCTTCGCGCCGTTTCTCATGACACTCAGATACTTGATAGGCTCGCATGAAAGAAGGCGTGGATCGGGGCGTTCGTATGGGATTAGGCACAGATACGATCCGCTTCAGTGCAGGCTGATCGAAGGGAGAGACGAAGTGCGAGGCGGGAGGCACGAATTCCGACGCGTTGCGGTAGTCAGGGACAGAGAAGATAGGAATCCAGGTCTCATCGTGAGGTTGTCGAACGGGGGAGGTTTCCGTGACATTGGAAGCTTTGGTGGCATAGATGCTGGAAAAACGACGAAGCCTTGGATAAACCCTCTGCGACTGGAGTTCATCACGCTCGAGCAAGGATGAGCCACAGTCAGAGTCCTTTGATTCAGTGTTCGAGATGTTCGATTGCATTGGGAGAGGCTGCGGTCCCAGGAGCGAGGGAGAAGAAAAGACGAAGATAGCGAAGAAGGAATGTCACGGCGGGAGCGTTCTTGGATGGAAAGGAGACTCTAGTTCCCCTTCAGGGTGATTTCCCAGAGGAGTTTTCAGAACTTCGGATGCATGTCGATTCCCCCGAGTCTCAGTCTCAGTTTCCGCGCTCGAAGCCAGTTCAGATGGTGACTACGAGTCAGACTCATTCGCTGAATCAAATGGGATTACTTATGCATGTGACCGGCTGCTCGGACCATCCCGAGACATTTATGGCAATGCGGATCATGAGTGCTTGCTGCAGTGCAATGTCAATCTGTTCTGGAACGACTGAACAGCGCCAGCGCACGGCCACGTTTTCGCCAACTCTCTGCATCGCGTTTCGCTCAGAGCATAGCCGGATCTCGGCACCGCATGCGTGTTATGACTCCAGGACGATGTATGTCAAAGCGCGTTGCTCTGGTCCTTCATACAGGGAGAGCACCCTGAAAGCACAGATCTCAAAGCCCCATATCTCACTCGTCTCATGGAATCTATCCGCGCGAAACTCTCAGGCAAAGGGGTGAGCTCACACACGGTATTGCCATTTCAGCCGTCATTCTGATTCTCGGGCATAGCCTTGCTACGTACCTAGCGGCAAAGTCGACTTCGAAGCAGCGGGTCTCCCTGTCTACATCGGATGCTATGCCATCGTGCTCGACTCGCTTTTTTCAGAACCAGAGACCACCGCTGTTCTTGCGGAGGCCGAGGCTTTCTCCCCTTGGGAAATCGCGCAGGTGAACGCAGGAGCCTACGCATTTACCGACACATCATACCGCAATGGACAACGCATCATCTACGACTCCTTCGAGCTTTCGGCCAAGATCTTCGATAAAGTGCGGCCGCATCTAGCCGATATCGAAGAGATTGAGGAGGTCGTGCACGTCCGCGGCAGGAAGATGCTGCAGACATGGAAGATGGTGAGGTTGAATGAGCGACTGAGGTTCCTGAGGTACCCGGAGGGCGGGTTCTTCAGGAAGCACATTGACGGATGCTACTTCGACGAGTGAGTCATGCCACATCTCCGTTGTCCTTGCATGCATCTGACGTGAGCGCCTAGGGAAACCGGCCGACGCACATTCTACACACTCCAGTTCTACCTTCCATCTGACGCGTCTGGGTCCCCTGATAGCTACCAACCGGCACAAGGAGGATCGACTCGTTTCATCGGGCCCAAGGGGGCATATGCCGACGTCGAAGCCCAGCCAGGGCGAATATTGGTATTCCAGCATGACAAATTGTTGCATACAGGAGAAGAGGTGTGTTGCATGGCTCCCCTGTACCTGTCCATTAACTTACTGTTCCTCTAGGTGACTGGGGGCGTCAAGTGCGCTGTACGATCGGATATCTTGTACGAGAAAGTCGGCGCTCCGAAGCCAGCGTCGAGGTGAATGGCTCGAGCGCGAATGTAAGACAGATTCCCGAATGCGCTTCTCTATACCCCTCTATGGCTACTACAAGGTGTTCGTACAACAGGAAATACTAAAACAGTTGGAGCGCAAGAAAGTCGAAAAGCGCCACGTTCAAACCCTCAGCTATCGTCGCCTCTTGCGGTACTCGACAACCCTGCCTGCTTTTGACACGGGCTCCAGCGGAATAGCAGTAATCGTTGCGTCGGTGGACAAGGTGCCATGGTCGCTGCCTACACCAAAGTGCACACTCGCCCACTCGGCCGTGAACGCCGCCCTCTGAGCACGGGCCGGCGAGAAACCCGGTCCAGTGACGATCCGAACCCCTTGATCCTGCCTGACGGCGGCCCAATCGAAGTATTTCTGCTGCTGTTGGCGGACCCCTGGAGGGATCGGATCTTCTTCGGCGGAGCTCCGCTGCAAAGACGGCGAGGAGTCCACGTGAGTCACGGTGGACGCGGGGGAGAACGATCGGTACGAGGTGCTGGAAGTAAGAGGAGATGGTGCATCGAAGGAGCACAAGCCATGAGGAGGATGGTGGATGGTTGGGAGCGACGAGCGTTGGATGGGAATGATCTGGGATGGAACAGGCTCGATTGACGAACAAGCTTCAATACGTCCGGCTCCGGCTTTGGGCTTTGGCGATGTAGTTCTGGGCACGTCTGTTGGGAAACGGTTGGGCAGTGGAGGTAACTTGGCAGCTTGTCGCATACGTCTCGTCATGACCGGCATCAAGGGCAAACTCGCAACAGATGAATAGTGCCCAAGATTTGCTGCAACACATTCTTAAGAGCTAAGACAGTCTTTGCATTCAACTGAAAAACGACTCTTGAATGGTCGTAAAACGTCCTTTGTTGAGCTGCCATCAGGTAGCGTTGATCCCCTTGTCCAGCGACCGGTCCTGAGATGATGATCCCTTTGAGAAGAGCGGACGTCTAAGAACTGTGTCAAGAGACCTCGCTTCACGCAAAGGGCTTTTGTGCAGCGCAGTGGCCGCGAGTCATTCACCAGTTGGCAGGCGATACTGTCACGTCATCCGTCAAGAGAGCTGAATTATGGGTGTCGCCGGAACGCTTTCCCCTTCCACCGTGTAGAACGCAAGCAATCATAGCAGTAAGAAAGCATAACAAGTCCAAATACGAGTGATGATCGGCCGTTTCAAGAAGGGCTGTGGACAGTTACGAACGCGGATGTGCTGGCGTCGGCTACTGGCTTCCTCAGACCATACTCTGTTCGCTGCATTACAGAATTGCAGAGTCCCGTCCTCTCGGCCACTTTGGAGTGTTGGGAGGACATTCTCTTGATTCGGCTCCGAAGCCGGTTTCACCGCTTCTATGGCATCCCAAGGCTGTGTCATACGGCTTGAAATTTTGGCAAAGCTGCGAGCTGGACGAGCAGCGGACTGCGGACTGCGGCGCCCAGTGCATAGAAAAGGACCATGGACCCATGAGCACCGAGGAAGAGCCAGAGATCACGGCACAGCCCCTCCTTTCCTTTCCTGTCACCCAATTCACCCTTGTCCGCAACCACCATGGAGGCACTCCGTCTGCAGAAGAAATATCCTGAAGTGACCCGCGATGAGATGTTCGATCTTATAAATCGATTCAAGTGCGCCCTCTCTGCATCTTCCTCGGTCTCCATTGAAACGATCCACGCTTGACAGCTCGATTTCGACGGAGACACCCGGACGCGTAGATAAAGGCGCCGTCCTGCAAGCGCTCCAGTCCAGTGGACAGTCGTACGATCTAGCGAGAGAAACGTTGAAGAAGGTCAGCGTGGATGCCAGTGGGAAGGTCGAGCTTGAGGATTGGGTCGAGGTGCGCCATTGCGAGCCATGATGTCACCGCTGCGGCTGATGCCTGATATCTCGCAGCTCAACGTGAAGATGAAGTCGGAGGCAGCGTCGCTGAAGACCAAGGCCGGAAAGGTGACCGTGCAGGGCTCCAACGCAAATGTCAGCCACACGATCAACGAGGATGAGCGAACGGAGTTCACAAATCACATCAATAGCGTATGTCTGCTTCTAGTTGCGCGCGCCGGAGTGTCTATAATGTTACCTCCCGGTCATGCATTTCTGTTTCTGACTGTTTGTATGTCAGATTATCGAAAACGACGCCGACGTCGGATCGCGCTTTCCCATCCCGACTTCGACCATGCAGATCTTCGAGGAGCTCAAAGACGGGTTGATTCTTTGCAAGCTCATCAACGACTCGGTACCAGACACCATCGACACCCGTGTGCTCAACAAGTCTACGGGGCGCAAGCAGCTGAATGCGTTCCAAATCACGGAGAACAACAACATCGTCATCACGTCTGCCAAGGGTATCGGGTGCTCGGTTGTCAACATTGGCTCGACGGACATTGCAGAGGGGCGCGAGCATCTGGTGCTTGGGCTCATCTGGCAGATCATCCGCCGTGGTCTCCTAGCGCAAGTGGACATCAAGCTGCACCCTGAGTTATACCGGCTGTGCGAGGAGGGCGAGACGATCGATGATCTGCTGCGGCTGACGGCAGACCAGATCCTGCTGCGATGGTTCAACTACCACTTGAAAGCAGCGGGCTGGAAACGGCGGGTCAACAACTTCAGCCGTGACGTCAGTGATGGCGAGAACTACACGGTGCTGCTTCACCAGCTCAAGCCGGACCAATGCTCGCTTGCGCCGCTCCAGACGACGGACCTCCGCCAACGCGCTGAGCAGGTCCTGCAGAACGCTAGCGCGATCGGGTGCCGGCGTTTCTTGACGGTGTCGTCCCTGACCGCCGGGAACCCGCGTCTTAATCTCGCATTCGTGGCGAATCTGTTCAACACACATCCCGGTCTGGAGCCGCTCGACGAGCAGGAGGCGAAGGATTATGGCGTGGTTGAGGACTTTGACGCTGAGGGCGAGCGGGAGGCGCGGGTGTTCACGCTGTGGCTGAACTCGCTCGGTGTCGAGCCCGGGGTCTTCAATCTGTTCGAGAACATCAAAGACGGCCTCGTCCTGCTGCAGGCGTTCGACAAGATCGCCCCGGGGACCGTCGTGTGGCGCCGGGTCTCGAAGCCTAAGGGCGGCGTCGCCGCTGAGCCTGTCTCATATGCCAGCGGGGGCGCAGGCGGGGACGACGACGATGGTGCGGACATCGGTGTAACGCCGAACCAGAGCCAGCTGTCGCGCTTCAAGGCGGTGGAGAACACCAACTATGTCGTCGAGCTGGGGAAGCAAAACGGAATGCATCTGGTCGGCATCCAGGGTGCCGATATCGTCGATGGATCGAGGACGCTGGTGCTTGGGCTGGTCTGGCAGCTGATGCGGTGCGTCTGCTCGGTCGATGCCTTCGAGCTTTGTCGACTCACATTTCTGCAGGATGAACATCGTCAAGACGCTGAACCAGCTCTCCGGGAGCGGCCGCCCGATCTCCGACACCGAGATGCTCAAGTGGGCCAACGCTAAGGCCAACTCGGCGCGCCCGATTCGGTCGTTCAAGGATCCCTCGATCACGACGGGAATCTTCTTGCTTGATCTGCTTGAGGCGATCCGACCGGGGATTGTCGATCCAACGTTGGTGTTGAGCGTGAACGAGAATAGCGACTACGATGACAGGCGGGCGAATGGTGGGTCTCCTTTCTTCTTCTTGTTATTGTTGCTGCAGGCCCTGGTTCTGACGGTCCTCGCAGCCAAACTGGCCATCTCGATCGCGCGTAAGATGAATGCGCTGATCTTCTTGGTGCCCGAGGACATCGTCGACGTGCGAGCAAAACTGGTAAGCTTGACAGTGCGCTGATTTGCGGTGGGGCTGACCGTATCCTCCACAGATCCTGACGTTTGTGGGTAGTCTGATGGCTGTAGCGTAGACTTGGTTGGTGTTGTTGTAAGTGATAAGTATCACGTTGGACTCATAGCACGTAAAGATCAAGGATAATGTACCAGTACACACATACTGAAGCCAATGCCGCAGAAAATGCTCCAGCTCCGGCTCGTGCCAATCCATCATGCATGGTCCGATGTCTGTCCGCAGACAAGGGGGCAATACCGCATCCGTTTCCCCAGTAGATTATCACGCTGGAACTGGAGCTGGGATGTTCAGAATGTGTCTATGGAAGGTCTGCACCTTGACGGAGAGATCGAGCTCATCACGCAATGCTGAGTGGATTTCATGCAAGCAATATCGAGTAATAGTGATCGCAATAACAAATCACGGAAGCTTGTGGGATACTTATAAGTGTCCGCCCAGGACTCAAAAACAGATCGTGCAGCAGTTGCATCAGACCTCCGAAATCCGCAAGACGCGTCTCTCGTTGACCGCGCGACGATCAAGCACCTGTCGTTAGCCGAAGAGACCGATCGAGCTAGGCCTCTTCACTGATCCACAGGTGATTTGTGCAGCTGACTACAAGCTGGGCACACGGTGCTCGAAGCTGGTACATATATCAATGATCGCACCGAAGTTGATTCAACACTCGTATACTTTTTATTCATCCGTGACATTTTATTGGCTGGAACCGGTGTATCGTACGTACATACAACAGAACGAAATGTAGCACCTTGAGCGGCTTGAGAGCGCTCAACTTGAAGCGTACGCAGCAATGGCAGTCGCAAAGGCGGAAGCGATGGTATTCTTGAGGGTGGTCGCAGTGGCCTTGATGTCGGCCTGGAATTCTCGTTTCAGGGACGAGGACGGGACAGAGTCTGAGGGGACAAGTGCTTACCGGAGCGTCCGCAATAAGGGCATTTGCGAAGGCGATCGTGCTCGCGTTGAGGTTGTTGATGTCGAGCTTGACCAGAGCTGGGATTCCACCGACGGGGAGCGCAGTCTACACACAATTTTATCACACCTGCGGGACGAGAGAGAAAAGAGCTGGGCACGCACGAAGGCAGCTTTCCGGGCGACGATGCCGTTCAGAGCGTCGAGGATCGTGGGCTCGAACGCCTGGACGCTGGCGAGGATGGTGGTCGCGTCGGTTTCAGAGAAAGGCACACCCTGGGCCAGCCGCCGGATGAGACATGTGAGAACGAAAACGAAAACAAACGAGACATACAGCGGCATCCGTGTTTGCCTTGGTGAGCGTCGTCTGGAGGGTAGTCGCAGCCGAGTGGATCGTCTAACACATCGAGGAATGAGTGGCGGGCACATATGCAGGAAACTACCACCGTTACCAGGGCCTGAAGGAGAGTTCCCCCCGAGGTGGGGAACGCTTTGACGTCCGCGTCGAGCGCGGTGACCTGCGACGAGATGGTGGCGATGTCAGATTCAACGGCCGCGACGGTCCGCTTCTTGATCATTGGCGTCGGGTTCGCCATCACCGCTGCGGCGAGACCAAATACGAAGAATGCACGGGTGAATTGGACCATGGCTGCTGGGCTGGATCGAGTCAAACAAAGTAGAGTGGGAGAGCTGCTGCTGCTCTTGCAGCTACCCCTCCCTGCAGCATTTATACCACACAACGCGCAGCATGTGTTTCTTGAGTCTTTCCGCTTACCCGTTCCCGCGGGAATGTTCTCGCGCGCGGGGCAGCCCCACTGGATGATCAGGAGACGGTCGCAGTCTCTGTCGTCGACAGATGAGTTCGCTGTCGTGCGCTGGGTTCGAACTTACGTACTAGTCCCATTTCGAGCGCTGCCATGTGGGCGACGGGCCACGAGACGCCCCGCAAGAACGCTCTGGTGAGCGTCGCGACATTGATCGAATGCCGGGCGAACGAGGCGTGACAGTGGCACGTTGGCACGGCCGTGATTCCTGTGGGAGGTTTCGCGCGCAGAAGGGCCGCGCGCCGCGTGGGCTGCTCTCTAGTCGGAATTGGGACCCAGTCAGATGACCGACTGAATACCCTCATTCTGCGCGTGAAATCCGCGCTATGTTTAGCCTGAGCGTCGTCGGGGAACTCAGCTAGACGTCCTATACGTCCTCCTTCGGCTATGGTTAGGCTTGCCCAGAGAATTGGTTACGTTCCCAAGAACGCGAACAGCTTCAGGAAGGAGAAGGTGACTGTTGCACGATGTCTAGTCACAATGGCGAACACGATCACGGGACTCACATGGTCTGGCCTCCATCATGATGCCATCGCTGCCTGCAGTGTCCTTTGAAATTCCACCCACTATACCTCATACAGCGCTCTCATGGGCCCTGCTCGCCAAGGTCGGCCGTGGGCAGCTAGCGTCGAAATCAACCCTATGCAGTCATGCGGGGGATCTGCGGGGGCAACGATGTTGACATGTCCACGGCTTGGCACCGGGCGGCCGGGTCTCGTGAAGAAGCTGTGGGCGTCGTTGCGCTGGATGTTGCCATTCCCACCCAATCTCGTAAAACTCTCAGATGGGGGAAGATCAGGACTGCTTCTCGTGCCCTGTTTTGATATCAGACAACGAATCCGGGGCCGACAGAACAACGCAATACAGCTCACTGTATATAGTAGTACATCACGAACGAAGCTAGAAATACACCGGCGGCAGCCATACACTGAGAGAAAACGAAACAACAGCGACAGCAACAACAAAACCCATCAGCGCAGTGCCCGACCAACGATGCGCGCGAAAAGGAGAACGTAAAAAACAACAGCCGACAATCAACCCATCCTGCCCTCGGTGCGCAGGCAGCTCTGCACCAGCGCCACAAACGGCGCTGCCTGGATCTCGAGCGCAGCCAGCATGCGGTAGTCGTTGAACTGCAGTTGGTATTCCAGTCCATCTGCGAACTGGCGGATCTGCGATATGTGCCGGACCATCCGACGCCGGAACTCTTCCGTCGTAAGCGTCAGGTCGGGCGGGTATTCTGCGACCGGGTCGTCTAGCGCTGGCTGTGTCATCATTAGGGGGTGGTGTGGCTGGGAGGACTGCGTGTACTGTAGATTTTGGGTGTCCATGCGGTGGTAATCTAGGGAGGAGATGTGGCTCGCCGTCGCCACAGACGGCGGCGGGGGGGGAGCTATGGCAAGGGGGCTCTCGGCCGGGAGGTGTATCGCCGGCTGATGGGGGAAGTGGGAATGCAGCGCAGACGTCATCGTCATCGACGGATCAATTGAGGGCTCCCAATCAGCGTGCAATCCGTCGTCCGGTAGAGAAAGCATGTGCGTCGGGAGCGGGCCATTGACGCCCTGCATAAAAGCAGAGCCCACGTGCTGCAGCTGCCGTGGCTCGGGATCCTCCGGGGGCGCATACCGCTGCTGCTGCTGCTGCTCCGGCGTCGGACTCTCCATCCGCAGCTGGTCAGAAACCGACGCCGCCGCCCCAGCGACATCCGTCTGCGGGGAGACCGCGGTGTCCGGCGTGGTGTCGCGCGGATAGCCTTCGTGCCGCTCGTAGTGGTGCAGCCGCACGGTGACGACCTTCGTCCCCTGCGCGCCCTCAGGGAGACAGGTGATCATCAGCCGGCTGCGGCACGAGAAGCGCTGCTTCGCGCACGCCTCGGTCTGGCGCGCTGAGGCGTCGGAGAGCGCGCGGGTCTTGGCGCGGCGCGCGATGTCCTGCGAGCACCACAAGCGTGTTTTGTGCCCGCGATCCGTGCGCGGGTGGTCTTTCACTCTCGGGTCGGCGTCAGCGCGGGTTGCGGAAGGGGAAGGACAGACGGGCAACACACGTGAATCGGTAGCCGGTGGCTTTCCACACGTCCAAGGAGGCTAGACGGACGCGCTCTTTGTCTGAGACAGACTCAGCGTCGACCTGGGGGACGAGGAACGACGCGCTGAAGTCGACCTCGAAATTTTCATCGCAGGCTAAGCGAAGGGCTTCCATCATGTCGTCGCTAGTGTCGAAAACCCGGGGCTGGAAGAAGTCTGCGTGAGCATGTTGTTGTTGTGTACACATAATTAGGCGAGGAAAGCCAGAAGCGGGTGGTTACGTGACGGAAGGATGGGAAGGGGAGCATCATCTGCGCTGCTCTACACGGAATGGGAGGAGCACTCGCCGGACTCACTGGTTTAGCCTTGAGCTTTCCGCTGGGGCCGAACGACGAACCCGAAGCCAAAGCGGTCGGCTGCTGCCTCACTAGCACCCGGAACTGGTTCTTCTCGCCCGCTGGATTGGGCTGGACCCCAGCCGCGGAGGAGCTGACGCGTATGTCCGTCGTGGGGCGCACCGGATGAGCGCTCGTGCTTGCGGAAGGAGAGGATGTGACGATAGAGTGGACGGGCGGGCGCCCATGTGCACCGAGCGGAGGCCGCGATATGTGGCACGACCGGAGGTAGCGGGGAGAAGGCGATTGGAGAGCATCGGGTGTGTACTCCGAGCCCGATGACGACGACGAAGCCGACGGAGAGCCTGAGGTCGGCGAGTCCCCCATCGTAGCAGAAACTTGAAAGGACGGAATGATCGTGCCAAGTTTGGATATGTTTCGGCGTTTGCCAAAAAAGTGAAGTTTTGCCCTCGAGCGACAGTTTGACGGCGACGCCGAGCCGCCGCGCGGTGCTCTCAATGATTGGCATAATCGTCGACTGAACTCAGGCTCTCATTGGCTCCCATGCTCCAGAGGGGTGTGTACATCCTTGGAATCCGCGTCTGCCTACAGATCCTTTCCAGCCTTGTACGTACGCACACGTCAATGCAGTGACCCTTTGGAAGCTTCCTCGCTGGCATACGCCGTGCGGTGGGAACGGGAACTGGACGGCTCCCTCGTGCTTTCTTCGCTAGCCTCCCACATCGATCCCTTGGTCTGCGGCTCATGCAGGGCTGTCAAGCATGCCCAAAGCAAGAAAAGGACGCTCGAACTCTGATGATCTGGAGTGAGTGGATCCTGTGGAGGACTGGAAGGGAGGGACCGACCATGATCAATCTCAGCGCAACGTCATACACGTCTTTGCGCCAAAACCCTGGCTGCGCGTAGCCCTGTTTGGTCGTATCGGCAGGGACCCGGACGAGAGGCCCACCGGTCACGGTACACTCGGAAGAGATCGTGACGGTGGAGGCTATGGGGCCCTTGGGCTTGGGCTTGGTCTCTGTCTCATCTTGTAGTGCATCAGAAGACCGGGATCTATCGACAGTTAAAACCGCGACCGTGCTCTCGGAGGAAGTCGATGTTCTTCGCTCGTGCTCGTCCAGAGCGTCTTTCAGACCACCCGAGAGCTCGGCCCGCTGGAAATAAGGCGAGATGCTCTCGGCTGGTGGTACCTCGGTTCCTTTTTCCTGTGTGTAATCCGGGACGGTGAAGACAGGCGGGGCCAGGTCCGCATACGACGGCGCAATAGGCTGCACGAGCTCTGAAACGCACGGCCTGTCGACAGCGGGAGGGATCGGGAAGCTGCTGCGGGGCGATCGGAGCTCTGATATTCCGGCGGTTGTTCGCGATGGGCACAGCCGACACGCCGCTTTGGGACTGGGACTGGGACTGGGAGGATGGCGCAAGGTGCTTCGCGGCTGGTGGAGATTCGGGACTACGACTTCGGGTAGGGCTTGTTTCACTTTGGGACATCTATTGCCAGCCTTCGACTTTCTCTTGGGACTGCAGGCGGCTCGGATGGTGGAGAACGTCTTTCGGAAAGACGACTTGATTGGGTTATTGGTCACCGCCTCCTTCGAGGACGCAGAGGTCGGGAAATGGGTCTGAGGAGACATGTTTTGGACTGAAGAGATTCTTCCAGGAAGAATCCGTTAAATAGCGAACCCATTGGGCATGGATAGGGGTCTGCCGCGGCACCTTTTTGTTTCACAAGCTGAGAATGGCAAATCAGATGCGATTGATGATGATCATGCTTCCCATCTGATCCCATTTCTTTGAAGCGCATCACGCTCAAGAAAGAATCATCGCCAACTACATAAGGGAAGAAACCCGGCTGGATGAAGTCTGTCCAGCGAGCTTTCTTGGTTCAAAAGAATCTTTCTTGCTGCCATGTTTTCTGCATGTGAAGTGTCACATTAGTCATATGCTTGAGCGCCCGGGCACACAAGGGCATCGTGACATTGCCATTTATGTATAGGAAAGTGAAAATGAGAGCGAAAGAGTGGATTTCTTCGATAGTGAAAGATCTTTGAGGAATATCTTTATTACAAGCCCGCTGAGAGGCATCCTTTGGCAAAGAAGTTTACTGAAAGTATTTCTCCATCTCAGACTTTCACTGAGTAAAATTATTTCCGAAATCCGTGTGAATAGCAAGTCCGGACTTCAGAGCAAGCTATGATTCTTGATGCTTGTATCATGTTTCCCATATGCTTGCGACCACACGCATCAAGCAAGAGGTACCAACGAAATGACGTGAAAAGGGACGACAAAATTGTCAACAATGACGTCTCCCGAACATCCGATCTTCTACAACTCGTGACACCTACAGGTACCGAGATGTTCCCGCGAGCTTGTTCTCGCTCTACATCCACGCGCAGTGCCTATGGCCTCGCGCCCACCGCGCCAGCCACGTCCTCCAGGCCCACCCCCGCCATGGGCGACGCCGGGGCCGTCCCCTGCCCAGTCCTATTCGACCACGCCGTCCGGGTCGCAGTGGACATCGCCATCACCCCCATCACTCTCCCCAACGAGCTATCCGGAACGCCCGTTCCTGCTCCCGAACCAGGGCGCAGGGCACAACGTGTCGTTCCACGGGATAGAGCAGGGTGATCGACAGGCTCCGGTCCCTCTCGCCTCGTCGTCGTACCCCACCCTGCCTCACCGGGAAGGAGACCCTGAAAAGGGTAGCGCAGGTGCGGGAGCGGATTTTATCCGCAAGAAATCACTCGTGCGGCCCGACCGCGAGAAGATCGAACCGGGGCATAGGCAATGGCATTATCGTAACGCGGTGCAGGAGGATGAGGACAAAAGCGGGGCGGGGATGCGCGTTTTGCCGTCGAGTGAGTCGCGTTTCGTCCTCGATTCCTTTCCCAGATCTGCTGGGCGTTCCTTTTTTTACGGTGGTGGGGCGTTCTCGAGGCCACACGATGACGCACGAGGCGCTGTGCAGCTGTAGAACATGCTCCGGCGCCCGGCGTTCATCTTTCCGCGTTCCCTCCACGCACACCCACGCACACGCGTACGGATCTCTTTCATGCGATTGGGGATACCACGCCTAGTTCGAATATCCGTTTTTCGCAAATTTTCTTTCGATGATTCCATCCGCCTGCTGCCTGCTCTGACACAGCACCCCAGCTACAGGAAACTACCCCCAGCGTGGCCCGCTTCGCAGGGGACGGTCACTCCTGGCGCGCGACCAGGATGTGCATGAATCGGGACTGACGCTGTTCAAGCGTGGGACCCTCGGCCGTCGGCGGTCATCCACGACGACCACGCAACCCTCGTCTCCAGCGAAACTAACGAAAGGACGATTCAGCGGAACGGCAGCGTCGCCGTGGCTTCTCTACTGCCAGATCCTCACGCTCCCGCTCGCCCCGTCCCTCCTGCGCACGTGCTTTGGACTGCGGACACCCGAACGACAACGCGCGTTCCGCGAAAAACTGGGTCTGCTGTCGCTGATCCTCGTCGAGATGGCTCTCGTAGGATTCATCACGTTTGGATTCACCGAGGCTGTGTGCGGCCAGCCGCCCAACCGGTACCACGGCGGGAGAGTGGGCACCGACGGCATCGGGGAGACGAGCGTGGTGGTCAATGGCTGGGACTACGACTTCGGCGCGTTCCATCACCCTGCGACGCCCGATGGCGCGTTCGATGGGACGGCGAACCCGGTCTTTGAGGGAAATTGGGGTCTGGGTGGGAACGACGCGAGCTTCCTGTTCCAGAAGACTAACCAGAACTGTCTGGGCATCGTCACGCGCCCCCCGTCGTCTCAGATTCCAAGCTCTGGAGGTGGGGAGAGCATGGACTGGTACTTTCCGTGCAATGTGCGGAGTCAGTATGGGGCTGCGAGACCGAATATGACTGGGGCGACGCAAGCGACGAATTGCCATGTCTCGAGCAAGGGACAGCTGGCGACGATGAAGCCCATGGGTGCTGTCTATCTTACCTGGAGCGATGTCCGGAATACGAGTCGGAGGTTGGCTGTTTTCGAGAGGTGTGTCTTGCTGTGACTGTCACACAGAGCAATCTTTGACCCGGGAACAGCTCAGTACTCGACTTGGAACTTCTTGACTGGCTCGATCCGACGCAGATCACGGTGCCGGCGATGTTCTCTCACCTCGCTCCACAAAACGATCTTACGATGCAGCTGATGCGACTGAACGCCCGGGGTATGGGCCATTGTTTGCAAGACCTCATCACAGTCGGGTTCATCGACACGAAATCAATCGGCTGTGTAGCATCTGAGGTTCTGCTCTACCTCTCGCTGATCTTCATCGTTGGTGTTGTTCTCATCCGATTCGGGATGGCTGTTCTGTTCGGCTGGTTTGTCGCCCCGAAGATTGGCGGATTCCCTAGTGAAGGCAAGGAGGAGAGGTTGAGGAGAGCCGAAGAGATTGAGGTGTGGAGTAATGACATTTACAAACCTGCCCCGAGCGGCAGACGGCCCACTGTCGAGAAGGGCGGGCTGAGACCTTACGGCAAGAAGAAAAACAAGACGCTCATTCCTAGCACCTCGAGGTTCACAGTCACCGCCCCCAAGACACGCCCGATGACGACATACGACCAGCACGAGTACAGTTCTTCGTCTGTGGGGGCAGGCTCGTCCGCTGGTTCCTCGTCCTTCTTCCGGCCTGCGTTTTCCACCAGCCCCAGCCCGTCCACGCTGTCTCCGAACGTCATTCCCCAACCCCCACCGGACTACGAGCCGTTCAACTTCCCGCTGGTGCATACAATCTGTCTCGTGACCGCGTACTCGGAAAGTGTCGAAGGACTGCGCACGACACTCGATTCGCTCGCGACGACCGACTATCCCAATAGCCATAAACTCATCGTGATCATCGCGGATGGGATGGTCAAAGGCGCAGGGAACGAGATGACGACACCGGATATCTGTTTGCAAATGATGCGGGATTTTGTTGTTCCTCCCGACCAGGTCGAGGCCCACTCCTACGTCGCCATCGCCGACGGACACAAGCGGCACAACATGGCGAAAGTCTTCGCGGGCTGGTACGCTTATGACGATCAGACGATCGAACGTTCGAAGCAGCAGCGCTGCCCTATCCTGCTGGTCGCGAAAGTGGGCAACCCGCTCGAGGCGCGCGATGCCAAGCCGGGGAACCGCGGCAAGCGGGACTCGCAGATCGTGCTGATGTCGTTCCTGCAGAAGGTGATGTTTGATGAGCGGATGACGACGCTGGAGTATGAGTTGTTCAATGCGCTGTGGAGCGTGACGGGCGTCAGTCCGGATCGCTACGAGCTGGCGCTCTGCGTCGATGCTGATACCAAGGTGTTTCCCGATTCGGTGACGCGGATGGTCAGCTGTATGGTCTCGGATCATGAGATCATGGGTCTCTGTGGAGAGACGAAAGTGGCGAACAAGGCTGAGACGTGGGTGACCATGATGCAGGGTGCGTGTTCTCCGTTTGCTATCGTGTGCAAACACCAATTTTCATTTTCAGTGTTCGAATACTACATCTCGCACCACATGACCAAGGCGTTTGAATCCATGTTCGGCGGCGTGACCTGTCTTCCGGGCTGTTTCAGCATGTACAGGATCAAAGCGCCCAAAGGATCGACGGGGTTCTGGGTGCCGATCCTTGCCAACCCGGACATTGTCTCACATTACTCGGAAAACGTCGTCGACACCCTGCACAAGAAGAATCTGCTGCTGTTGGGTGAAGATCGATATCTCACGACACTGATGCTCAAGACCTTCCCGAAGCGGAAGAACATGTTCTGTCCGTCCGCGGTTTGCAAAACCGTGGTCCCCAATACATTTGGTGTTCTGCTGTCTCAGCGGAGACGATGGATCAATTCGACGATCCACAATCTGTTTGAGTTGGTCCTGGTGCGCGATCTGTGTGGGACGTTCTGCTTCTCGATGCAGTTCGTCGTTGGGATGGAGCTTGCTGGGACACTTGTGCTGCCGGCCGCGATCTCCTTCACGCTGTATCTGATCATCCAGTCGATCGTTCCTGGTGGGCCGAACACGACGATTCCGCTCATCCTGCTCGCGTTCGTGCTCGGGCTGCCGCTCGTTTTAATCGTGATAACGACGCGGAAAATCGCGTATGTGGGCTGGATGCTGGTTTATTTGTTCAGTCTCCCGATCTGGAACGGGATTCTGCCTGCGTACGCGTTTTGGCATTTTGATGACTTTACGTGGGGTCAGACGAGGATGGTGGACGGGGAGAAGGCGGATGCGGAGGACGGGGAGAAGGAGGGCGAGTTTGATTCGACGCATATCGTCATGAAGCGGTGGGCTGAGTTTGAGAAGGAGAGACGGTGGAGGAATGGAATCGATTCGGACGAGTACAAGCGCCACTCCCTCGTGAGTGTGGACGACTCGCCCTACCAAGCTTCGTCGGGGTCCAGCCAGAGCAACCGGCCTCCGTCAAGGCAGAAACACGACAACACGTTGCTGATGTTGCCCCCGCCCCTTGCTGTGCCGAGGAGCACCACTTCCAGCGACGAGGGGAGGTCGACCCGCCGATCTCGGCGACCCCGGCATCGCGCGAGCCTGGAACCACCGCCGGCCGCTGTTCCCCGGCATCGGCGTGCGAGCATGGAAGTGCCCCTGATGAGCCCGCCGCAGGCCCCGTACGCCGCTTCTCGGCCGGGGAGCAGCACCCCGCCGCGAGACGATTCGCCGTCTCCCAGCCGGGGATTCGCAGGCGTCGGCGCTGGCGGGCGACGGCATAACTGGTCCCCTAATGGGCAGGCTGCCATGTACCCCGGGGCGAACTCGAATTCGAATCCGAATCCGACTCCAAGGAGGTGGTCCCGGACTTCTCCCGGGTATGATGATTGATGTTGTGTGTGTAACGCTGTAGATGTACTTGACTTGTGGACCCTGAAATATATACTTACTTACTTAGATGTACATGTAACTGACTCTATTACGCATACTTACGCTCTTGGATGATACTCGACGTCCTTCTCCCGGTTCTGCTTCCCATCACAGCCCTTTGATGCCGTCAGATGTCATTGATGTACATCGATCTTTACAGGTGGGGTGTGTCAGACTCTGTGCTAGCGTGGTCTGTTTTCTCCTCGATCTGTAGAGCGCCCTTTTCGATATCCGAGTTAGAAGGGCCGCCTTCTGTGGCCTCTGTGACGGGCTCCACGATTTCCCGCCCGTCCTTGTCTTTGCGAATGATCTTGCGCTTGAGACTGTATTTTTTGAGGAAGAGCACTGGCGACCCCGGTCAGCCCCAGCTTTGTTTCGTTGATATTTTTGGAAGAGAGAGACTGACCGGCTATTAGACAGATGCAGAGTACGGGGGTGATCAGGATCCAGATGGCCGAGATGCCCGCGGTGTAGGCGTGCAGCACTTGCTGCTTCATCGACTGCGGCTGGATGGTCTGTATCTGCCGCACACCCTCGGCCAAGACGCCGCCGGAGAGGTTCAGCGTCAGGCCGGGGATTTTTTTGAGTTTGTGCAGCACGACCTGGTGGTACGGTGCATGGTTAGCTTCGCTTACTGTAGACGGATGAATAGGCTGTGTGTGAGAGCTTACCCCGGAGCAGAGAACCTGGCCGACAGAAACGCCGATCGTCGCACCGAGGGTTCTGTGTGCGATCAGAATGTTGGAAAATTTGGGCAGACTCGGACAGGACTCACCGGAACAATCCGAACGTCGTCGAGCTCGTGGCCATGTCCTTTTGCGGCATCGCGGCTTGCATTGCGATGAGGGGTGGGAGGAACAGGGCGCCGATGCCGAGCCCGGCGATGGTGGGGTAGATAAGCTGCAGTGCCCTGTGCCGCGGCGTGAGTACCTTGATGAGCGAGGGGAGGAAAATTTACAGGGACGATTTTTCGTTGAGCATTATCATGAGACCGTATCCGATGATCGTGACGGTCTGGGATCGGGTGTTTAAAGAGTGCGCTCAGATCAAGCTGAGACAAATCTCACATATCCAACCCACATCACGGGTCTGTCATGCGGATCAGGATTCCGTGGCAGGTGTGAATGATAAACAAACTCAGACTCGCCTGTAATCACCCATCTTGCTGACGACGTATCCCGCCAGCGCAGACGTGACAGAAGAGAGCAGCGCAAAGGGGATAATTCTGTACCAATTAGGACAGAAATGTGGGGGGGGGGACCTCTTGTCACTCACAAGATACCCGATTTCGTTGCAGATGCGCCGAGGATTTGGAAGTACAGCGGCAGATAAAACGCGGCTGAAAATGGTTATATTCCGGAAATAAGAAGATGGATCCTAGCATCGCATACCGCAGAAAAACGACAGCGAATGCAGAAACACCGTGAGGAAGATCAGACTGGTCGTTCGCGTCCTGAACAGCCGCGGGGGGATGATGGGCGATCGGTTCGTCAAGTTCTCGTTGACCATGCCAGCCAGAATCGCCGCGAGCCCCACAACGAGCGGTGCGATGGTGCTTGCGGTGTTCCCTGTGCGTTGCCATCAGCCGCGGGTTGGTAGGGTCGGTTTGTTCTGTGTTGTTTTGCGTACATCCTTTTTCGCTCTCGCTGAATCCGAGCAGGAGAGCGACCACGCCGCCGACGACGAGTACGAGCCCGAGGAAGTCGAACTCGCGCACGTGCTCGCGAAGCGTCTTGCCCTTGTGTGGATTGAGGTTGAGGAAGAAGAACAGCATCATTCCGGCGACACCGCCCGTCGGTCTGCGATTCGATGAGCTTCAATCTGTTGTCGTAATGGACGAGAATGGAAAATACTGACAGGTTGATCCAGAAACACCACCTCCACGACACGTGGTCGGTGAGCGCCTGGGGTGCGATCAGGAGAGATGGTGAACTGCGATTGGGGGGCTTACTCCACCGACTAAGGGACCGACCACGCTGCACGAGAGTGATGAGCGCGTGGCCCCCCGTAGAATCCACGACGGCCCTGACTTACCCTGCAACGCCCCACATCGCGCCGACGTACGACCCGTATGTACCACGTCTGATCGCGATGTGAACGTCCAGCCATGTAATGGAAACGGAATTGGATTTACTCCTCCAGCGAAACGATGTCCCCGATGACGACCTGCACCATTTGCTGGATGCCTGGCCATATATTACGAACGTCACGGCAAGGTCCGTTCCGTAGTTTTTGGAAAACGTGACTCACCTCCGCCGCCAACGCCTTGGATGACCCTCGCTGCAATCAGCCAGGTCATGGACTTGGCCGCTCCACACAGCGCGGATCCAAACTGGCGTCCGGATCAGATGCGGGTCTTGTGAAGAAGCGCAGCCAGGGAAAAAAAAAAACATACAAGAAAAATGGCGATGCAGGGGTATAACACGAGTTTGCGGCCAAAGATGTCGGAGAGTTTGCCGTATGCGGGGGCGAACGAGGCCGCGGCGATGAGGTATGAGCTGCGATCCATAGTCGGTTGGTTGGTTGGTTGGGATTGGATCGGGGGTGCCAGGTGGAGCAGAAGGCATTTCGGCGCACCTTCCGACCCACGAGTAGTTGTTCCCGCCCTGCAGATCAGACACTATAGTCGGCAGAGCCGTCGCGACGCTGTTCAATAGCAAGGGTGTGTGCTCAGATTCGGTTCGAGATGGCGCGGACACACGGGGACCCACATCGTTTGATCGAGGGCGGCCTAGACGGACGGATTATGGTAATCGCGGTCAGATCATCATCATCTCAGCCGCCTCCCCGGGGGCTCGGGCTTCGACGCACCAGGAACGCAGTCATCATCAGTGCGAACGAGACGAGCGGCATGTTGTTGTGCGGCAGGATGTGCTCGTCGTCCTCCTTGGCCCGTTTCTTCGCTTTTACCTGAGGCGGAACTGCGTTGGGGGCGCTGGGCGTTGCATCCGCGTTGACGGGAGCCGATATCGCGTCGTGCTTGTGCGAATCGGAGGGCATGGCTGCGCTGGATGGGTCCTGGTCGTCGCGCACAGAGTCAGAAGAGGGAGCCAAGTGGGCGGCGGGGAAGCGAGGAGTCATCTTTCTTTCCGCGAAAAAGTTCTCCCCGGCCGCGGCAGATTTACGCTCGAGTGATAATCACCACCGGGCACGGAGGACACACTCAGCCGCTAATACTTAAGTCATGTTGATGGGCGGAGTGTCGTCACAGGACCACGTTTTTGTGTGCATGGTGCGCAGGCATCGGACAAAGAACCACGCCTTCAAGCTGCATGTATCTTGCCCGAATCCGGCTCAGGGCCAAGGCCCAGGTCCGTCATCAGCGTGACGTGCTCTGGCACGTGCCCGGGCCGTCCCAGCCGCACTCGAAGCGGAAACCGTCACTGACACTTTGCGGGTGTCGTCGTCGTTTCGGGCTGAAGGTTCCATGTCATGGACAACGCATCTCACGGCGGCTGCCTGCCTCCTCGCGCTCCTCGCGCTCTACATCTACATCAATGATCGCCGGCTGACAGCCATCCCGCCAGCCGCCCTCGCCGTCTCGCCGACCCGCTGCACCGTCGAGGATGTGTGGAAGATGGACGCGCGCCTGCGCGCTGCGCCCGTGTCGAATGCGGGCCAGATCCCGCCGCGGACGGGCAGGCGCTACATCGTTGTCGGCGGCGTGCGTGGGCCTGCCGTTTTTCTCTCCTTGAACGCCGTCGGCTGAAACACGCCCTCTGTTTTCCCAGGCTGGGTTTCTCGGCGGGTGGATCGTCAGGCAGCTGCTGGACCGCGGGGAGGAGCCGCGGCGCATCCGCGTGCTCGACCTCCGCCCGCCCGCTCGCGCTGACCTGACGACGGGCCGCGGTACCGCCGTGCACTTCATGCAGGTGGACATCTCCGACGGCGACGCCGTGCGCGCGGCGTTCGCCGCGCCCTGGCCGGAGGGCGCCCCGGACGCGGGGCTCACCGTGTTCCACACCGCGGCGAACATCCGGTTCTTCGAGAAACGCCGGTCGCTGCTCCCGAATTCGGCGCGCGTCAACGTCGCGGGCACGCAGCACGTCGTCGACGCCGCGCGGGCCGCCGGCGCGGGCGTCCTCGTGTACACGTCGAGCGGATCCGTGGCGGTGAAGATCAACCGGTTCCTGCTCTGGCCGTGGGAGCGCGAGCCCGCGATGTTCGTGCAGGCGATCAACGAGGACGAGGCGCTGGTGCCGACACGCCACGAGCAGTTCTTCTCCAACTATGCGGCGACCAAGATCGTTGCGGAACGGCGGGTCAGGGCAGCTGACAAAACGCCATCGGGGCAGACAGTGCTGAGGACGGGGTGCCTGCGCCCGGGGAACGGCATATTCGGGCCTGGTGGCGATATGCTGTGTGGTGCGTTTAGACTTTGCTTTGCGCACTTGCCGGATGGATATTCAGATTGCGTCCGTCAGGCGCCTACCTGGTGCGGCAAGTTAATCCGACATGGCTGGACTCGGTCGTCCAGAACTTCACGTATGTGGAGAACGCCGCGGTCGCCCATCTATTGTACGAGCAGCGGCTCCTGGAACTGGAGAACGGCGGACGCAACCCCGACATCGGGGGCCAAGCGTTTGTGATCGCGGATCCGGGGCGGCCCCCGACGTACGGGGACGTCTACCTCACCCTGTCTACACTGATGGACGGAGAGACGACATTTCCGTTCCTTTCGCCGACCCTCATGATCCTGCTTTCAGTGAGTTCGGACCGCACAGATCTCTTCCATTCTCTGAGATAATGCCAACAGCACGCCATCGAGTGCTACTATCTCTCGCGCCCGCGCCTTGTCAGCGCCCTGCCCTTTCTGAAGCACATCCTCCCGCCGCTCGCGGGCGATCTAGTCAATCTCCAGCCCCCGCTGTTCAACCTCGTCAACGTGCATCTCGTCTTCGACGACTCGAGAGCCCGCCTTCCGCCGGAAAAAGGCGGGCTCGGGTACAAGGGCGCGTGGACGACGTTCGAGGGGCTGCACAAGACGGTCGTCGAGCACAAGCGCGGGGCGCTGCGCTCCGAGCAGCGTTCCGACGTTGCAGGGATCAGTCTGGGCTTCGGGCTGGGCAAGGCGCAGAAGGCCGTGGGCAGGATGGGGAAGAAGGTGGAGGAGACGGTCGGCGTTGACCCGGTATATGTTTTGGGCTCGACGTAGCGTAGATGATGATCGTGATGGGCCCTTCGAGCAACTTGTCTTTGAATTTCTCACCACCAGTCTTTTGCTGTTTGTTTCAGAAAATCTGTCTTACTTACGCGATTGCGGGAGCACGGAAACAGTGAATCTGTCTCAGGCCTCCTCCAATAAGGAGCGAATGAGACTGGAGTCCCGAAACATGCGGATAAAGTCTCGGTCAACCAAGACACGGAGTAAAGCCTGGGTATAAAGCGCCTGCAGTGCGCACTGGACTCCCTACTCCAGCCACCATGCCGTCCAATACCAAGACAATGAAAGCCTCCTCTTCCTCCAACGTCGTCGCTGCGGCCCAGCGCACGTACGCCTCCCTCCTCACCGCCTTCGCGCGGAAAAACGCCCCCGCCTACGAGGAGAGGACGGCGCGTAACCTTCAAGTAGCGGGTGGCACGCAGAGGGCCGCTCCACAAAAATACACCGCAAACCCCGCCCCACACGCGGGGCTGAGACACCGCCCGATGCGCACGTCCGCCGAGGTGGACCGCATCTGCCGCGCGTACGATGAGACGTTCCGGCACCATCGCGCACGGGGCAGCCGTCAGCCCGGCCCCGCGCCCGCCCCTCCACCGCGCCTGAGGACGATGCACGCGCTCGTGCTCGAGGGCGACGCCGCGCTCCGCGCGACGGATGCCGATCTCCTCGCTTTGGGCGACAGCGAGTCGTTCGTCGTGTTCCGCATGCCGGACTACGCGCAGCCGGCAGAGACGTGTCGGCCGCCCGCTCTGGAGGTGTCTCCGCTCGCGAGGCTCATGCCGGATGGGTCGTATCTCGAGCCTGGGGATGGTGCGTGCTTTTGCTTTCTGCGCGCGCGGAATGTACTGCACGACAGGAGGACTGATTTTTGTGTGGCAGAGCCTGGATCTGAGGACGAGGACGGCGATTGTGAGTCGGACGATGCGCGGACGATACACGCCGGGGACTCGGATTCGGAGTGTGAGTCGGAGGACGCCGCGTCTGGTGTGCTCCTGGAAGACTTGGTTGTTGAGTGGATGTCTTGGATCCACTCATTTGCGGGCAGAAAGTGAAGGGATGCAAATTAAATAACATGCCCGCCACTTATTCGATGTCGTTCTGTACTTGCTGCGTTCTATCGTCCTACTACCAAGTATTCAATGACCACGCCTGAGATCACATGAAGTGATGACGTCACGCGTCGATGCGATATGATAAGATAAAGTCCGCGGGCGGACCGTTTGGACCGCAGTTGTGGCACCGCGTGTATCGCGCGTCGCTTCATCTTTATATTCCTCTCTATCACTGCTTGCCCACGCCTCCCATCTGACCACCGACCCCCATGAACGCTGTATACTACCACGGGGTACCCGCCAGTCTCTGCCCCCCGCAGGACAGCGCTGAGTGACTCGTCCGCCAGGTGCAGAACTTCGAGGTGCTCGACGCTACGCCTGTCGCGGAGATCACGGACGATGAGGTCCAGATCAAAGGTGCATTGCCGTCCGCCCAGTCGAGTCGCCCCTCAACGTCGCGTAGTTTCTGCGTGTGGGATCTGTGGAACGGACAGGTACGACGTGCATGCTCCTTCAACGGCTTGGACACCGGAGCTCAAATTTCGCTGCCGCCTGACAGCCATATCGCCCACGGTGCCTGTCCCTGAGAATAACTTGATGTTCCGATAATTGACGCTTTGGAAAGGCGAATTTATCGCCAGATTTCCCGTGAGTCCCCTCCGTGACTTGGTAGGCCCCGACTCACGCGAACAGCTCATTCCGGGCCACGAAATCGTCGGCACCATCGCCAAAATCGGGAAAAACGTGTCCGGATTCGCTGTGGGAGATCGATGCGTCGTCGACCCCGGCATCACCGTCAGTAGCATGCGCCCCGAATCCGAGCGGGGTCTATCCAGTTTCTGAACCCGTTCGCAGTGCGATAAATGCTTTTTCTGCCGCCGGGGCCAGTCTCTGCTGTGCGAGAACTTCGAGAGCCTGGGTGTGACCGTGTCCGGCGGGTTCGCGGACTACGTGACTGCGTAAGTAATAGTAACAGCCGGCTCCCGCGAATCGATATCGGACACGGAACGGATAGCTGCTGATGTGATTTTGGCGGCGACAGGGCGAGCAAGAAGGTGTACAAGATACAGAATCTGTCGGACGAGGAGGCCACCCTCGTCGAGCCGGCCGCCTGCGCGCTGCACGGCGCGGACAAGCTGAACCTCCCCGTCGGCTCCGACGTGCTCATCCTCGGCTCTGGGCCGACCGGCCTGATCCTCGCACAGATCCTCAAGCTCAACGGCGCGGCCAAGGTTCGTTTGCGTCTGTCTGTCTGTCTGCTCCTCTGCTCTGCTCGAGACTGACGACGGACCCGCGCGCCAGGTCGTTATCGCCGCCAACAAGGGCATCAAGACGCAGATCGCACGCGACCTCGGCGCCGCGGACGTGTACTACGAGATCGACCGGGCCGCGCCGGAGCAGACGTGGGCGCGGCTCAAGCAGGACTTTCCGTACGGATTCGACGCGGTGGTCAGTCTATTCGTCCGTCCGTCCCTCCATGGACGCGTGCCAGTGACCAGTGACCCACCACCCGTGTTTCGTCCAGGTCGAAGCGACGGGCTCGGAGAAGGTCGCGAACGACAGCATCAACTACGTGCGCCGCGGCGGGACGCTCATGGTCTACGGCGTGTACTCGAACGACGCGCGCGTGCACTGGCCGCCGTCCAAGATCTTCGGGGACGAAATCAAGGCGCGTGGTGGTTGCGATGATCCGAGTGAGCAGGAGCATTGACTCGGAGACCCACCCGCCGCCAGATCATCGGCTCCTTCGCGCAGACGTTCTGCTTCCCCCGCGCGGTGGCGTATCTGGAGAGCGGCAAGATCAGCGTCAAGGGCATGGTGAGCGGAGCAACATCGATCATCCATGTTCACGCCGGGTGACACGACCCTTCCACCAGGTAACGGACGTCTTCGCCATCAAGGACTTCCAGAAAGCGCTGGACAAGCTCGAGAGCAAGTCCGCCCTCAAAGTCGCCGTGAAGCCCACGCTGTGATCGCCAACCAAGCTGCGCGAGTGTGCGATCCCCGCACCGCATGTATACTCGTTGTATTTCAGAAAGCATTGTCGATACACACCACGTCAATAATTACTAGGCTACACATTATAGATACAAGCGCAAGCACACGCGCAAAAGGGCCCTATCGGTCGGCATCACCATTTGCCGGGCGACCGGGCGGCGGACCACACCGCGGAACCGCCCCCAGTCCTCGACCGCGCAGGCTCAAACGGCGCTGCACGGCTAGACAAGGTCGACGCAGCCGTCACCGACGGCGCCGCGGTCTCAGCGAACATGGACTTGAGCGACGAACGCCGTTGTGGGGCCTGCGCCATCATCCGCGGGGCCGGCTGGTGCCGGGGAGCGGTGGACCATTGCGGGAAGCTCGAGCTGGGGGCTGGCTGGCCTGGCCGCTGGATTGGTATAGGGGACGGCCGCGTCAGGATGCCTGGGACCTGCTGCTGCTGCTGTCGTGTCCACTGGAGGTTGTATGCGTTTAACTGATCGGCTTCGTCCAGGGCGTCCGCGGTGTCTTGGGAATACGGGTACGCGAGTGGATCCGACTCAAGGTGCTGGATTTCCAGTTCGATATCCCTCAGCTGATCCTCGAGATCGGGGATGACCGTCCCTTCGAGCTTGTCCCGTTTAACTTGGACCTTGTCCATCTTGTGGCTCAGCATCGTCAGCTCGCCCTTCATGCCGTCGTGTCTTCTTCGCTCCAGTTCAGCCTTGCGCTCGCACTCTCGGCGCGCCTTGTCCGCGTCCTCTTTCAGCCGGGCATACACCGCCTCCTTCTCGGCGCGCTGGGTCCGCAAGTCCGGCAGCTCGGTCTCGAGCTCGCGCACCAGCTCCTCCATCTCCCGTGTCGACGCCTGCGCGCGCTTCGCCGCCTCCTGCAGCGCAAGCACCTTCTGACGCGCACGGTGCTCCGCGGCGGCGTTCTTCTCCGACGCGCGCTTCAGGATCTCGATCTCCGAGCGCAGCGCAGCGTCCACCTTCTGTGCATCCCGCCGTGCGGCCTTGAGAGACACCGCCAGCGAGTCGCGCTCGGTCGACATCAGCGTCAGCGTGTGCTGCAGCTGGCTCCGCCGATCCTCGAGCGTGAACTGCGGCCGCGGCGCTGCGAGGGGCGGTGTTGTTGAGGCGGTGCCGGGCGACGAGGACGGCGTCGGCAGTGGAGACTCGCTGCTTGAGTCAGATTCACTCTTTGAGTGATCCCCGTCTGAGGAACCGTCAGTTTCAAAGAAAGAAAGAAAAAACTGAGAAGAAAGAAGAAAAAAGTCAACTCACCATCAGTGACAACCTGTCTTCGAATATTGTTGCTCTGCCCGCCTTGCACGAGCCCGAGGTCGATGTCGTACTTCTTGCCCGGCATGAGGCCGTATATGATAATGACCGCCTCGTCAATCTTCTCGTCAATGCGGATGTAGACGCCTTTCCAGACGGTGCCGTTAACATTCACTGAAAGACCCTTCGCCAGCGCCTCCGAGATGACAGACGTCTTCTTCGGCTCGCCTGACCCTGAGTCGTCCGTTTCGTCGTCCTCCCGCTCGTCCTCTTCATTCTCGTCCTCCGCCGCGAGACCCAGCGACGCTAGGAACGGGTCCGCATCGTCCGGCCCAAAACGCGCGCTCGAAAATGTGGACGAGAGGATGAACGTGGCGGACACGGACGTGATCTCGCGCACGTAGAGCGACAGTGGTGGCTTTCCGGGGCGGATGGCGTGCCACTCGGAAAGCCCGAGCGCATCCATGAACGCGACATCGACATCGGGTGCCATGAGCGAGTGAGCCAAGAACATCGCTATTTATACATATTTTCTCATATATCCATTGGGAGGTGGCGGTGCTGAGCTCGGAAGCGAGCGCCGAATTTTCGTGCGTCATCAATGCAGATCCTGACCAGTTGGGAAGAGGGGATATGTAAGGGTATACCATTGCCTGATCGGTAGTAAAAGCGAATACAGCACACCGAAACCTGGCACTCGATGGAGGATTGCCCAGGGCAGACACCTACGCAAGACCGAAGCAGCTGACTAAGGAGGTTAATCGATAGGCAACACGTCGGCGGAATCTGAGGGCATCAGATGAGAATATCGTCGCTGTAACCAGCTTCGGGCCGCGCCCCATGCAAGGACCTCATGAGAGATGCTGATAATGATTTCATAGAGCAGTAATTGAAGCCGAGGACATATGTACAGTACGTACTACGTGGTCTACTAACCGAGCAGAGGCCCGACGCGCAAAGGCTGCCGCAGTTCAAAAATCACGGCGGGGGGTATCTCCTTCTGGTTCCAGTAGATCATGCCGTGCCGGATCCAGTGACCATATGTCCCAGGAATGTCATCGCTTCCGGTATTCTGCTTCCACAGAGTGCCCAAAGTCTCACCCATCATGCGCTGGATGATGCCCGTGGCGAGCTTGACCGCGAAGCTGCGGCCCAGGACACCCTCGACGATTTCCCTCGCCT